CCTTTTCATATTATTTTCCTGATTGAAATTTGTTGTTACACTTCTCAAAAATTTATTAAGTGTGTAAAAAATTAGTGAAAGATACTTGATAAGATAAGCAAGCAATTATTGATGTAGTTATTTGTGTATCAAGTTGTAAGACCTGAGTAACTTTATCAGAATTATCATGTTATTTGAAAAGTTATTATTAAATGTAGACATTCTATATCTGTAGACATGCCCTTTAAAATATCCCACTTGAGCCCTACCTAATAATTGAATTAGACAACTTTTTAAATATTAATTTAGCATTAACAATAGTAACATCTACCACTAATATAATATCCTACATAGCATATTACAAGAATAGTTACATAGTTGAAATATTTTGAATTTTACATATCTAAGTATCATATCCATATTACTCGTAGTATTTACAATGTTCATAACGATGATTTATAAACATGACGTAAATACGTCATGTTTATAAATCAATTTGTATTGTATTCGGCTATGATTGTTTAAGAAAAATTAGAGTCAACCCAGAAAAATTCAAACAATAACCTAATGAATGACAAATGAAGCGCCAGAAGGAGAAAAATTCTATTTAGATTATTTTCTATTTAAAATTATATGAACTTACCCCTAAATGACATTTTACAACGATTGTTTAATAAAATGATGACCTCAGAAAAAGCTAATTTGACAAATTATAAAGAGCGAGGAGAAGAATTATATTCACCGGTTTTTCTAGCGAATTCATTATGTTACGGTGGTAATAATCTTATACATATGTCTGTAATCTGGTCTCAACGGAAGTTATTATAAAGTTTGTAATTAGTCTACTCGATTGATGACTGTGTTACAATTTTCCAAAATTAAAGTTTCATTTATACAATGGGAAATTGCATCGAAACGTAGTTTCACATACATTTTCACCAAACATTACACACTGTTTTATGAGTGTAATATTGTTGCACGTTTTGCCTAGTTTAGAATTGGTGCCAACGACTTCATCCTATTTCCACGAGTCTAAAAATATTACATGACATATAAATTTTTAAGACGGCGTCTAAAAGTAATAAGAAATGCAGACAATAAATTACTACTCTATTTGTAATATCTTCTACTAGTGTTTCAATCTAAGTATTACGGTACGTTGCACCTATATGTTACATTGTTACAACTGATACATTACATATATAATTTAACAGCTTGTTCCAAAAAAAGGAAATTAAGTCAATCTTACAATATTTATTATTATTTGCATTAAAAATCACCAATATCGGATGAGAATTGGAGAAGATACCGCATTTCTTGTACACAAATAGAAGTTATTTTAAAATTCTGTTGAAAATATAAAATAGTTATCTTTAACTAAATTCTTATTTACGTAGATATCGATTGGTAGCGTAATATTTCATGACACATCTATAGTAAAAAAATCTTCCGAAATTAATGACAATTATTTATGATGAAAACATTCTTCTCTTCCATGAAAGGTAAACTGCTTGCTAGACTAGGGAACTTAAATCGGCTTTACACAATCAAATACATAACTAAGTTAGTCATCAACTCTCAATTCAGAGCGAGAAGATTATCAAAGCGCGTGTTTTGAAACAATAGTTGAAAACAACGCTGTGGTGTACTGGTATATGCATTGTTAATATTTTCATTTTAACCCTAAAACTATTAAATGTTACAGAGATTAGAATGCTCTATACTATATGCTGGTTTAAAACTGAACTCTGCATTAATTCCTTCAGAATTCATTTTGTGATGATTTTCTGAGACTGAAAATATACAAGTACTTTAGCTACTGTTTTGTTTCTATGAGGAAAATACAGATCTTAGAGTCTCGGAATCTTGGAACTGTAATAATATAGTATTAACAAAAAGACTGTATTAACGATCATGTGACATTAAAATGTACTTGCGACACCCTAGCTTCGCACAGGTGCAATGCAGAAACAATGTATGTGTAGTGTAACTATTGTATCCGTCTAAACAACTTTGCTTTGAAATGGTTATAGAAAACTATCTATAGATAGATATGTAGATAGATAGATACTTTTTATTATTTTCTCCAGAAGATTAAAATAATAATAAAATTATTATAATTACAAACAATGTAGAATGTAATCACTGACTTTTTTGTAGTCCTAGTAAACAGGAACAATTCCATCATACATTATTTTGTTATATTTTAGCATTTTCGACAAACGCTCTCAGTCGATATGTTGCGATCTTGAACAATTACTGTCGTATTTCAACAAATTGATACAAGACACTATTAAACTATACGTATAAACCTTTCTTTTGAATCACTCCATCTATTGATGAAAACCGTATTAAAATTCGTTGCGTGGTTTAAAAAATCTAAGCGTACAGACGGCGGTAAACGACTTTCTTATGTATTGTGTTATTTAATAGGTACAAATTAAAACTACATGGTATTTATTTTATACTAATGCAATAACAATATCTTAATATATAACGTCACTTATCACTTCACATATAACACGCTAACTGACCAATCACCAATAATAACAATGTAACATATCATTGTAATACAAATTCCAAGCCACAATTCCTATTTAATAACAAACATAGTTATTACTTGAAGCACATACTTTTAGAGATAATTTTAAAAAATAGTGTTGGAAACGAAATCTTTTTAATTTTTAAGATTTGTCTATAGCCTCTTTCAATAAAACTTATTGAAGAAGAAACACACGTTTTGTTGAAATTATTAAGAAATACTCTAAATATTAGTAATAAATCGAAACATTCCATCAATTAAAGGATTTTTGATATGTATTATTAGACATCAGCCGACTACCTTATAGTCAGGTCAATTATTAATTTGATAATATATTTTTTTTACTTAATTCTATTAAAACAGTTTATAAGTAACTGTCTAATAATCTGTAAATCATTCAAAATAATAAAATAAAGTAATAACTAACATATGAAAGCATGGTTAATCATGACCTTAGGATGATATTTTGCACAAATACTACCCTAGTAATATATTATTTATGGTACTAATTTTACTTATGTGACACCAAATAAGTATGAATAAATGACATTATTTTTTAAAACTACTGACTAACTACGAGGGCTACATTGAAAATTTTTAGAATTGGCTACTTGAAAGCAATATAAAATTGTAAAAATTTTGAAAATGGAACTCTTTACGAATAATAGTGAGTACATAATTTATTTGTTTGTCATTTGTTTTACGGTTTGGCGGCAAATTGAAAATAGTCTATGTAACGTTATCATAATTTTAACACGAGAAAGTTTTCATGCGATGATTTTTTATGACTTTCGATGTCATCTAAGTCAACAAAAAAGTTATGATAGACTACGATTAGCCTTTCACGATGAAGCCCGTTCTCGTGCCACTGTTTACAGCTGGTTTAATGAGTTTAAACGTGGTCGCACTAATCTCACCGATGATGTGCGTGAGGGACGGCCTTTTACGACAACGAATGAAGATAACATCAGTGTTGTGTGGCGTATGATAGAGACTGACAAAGGAGTGACCTATCAGCAGATCCGAACAAGCTTAGGGATTGGTATGAGTTAAGTGCACAAAATCCTCCATGAACATTAGGCGGTCAGGAAGCTTTGTGCCCGGTGGATATCTCATAATTCGACCGAGGCTCAAAAACTCCGTCGTGTTGATTGGTGCCGTGAAATGCATAAAAGCTCAGTGGGTGTTGCCTTCCGAGGAGTTGCCAACTAAAGTGAAGAGAGGTCGAAGATTGGGAAAAAAGATGGTGGCCTCGTTCTTTGGAAGGACAAGTTATTCCGCGGCAATTGTTTTAGAGGATCGAAAAACAGTTACTACAGAGTGGTACAGTAACAATTGTTTGCCACGTATTTTGGAAAAAGTGCGTGAGAAATGACCTCACAGTAGGATCCTCCTTCACCACGACAATGCTTCGTCGTACACCGCCAGGCAAACGATCAATTATTTGGCGACCTCAGACGTAGAGCTACTGGGTCATTCGCCTTATAGCCCCTACCTCAAATCGCACCTTGCGATTTTTATTTATTCCGAAAAATAAAAGAAAAACTTTGAGGAAAACGTTTTATGGACCCCGAGGAAGCTGTGGCTACATTTCAGAAGGCCGTCGAAGAGATCCCTAAGGACGAGTGGGCAAAGTGCTTTTCTTAGTGGTTCTATCGGATGCAGCGATGTATTGACGTAAATGGACAGTATTTTGTAAACATAAATCAAAAGTAAAAACTTGCTAATTTAATCAGTTTTTGATTTTCTAAGCGCATTCAGTTTGACCCTCATACTAGCTAATAATTAAAAAGTTTAATCATAAATTATACTAATTGTTTATAATTATAATTAATAGTAATTATTGTAAATATTCTTAATTATTATAATTTAATAATAATAAATAATTCGTCTTTCATAATATAAACACAAAATTGTCCATTGTTGTTAATCTGATGAATCATCATAATATAAGGGCCTAGATATACACTAAGATAGGACTTTTTCCTCCTAGTCTCATAATAAATAAAGCAGTATGTTGGTAAAAGATAACCAATTTACTGTAAATATTTATTCAATAGCTAAATTGCAAATAATACAATAAACATCAGTGAAAATTATCATTTTTCTATTCCCACAAATTGATGAATACTTCCATTCATAATAATGGAGAAAGAATAATAATTCTATGATGTTTTAAAAATAAAACAAAAGTTCAAACTTTATATTAATAAATACTAGTGTGTGGATGTTTTAACATTTTGATTTCTGTTGCCCTATGAACAGGATAATGGCTTTGTTACTCAAATAAACAATATCCTAAATATAACACATTACTAGTACATCATAAATATGTATACCTACCAAATTTATTGAGGATTGGTTAAGGCATTGCAACTTCAAAGAATAACAACATAAACAGACTCACTTTTACATTTACATATTAATAGGGAATGAAATATTTTTTTCAGTCATTTTAACTAATCAAAAAGGCACTTACCTTTCCATTAAATTGAGCAGATGGCCTGAAATAAACAAGTGATTTTAAGAACAGAGTTCATTATAAAATTTCATACCAGTACTAGAATAAGTGCCAAAAATTTTCAATATTAAACATGGTGCGTGTTCAGCTAAATTGAAAATATTTAGATTAGGACATTAAATCAAATTACCAATTGAATCAAATAAATAAAAAATTTATGTATAATTTCTATTAGATCACTGTCAGCTTGTTTACTTCTAAAGTTGTATATAAAATTAAATTTATGAATTGTAACAAGTTTCTGGTTGCTTAAATAAGAATTGTTTATTCTGTTTCTTATGACAGTTTTTTTAATTTCTTTAAGAATAAATGGAATTAATAGATATTTTTAAAAATTAAACCTTACAAATAGAAATTATAATGTGTGGTCTAGATTATCGTAATTCATATACCAATTAAGTATATAACACATTCCAAACCCTCAATCAATAGGGGAAGGAGATTAGCAGCAAGGGCTAGCAACCCCAATGTGATTGATCCTCACCAGCAGCAGTTCATGGTTAATTATTCTTATATTAGTCCCAATGGGCCAACTGACCTGTTTTGATCCTCATCTATTATCTTTCACCTGGATACCCTGCCAGCGTATACTAATAGAGCGGGTGAGGGCAGAGGGGGGAGGTAGGGGCTGTACCATTCCCCCTTTATCCAAAAAATAACCCACAATGAATGAGTCACAGCGCTTGTAATTTACATTAAATTAGTTTGCACTTTTTTATAATTATAGCTAATAACTAGATATCGGAAGAATAGATATGTTATTCGGACTGAAGTAACATAGAGAAGGATTTGTAACGTAAGAATTTGTTCAGGCGAACAGTGTAGGCAAATAATTCAAAAACATTACAAAAAGAAATATCTATATCAATATACATTTCATTTATTAAATAAAATTAAAAATCTCGCACATAAATTTTGGATTAAAAATCAATAGGCCAGGAAAAGGTGCATGTGAAGTATTAAAATGTTATGATTTAACTTACTTCACGTAATTTGCGTAATCTCCATACTATATCGTATTTCAAAATTAAATGATAAGATCAAAATTCATTAATAACCAATTATGAGTGTCGATAGTAAAATTCAAAGATGAATTTAAGCACTTGCGTAGCTGTCAAACAAAACCAGTGTTACCAGATGAAATCTGCTGAAATTGGCCAAAAATTGGAACCCACATACATTTATTTTTTTATCAAGTGTAATATTATATTCACCTGAGTCTTTTCCATTTTTTAGCTACCTAAAAGTCGCCGGGATCTCGTTACAACTGATTTTGACAGTTTCTTTGTATAGTAAAAAGTTCCGAGATCTCCTGCATACGATTCAGATGGAAATAAATGGAAGTCAACATAGAGTACCAAAGGAATTTTCAATCTCGGAGGTCTCTCAGAGATGCAATGACAGTCCTCGTGGATAAGGCTGAATTAGGAAAGCGACTTCTTTTAAATGGTTAGATGAATACTTTAGAGCACCGATTATGCTCTCTTAATATTAATTACAAAGTATAAATAAATTAAAACGCAATTATTTAGTATTTTATTTGCTGCTAAGGTTAAATTTGTGATACAAAAAATTGCCAAGTGATCATAACTTGGTTGTTCATTTTCTTTATAATCTAAAAGGCTATAATTTTTTTAAGATAACCTAAATGGCAACAGGTCGCTGTTATCAATTTTTGATCTCCCCAATTCCCTTCAAAATAGCCTAAAAACCTAAAGTTACCTAATCTGGCAACACTGAAGAAATCTGACTTGACATAAAGAATTGTCATGACATTTAAATGTTTGCCAGTAGTGATTTTTTATTTTTACCTAAACGTCAAATTTGTTTTTCAAATCGATACGATTTCCTTTACTTTTAATCGACTACAAATTCAAATTCACAAAACGAAATCAAAATACAAAAAAATAACATGCTTATGTCCTTTTAGCTTATTTTCCTTATCATTTCTTTAGATTTGCTACCTTCAACATTATATTTCATAAACCACATGGTTAAATGGTTTATTTAGTATTGATGTTAGTGCGTACAATACAGTAAGTATTCCAGTCTTCTCCGAGGTTGTTGCATCTGTGTCCTTCAGAGCTCGCACAAAGGTTCCTTTTAAATTTCTCGATTTAACAATCACATTAGTAATAATTGCAAAGCTATTCTTCACAACTTTACAGAAATCTTGTACAGGTCTTGCTGCCTCTTAATTTATCGACGCTGGCCGCACCTCAGAGCATTTAAGTTTCAAAGAAACTATAAATGGTCCCACGAGTAGAAAAAAAAAACAAAATTCATTACCAGACAGAGCTCCGCAGGTCAAATGAAGCCTAATATGCTTTGGGTGCGGCAGGAGCTCATAGGTTGGTGCTCTCATGGTTGATGTTTACACCTCCACAGAATACGCCAACCGAAGAAGGAATCCGGTGGTATGTTCTACCCTAAGTCCTTCGCTGGGCACCAAAGCTTAAACCTGTGTTTTTTTTTTATAGAGGTTTACTCCTAGCGACCTGGTAAGGCTAGGGCTATCGACTCCATTCCTGGTTTGCCATAGGCATAACCACACCATGCAAAACACGTAGAATTAAATTGTACCGTCTCACAGACACCATCTCCTATACAAATCAAAGAGCAGGAAACAGAAGAGAATCAAATCAAAGACGACAAAATAGAAAACAGGATAGGACGGAAAAGAAACTTAATATTCATAAAACAAACAAAAATAAAAAAATAAAAACTCCGAAGAAAAAGCGCTAGATATTAGCCGTCGATAAGTTACATCTGTGAAGAGACGTCACTTATCGTCGTTTCCCGGGGTACACTATCCCCAACCACCATTCTCAGCCACCGTTCTCGCCGGACGTATTCACCGGGATGAGTGACCATACAATGGACAAGACACGCTTGAAGATTTTTCGACTCCACTGAGTATGTTCATCTTTCCTTTGACTCTTGACCATTCCTTATTATATATTATATAAGTTACATTCATCTTATGTTAATTGTCAACTGCAAGTCATTAGTTAATCAGTTGAAATATACGGTCACTATCAACCTTTTCGCAATTCATCCCGCAACATTTGACAAATACTAAAAACAAATCTAAGAATTTTATTACTTTAAAATCTCGCATACAGAAGAGGTATTGGGTATGTTTTTCACATTTTGCCCAAAGTTGTGAAAAACATACCCAATCTGGCAAGGCTGCTGCCGATTTCACTATTAAATTGAATGACTACTACCTAATTAAAAAAGAAATGTAATCGATTGTCAATAAAATTTTAAATTATAATGTCAAAACGGGCACGCTTCCAAGTAAAACCTCTAATAAAAAAAGCAAGGCAGTATTTGGTTGCAGAACCACTTCACTTAAGATAAAATAAGGTTTTGTAAGTTCTATGCAACCAGTTCATAAAATTTTACAAACTTATTTATAATTTAATATATAAAAAATAATTACTACATAATAAAACCATTTAACTAGAATAAAATATTTTTTACTTATTTTTTTATATATAATTTTATCGAAGAGCCAGTATTGCCCACTATGTCAGTAACAAACAGGAAACGAGACTGGACTTTAATATTCCTAGGAACGATAAGGATTTTGATATTAGTGATAGTAGATAGTGATAGAGTTATATTTGCAAGCTTTTAATTTTTTTATTTAGTTAGTTGGTATTCTATTCAAAATTTCAAATCGATAACATTTTGTAGTTGCTTAGATAATGTGCTGAGACAGAAAGCCAAATGAATGGAAAGGCGAAACGCAAGTGTTCTTTTGTACCATTTTGGTATTGAACTCTAAAAAACCCTAAAACTGTTACTTTACTATTTTGTACCCACGAGTAACGAACGTTATGACGGTTGACCCCTTTCCCTCTCAGAGATCTAATAAAAGGACAATTTATCAAAGATTTTGGAATAGAGTAGAAGAAACGCAGAAACCATATAGTGTGTTGCTCGTTGTATTAATAAAATTATTTATAAAACGCATCCGCCTCTTGAATCGTTTTTAGAGCTATATTATTTATGTTATATCAAATGTTGGATTTACTTGTTTGTATCTAATGTACCTGCTTCGTTTTAAAGTAATGACTACCGATTTAAATTACGTTTAATTTGGTCGAGAAAACTCGACTACTTTCGGAACTATATGGGATTTTTAATATTGAACTGCTGTGACGAAAGCGCGAGCCTGACTACGCGCCTCGGCGTGCTGAGTGTGAGCTGTAGGCGTTTGCATCATAAACAAGAAAGATGGCGTTCAATAATCTTTGGATGTAAAATGCTGAGCTCTGAGTGTTTCTCTTCGCCAACTGTATTGTTGCCACTGACAGTGTTGGTAATCCGTCGTATTCACACAGTGCTCACTGTGTCGCCTTTCAACTCGACATCTTCAACATTAACCATGGTAGAAAGTCTACATGCTTTCAGCTCTCATTTTCTCAATTATAAATACTTGTACAATACTAAATATAGAGTCATCATCATCACCATCATTTTAGCCATTATATATATATATTCTATTTGTATTTATATTTTTAGGACATAGATTCATTTTCCAGTTACGTCAATATAAGAAAAGTGCCGACTTTAATAATATAGTCGTTCCATGGATTATTACTATGTCATTACTTGTTGACTTGATACACACTTTTCTGTAAGTTGATTAGCCATAATAACACTAACAAACACTGCGTCCTTCGTAGAAGAATGTGAACTTTTGTTAATTGTTAGGAGTAATGGTATTATGCTGCTGAGTACGATTGTATTCTAATCGGTAGTTAGATAAGATGCACTACTACATGACAAACAGCGCCATTAGCAATCAAGTGTCAAAAGATAGAACTAAATTATTATATTAGTTCCTAAATTGCTACATAGAAGCAGCACAAACGTTTACTTGCTAATTGTTTTTAAGTGATGTAAATTAAGAATTAATTTTTATTATAAATAAAATTACAACTATGCAGTTCAAACAGAAAACGTATCTTCGTAAAGATGAGATTCATTTCGCGCAGCAAATGTAATCATATTCTTTTTTCGCTTCGTTTTTGTATTTGCATTGTTACTTATTCCCTCTTCCTAATTGTATTGCTAGTCTATTAGTATGCAGTATGTTATACCATAGATAATATAATACTTACTATACTAGTAGTTTTACTAAGTATATGGTATATAAATATATTATAAATATGTTTACAATAGCTATTTTAGTTCTTAAAGTGTTCCGTAGAGGCAATATTAACGAAATATAAAAAAGTAAAGTTGACAGCAATTATCTGTCACAATTATATGCTCTTATAATTGGCGGCTACACATCACCATAGATAAAAAAGAAATAAAAAAGTTACAGCAGTGTTGTTGGTAGTGGCGGTGCTCCCTTTACACTGTACCTCTGTTCGCCCCTCCATTGTATTGAAGTGTCTTAGAACTTGATTTCTGTTTTGACGTTAAAATATCTAATATTTCATGGTGTTGATTCAAATTATTGTTTTATTTAGTTACAACTTAGTTTTCTTTAAATTCCACAAAAATGACTTGGGGCTTTGTCACCTGTGGTCCTAACGAGGCACTCGTAGTTTCTGGTAAGTGTAACCCTTAAAAATGTTTGTAGTTATCAAGCTTTCCAAAGGTTTACAACGTTTTAGAATTATTTGGACTACCTGTATTAATGGTTTGAAAGTTATCAATTTTTCATTTACCTGTGTGCTAAGCTCTGATTTATATTTCATTTAATTTGTGATATACAATGTATTCTTCTATTTTTTATCGAATCTTCAGCCTCGCGAATGTTATTTATCCTTATAGAGTATGTACTTACATATAATAATAATGTACTTATTTTATTTATTTTAATAAACTTCTGGAATTTGAGTACTTACCTGTATATTACTGTATTTTTAGGTTGCTTTATAATTATGTTCAATATGTATTGACAATATCAAACTATATATCTAAATAGTTATATGATATTTAATGTAAAAATTTATGTAAGTCAAGTATTTTTATAACATAGAGGGGTAAATGAGTATGTGGTTCACCTGATTTTAAGTGATTACTGCCACTCATAAGCACTTGCAATATCAGAAACATAGCAGATGTTTTGCCGGCCTTTTAGGAAGGAATATGTTCTTTTCATATAGGTTTTAATGTCATATCTGTTCTAAAATTCTGCTGCTAGGAGTTAATTCCATACTTTGGTTCTGTGTGGAAGAAAGTGTCTACAGGAACAGTGGTGGACTGACACTTGTCCAGATGGCTGGGATGGGACTTTAACTTGTGGCGGTTTGTACTGTATTAATCAGAATAATTCTTCTATGCACTCTCTATGATATATGCGATAGAAGACCCAAAGAGACCTCTTTAGACAACACTAATGAATTAATTTGATTAAGAAGTCATTGGTGATCAATATGAGTTACTAAAAATTTTATGTGTTCTAATGGAAGAAACTGGTATTATGGTGCTTCAGTCTAGAGGAGAGAATAGTATTCCATGTTTGACTAAATTTCTGCTCTATTTAATTGTAAATGATGAGCTAGCTATTAATTACATCTCACTTTACTATCAATATTTAATATAGCATCAAAAATTTATATTACCTTTTTCCTCCTAATGACCACAAAACTAACCACTAGATATATTAACTATAGACTTGGCTTAGTATCTTCTATCTTAGTAGTTGGGGAATACTCTCAAATTGGGGAGGTATTACTAATGGTATCTTCTTTGGCACAACTAATGAAATGAATGTGCAGACTTGTGTCTTGATAATGATGATGATACAGTCATTTACTCTCCACTGCTGAACATAGGCCTGCCCTGCCATGCTTGACAGGCAGATTGGAAACCATAGTTGGACTTTGGTGATGTTTTAAGAGGGACACTGCTGCCCATCCCTCAACAATAAAGTTCCCTTAGTCATCTCTTACAGCACCCATGAGAAAAGAAGGGGTGGTTTAATTTAACCATATGACTTGGGGTTAAATTTGACAAGATTGTTTTTGCTCCAGATTGAAACCTGATCAAGACAAGTTTCAATTTTAGACACAAGCCTATTCCAACAGTCATTAATGTGTATCTGTGAAACATTTGTTTGGCTGGTATAGTTGGCATGTTAAAGCAACTTAAATATGTATTGATGAGGATTAATACTGCCAAGTTCAAGTTCTTTTTCTATTGGTATTCATCATGTAATATGTCTTTTTCTGACTATGAGCAGATATGTTGGCATTTGCCAAGTTTGTGTCAAATTTTGCCATCAGTGCTTTTATAAATGATTGGCTCATGGATTGGTAACCTTGCTTACATTATTGGTATGTTCTGTTGGAGTACCAGTGAATAATTTTAGATAAAGGTGAAGCTAAAGTGATTTTTTTTGGCCCATTTTGACAAAATCGCTAGGTATCAACTATTATGGTTTTTAAAATTATTGTTGGATAAGGTAAAGTTACAAGTTTCTTATTTTAGACCTATATGTATAGCAGCAGTAGACATGGTATGTATTGAGTATTCTCTAAAAGTACAATATCTATACTTTTAATTATATTGTTTGTTTTGGGGTCCAGTAGACAGTACAATTTTTTATGCAACTTCTTTGAAGACACATTATCCTACAAATATAATGACCCCCATATAAAGAACTGTTCTCACTTGTGGACAGGAGCTTCTGTATACTAGTTTTGTCCTTTTGACTTGGTTCAGAGAATGCTAAGAGAATTGGCGACAATCCTAGGCTAATAAGTGGTAATGTAATGTAAATAGGACACTATTTTCCACGCTTAGCCTTTCATTTGGGCCATTGTGCGTATGAGTCGTGGCTAGTACAGCCAACGTAGCTCCGCCCAGAAGCACAGAAGCTTCCTGGGATCACAGGCCTCACGGAGCGACCTCACCGTTCCGAGGATTAGGCTAATAAGTGTTGTTTTGTTCCTTGTGCTCCTTAATTGGGCTCCTTAGTTTTAAACGGGATTTTGCTTCTTTCTGTATCTTCTATAGAACTGAATACTGAAGAACTTATCAATATGATGCTTACAGCCAAATTTTACCATCACACCTCTCCCCATTGGCAGAGAATTCATTCTCACACTCTACAAACAAAATGGTCATGCACAGTGAGGTTTCAAAAAGAGCTTTCTCCTGTGAACGCTCAGATTGTGGAATGCTGCCAAGATTTTCCCTAGAGCATACAGCTTGGAGTTCTTCAAGAAAGGTGTAATAAGGTTTTTTAAGGGTTGGTAACGTGCGCGTGACATTTCTTGCGTTACAGGAGTCCATTGGCGACGGTAACCCCGTTTACCATTAATCATGCTGTGTGTTTGTTTGCCTGTTGTATAAAAAAATTTAAACTCTAATATTTTCAGTTAGAATGAATAATTGTGATGCCTTCAATTAAATACAAACAATGTGAACCAATTATTATTACTTTGTCCTACTTATTAAATCTAATATTGGCGTATATTAATCATATTTATTTCTATGCCAGACTCGGTTATTATATGCTATGGAGTGGGTAGAAAGAACCGATTGCCAGAGACTGCTGCTTAAACAATAAAATATTTATTTATATAAATATTTATTGTTTTTTCTTCACCCACTTTTTAGGTTTCACAGATTTTTAAACAAAGATTTACAAGCAGAAATTTATTCTCCAAAGAAGGTGGCTTCAATCGTGAAAAATATTTCTATGGAACCAACAGGGGAATGAATCTTATTCATTGTTTAAAAATAAAATATTTAAAGACGGTTTAGAGTTCGTGTAGATATCGAAAAAGATACTGCCGAATTAAGTTTCTCCTCATTAATTACTAGTAGTTGGGTCGTAATACGCACCTATGTTAGGAATTTGTGGTCAAAGGTCGATCGCACAAGCCTTGTTATTATAAATTGAACAAGCTTATTATAATAAATTGAAATTCGTAAATATTAATACTGGCCCACTTAATAAGTAGCAAATATATCTATTGGTAGAAACCATGTTAATACTAATTTATCTATGCCTATCTTGTTAGAGAATTCACAGGAGAAATATGTATTCATAGTAATGTGTGTTCATGGTTCTTTTTAGACGCACATAGAGCGCAGTTTTTCGAAATGCCAAAGATTGAATTAAACGCCAACCACATCAATATTGAATTCTAAAGCCATTTTTAATTAATTCTCTGATAATTGTTAATGTCATGGACAAATGCAATGAACCGATTTATGTGGAGCTGAACTTCAACATCAGATCTGATAACCTTGGCCAAGTGGAAATGCTATACATTTTGCATCAGAATATCGTCGATAATCGACCAGATGGACCATTGGGCTCATATAAACAAGTTATATTCCACTATAACGCATTAACTAGATAAACCTTTTTCCTCTATTGCACAAAGTATATAGCGATATACATTTATTTTCTGATTTTCCTTATTTATTACTCACTAACCTGTTCTTTTTGCAAGACTTTGTTATAGATATTTATTATAACATGTACATTTTCTTTATCTTGAGTCATACAATCTACCAATTAACCTCTAGTTGTGTGTATGCGCCTATCTAATATGTCTATTATCGCATTCATTGAATCAGGCGGCAGCTCGCTGCAATGACTTACTCAAAGCTAAATAATGTCTAAATCCTATTTGCCTATATTTTTAAATCAGGTCTCATACGGGTTAGGCACAAGTTTAATTATATAACACTATGGCTGACGTTTGTTGTCCAGTATTTCTTCATTATAAGTATTATAAAACTTATTTTATTAAACTATTTATACTCGTACTCTTCTCCATCCAAAGGTTGTTTTGAAGAGATCGCTTTTAGCGTAAGGCCGTGCATTGTTTTTTAAGTGTAATCTTTTCTTGTAATTTTTTGTATTTATAATAGGTTTACTAATGTAATCTATTGGAAAAAAAACAATAAAGAGTATCTATCTATCTATAAGATGGAGTAGAAGATTGTTTTAATAATAATTTAATGTTATGAGATATTTTTTAATTTTTTTTTAAATTAATGTATAACTAACGGTCTGTCCCGGCGTCGCACGGATGGACATTTTTACATTTTAAAAAGTGGCTATTATATAAGGCTCACGCGACGGAAGCTTAAAAATGGAGTATCTTCTCCCGTTTTTCCAACATTTTCCTTCACGGCTCTGCTCCTATTGATCGTAGCGTGATGAAAAGTACTACTGAAAAGTGCTGATGAAAATACTAAAACCTGCCCAGAAGTATGAAGAATAATTGTACTAAGTTTCGTTATAATCCGTCGAGTAGTTTTTGTTTCTATAACGAACATACAGACAGACAGACAAAAATTTTACTGATTGCATTTTTGGCATCAGTACTAATCACCCCTGATAGTTATTTTGGAAATATATTTCATGTACAGAATTGACCTCTCTACTGATTTATTATAAGTATAGAGAGATGTATTAAAATTGTTGAGTAAAAATTTGAAGTCGATTAGAGTAAATCTAACGAAGATATGGAGTCGGAATAACAGAATAAGTATTCGCCTCGCTAAATAATAGAAAATTTTGAGCAGTTTGCTTTGTTCTTTTTGTCTAATTAGACAAAATCCCTCTTTACGTAAATGACAGAAAGCTACAGCTGAATAAGACCTGAAGTCATGCAAACATGTTGTACTGTATTTGTAAGTAAGGTTTTTGAAACTACGATGCCTGTTAATGAGGAATTGAGGCAAGAACACCCTTCTGGAGCGATGTATGTATTGTAGGTTTCACTCAAAAAAAAAAAAATAATGAACGGAAAATAAGGAAAAAATTATGAATAGTTACTCAAATGTTGACATCGTAGCAAATGTAGCAGCTTGTATTTGTACTAGAGATAAATATCAAAACAGTGACGAGTTCTCATGAATGAACGCGGACAGCATTCGAATAAGTCGAGTGGGACAAGAAATTGCTAAAGAAAGCAAAGAAAGCAGTAAGAAGTTCGATGTAGACAGCAGAAAAAGATTAGTTGAAAGCCCTTCCTTTTATGAAGCTGGCATTGATGATTTAGTATAAAAAAAATAGTTTTATGATGTAACAATCTTTAAAACTTAAATGTATTTTTCTCATATTTAGCTTTTTCAGTTTTAGTCGGTACCCTCTGGCTCGAAACCTGCAATCAATCTCTTCGAAATTTTACACTTTTTTTATATATGTAAATGGTAAGATAAAGCTGTCGAGTTTCTTTTTTTTATTTTAATTAAGTGACATCAAAAACTGAAAAATGTACATAAAAAAGTACAACTGGGTGACTTCGAAAAACTTATAAAATCATTTCGTTTTTTTTTTATTTCAGATGGTCCAGTAATGTGTTATGGGTAGCATCGCAATTAAACTTTTTTAGATACGACTACGGGAATTCATCGTCAATGGCTAATGGCTCAATAATTGAAATTTTAATTAATCAAAATTTCATAAGTGTTCTATAAATATTATTTTATTATGTAATACCTATTATAGAAATACATTTAAATGAATTATGTTATTAGAAAAAAATAATGGAAATATGCTTCTTTGTATGGAATTAATCACCAACCCCCTCCCTTAGCAAGGATTGTTAATTATTTAGATAGCAAATTATGAATAGAATAAGAATTAAATAATGTAAGAGGAGTGTGTGAGAGAGGATTGGATACTAACGATTTAATTGTGGATAATAATCGCTGAAATGATCGCATGCCCCCAACCAACAAATCACCAACACTAGCAATTGTACACTAATCTTTATTACGTGATAATAGTACAAAATAATATTTTGTTATAATAGGATGCTGCTACTCAAAACCCCTGCTGGTGCCTGGCGGCCGGGCATTTGTTTGGCCGGCCATCCAGAGCGTCCAACGGATATCCCTCAACACCATGACGTTACAAGTGGAATCACCAACAGTTTACACTAGTCAAGGTGTACCCATTTCAGTGACAGGCATTGCACAGGTAATAATTATAAATATATTTAAAAAATTAGCCTAATGATTAAAATCACAACCACTACTGTTTTTGCTATGATGTAGCTTTGCTTGCATGGCGGTGTTTAGATATGGCAATGAAAATGGTTTAGAGAAAAAACATTAAAGTTTTCGGGAGTAGCAGCGCATGAAGTGTACCATGGGCGACATCGAATATTTGTGTTAACCATGATGCTTTTCAAGTCTGTAGACAACAGTTATCTCTTTATCATGATTATCAACTTGTCTGCCATTCTAAGTTTCATGCAAAATCTTTCTCCAATTTTATTTTTTATAATTCACTGAAAATGCTGAACATGTGTACAGCACACCTGATGTAATGCCCAGATCTCATTTATTATGTTTAGCTAGTTCACTGTTGACATTAATTTTCGTGACGTCTATAAATATGAACGATCTAAACAAAGTCCCTATTACATAAGTTACAATTAAATAATATCTACTATGTACGGTTCAACAGTTTTTTTAATGAAAATGTTATACCATTACAGGTAAAGATACAAGGTCAGAATGCTGAAATGCTGCTCTCCGCGTGTGAGCAGTTCCTCGGCAAATCCGAACACGAGATCCAGCACATAGCCCTAGTAACCCTCGAAGGTCACCAGCGTGCTATTATGGGTTCGATGACGGTGGAAGAAATTTATAAGGACCGAAAAATATTTTCCAAAAAGGTTAAAACATTTCTTTATTTTAGTACACTCAGAAAAGCAACAAAATAAAGAATTGAGAGATCACTAGCGCCATAATCAATAATAGAAATAAGTTACCAGAGGGAGATTTTGTATATATAAGTATCTGCTTGGTTCTGAACACTCACAATTGTTTTTCTGTCACTAAGCAGTTGTGTTTGTAAACTGTTTCGGTTTGTCGTGCTTTCCGAAACATGAAACAAATGATAATCATTTTTAATGCTTGTTATTTATATAATGTTGACTGTAAGAGATTGCGATAAGGGCCTTTTGTATATGTACATTATTTATTAATAGTAAATAAAACTTGTATACATTTATTTTGTTCGTAATAAAGAGTTTATTATTATTAATATTTTTTAAATGATTTCATCACTATCTAAATATCATTTATCATTCAAGAACAATCTAATGGCGATTGCTAGACCACAATAAAATGTCTAATTGGGCTGTCAGTGCTGTCTATTTAAAAAAAAATATTGTTTAATTGTAGGTGTTCGAGGTGGCGTCGAGCGACCTCATTAACATGGGCATAACTGTTGTCTCCTACACACTAAAAGATATTAGAGACGAAGAGGTAAATATAGATTTTTATTAACAACATTATTACCAAAAATATTGCTTCATCAACAATTTCGCTAATTATTTAATTATAATGTATAAGTGAGTTTAATGTAAATAATATGAAATTAATATCTTTAGTCAATATTAGATATTTAATACAGGCTATTTCTCGCATTTTATGCTTGTGTGCGTAACTTAATATTTATCCGCAGTGCAATTTTCTATACACGATACTATGATTCGCATTAATGTATTCTAGAAAAAGCGATAATTTGATATCTTTAATATTGACTATGGTAATTTATTATTAACTTAATACACACCACACATAGTGTAGAATATGTTTTTCTTCTACCATGGCGACAGGGAGCGAAGGTATGTGGGAAATGGGTGTGAAATGCTTTGAATTGTTGTTTTTGTTTTTATTTGTATAAGTACACAGGACAATCAGACGGCCTCTGTGAGCGTTTTGTTTGGTGCAAATGAGGTCCCGGGTTCAATTCTCGGTCGGGTCAATTTAAAGTGGTTCGGGTCTGATTGTTCTGAATTTTGCCCTCAGATTTATATTATTTTATTTTTCATAACGCAGGCTATTCTAGCTTGGGGACTAGGCAATCGGTGTGATTGTGTAACACCTATTTATATATTTATATATAAAAGTGTTGGTTTTTTATTATGTATATAATTATCACTTATATGCACAGTGTTACATTCATTAAATATATCTATATCGATTCGACATCAAGTAGTATTCATTGAACTGAACAACTTTATATAATAGCCTGCACAGATGACAAATGTTTTGTCAGTGGCCTGGCTTTTAAGTCCAAAGGGACACAATCTTCGGCGTACATTATCTACTAGCCATTCTTAGTAAAAGTTCAAATATACAGCTTATACAAATAGAAATTTTACCCACAGGCAAAACGTTCATGATCTGTGCAGGCCCTAAGGAATAGAAATATAAAAATTAATTATAAACTTTGACTTGACTGACTTTGACTAGTGCTAGCAACATAAATTTTATTATTTAAAAAAAAAATATATTAATTACACAAAGGTATACTAACTGATGAGATAAATATGTAGAAATTAAGCAAAGGCTTATTTATACAATAAAATCGCAGTTATATATTGAAGTATTTATAACTACCTCAAAATTAAATCATAATATTATATAAATCATAAGACATATAAGCTTTATTAAACTGCCTCATAAGTGCTATATAACTGCTGTTGCTGCTGATGTTACCTATTTTTGCTAGCATATTTGTACTCTGTTGCTAACTACATTAAAATATTTTCTTCATGACCATTAGCTTCAAAATAAAAATAAAATATCAAAGTGCTAAAATGTATATTCACTAGGAATCCTTTGTAAACAACTTGACAAGTATTTTAATTGAAAATCGTATTATAGTAAATTCAAGTATGGATAGATAACTATCAATTCTTACTATTATAATAAAATTTTCATCTATTATATTTTCATCAAAATAAAAAGGGGAATAGGAAATCTACAGTAGTATATAAACGATTAACATAAACGTCTTTTTACTGTAGAATACTGTTATATTATTAACTCATTTAAAATTTATCATTGCAAAATAAATTGAGTCTAATTTTTACAAAATTAATATAGATTGTAAAAAATATCATTATTTATAGAGATTTAACGAATATATCGTATTACCGACACGAAGTTGTCTAAAAACAGACTTCTTGATATTTAAATAAAGTATCCGCTATTTAGAAACACAGTATTTATATAGCTTTTTAGTATTATTAATGATAATAATTATACCTATTCATTACCATTACTGATTATGCTTTTAACAAATTGATAAGCTAATCCATAAAGGTAATGAAATGGTAATTGTGCAGCAACAACCATATAATAATTTATTGAGTTATGTTACAGTATGCAACATGTTTAAAATTTTATGTCATTCTGTAATTGTAACGTTAATGTTTATGCATACTGTAGCATGCATGTTTAATGGTGTTCATATAGGATGAAAAACAATGTCTGTGTTAGCCAATTATACACAAAAAAGTCACATTGACTTACTGTAAGATTACGTTGAATTTTCTCAATTTTCAGTGTCGTTTTTTACATTTTACATCTTGTGTTTTTTTATGTATCAAAGGCTATCAAATTCAAATATATTTGTAATGTCTTAAAATAAAACAAACTTAAGTAAAACAATACTAAATTTTAAATGTATATTATGTGCACAAAAAAATCTAAATTTCTTAGTATTTTTCTGCTATTCAGTTTTAAAAATTATACATAGATTAATAATATTATTATTGCGTGATTACAATTTTACTTCGTTATTAGACTACTTTTAAATGGTCATTTTAAAACATTTATGTTTGAATTTTGATACATAATACAGACATTGTTATTACTAATTTTCCAATATACTCTCTTGAAGTACAATTGTCTATTCTTACGAACAGGGCTACTTGAAAGCGCTCGGTATGGCGCGCACAGCGGAAGTAAAACGCGATGCACGTATTGGTGAAGCCGAAGCCCATGCAGAAGCCAGAATAAAAGAAGCAATGGCAGAGGAACAGCGAATGGCTGCAAGGTTCCTAAACGACACAGAAATCGCTAAGGCTCAACGAGATTTTGAACTAAAGAAGGCTGCTTATGATGTTGAAGTGCAGACAAAGAAGGTGACTTCTTTATTTATTTATACTTGTTTTTAGAAAAATGATTAGCAGTATTTAAAATTATTTTTCAGGCTGATCCCCCTTATAAAAGGTGCATAATGTACTCTGAGATATATCTTAGCGAACAGTTGAAACCTTCGTTTACTATCTGGGGTAGGCATCAGATGATTCCGGTGTAGGCACGGCCTATCGGTCCCTCCCTTAAATACCCCTACAGGCAAATTATTACAATAAATTTTTTATTACCTATTTTAATAATGCAACAGCTGAGTTTCTTGTACATTCTTCTCATTTGAAATTGCGTAACGAATTCAGTGGTAGAATTATAAATTGGTAAAGAATTATAAAGTGGTAAATACCATTCATAAATATTTAAAATTAAACATACTTAAACATTTTTTTTAATAATAATAATTTAATAATTAATTTAGACACAACTGAGAAAACAAAATATATGGACACGTTATGATAATCATCACCTGTCATCCTTCACTGATGTCCCGCGAGCGTATACCAATAGCGCAAATAAGTTTATTCCATTTTCCTTCATAAGAAAAATAATATAATAATATTTGTTTACTAGGCCGAAGCTGAAATGGCGTATGAATTGCAAGCAGCGAAAACAAAACAGCGTATCAAAGAGGAACAAATGCAAATTGCCGTAGTGGAACGTACGCAAGAGATCGCCGTTCAGAAATGGGAGGTGCAACGACGGGAGAGAGAGTTAGAGGCCACAGTGCGCAGGTATGTTAAAGATATGAACTTTATCACCTCAATACAATGTCATAGAAATATGGAAACACTAAGAACTCACTTCAGTTTTTCTGTTTAACAAGTTTTAGTAAGTTTATGACTTAAATACAACTAAAGCGCTGATTATAACTTAAATACAAATAAAATTGTCGTATAGTCCCGGTATAGGCCACTTCTTCCCTTTCTATGGTTGTTGTAACAGACGACTAAGGGAACGGATTGGTCGAGGGATGGACAGAAGCGTCCTACTAAAAACATCATCAAAAGTCTAATTGCAGTAGCCAATCCGTCTGTCAAGTGTGATGACTACTGGCAAAATCCTCCAACAGAGGGACGCCTGTGGTCAGCGGTGGAATAATAGTGGCTTATGTGACACTATGATGATGACATAGCTATGTTCTTGTTTGCTTATTTGAATTGCCCTTCATCATCTCTCGGAATAATAAATTTTGTTAATTATTATGTTAGTTTACGTGCCTATGTATTATGACTGCACTTTATTTCAGTAATTTATTATTATTTTGGGAAATTGTTAAGTTTTTAATAAGAAAATAAATTTCACAGGCCAGCAGAAGCAGAGAAATTCAAATTGGAGAAGTTAGCAGAAGCTCACAAACTAAAGACTGTTCTTGAGGCCGAAGCTGAAGCTGAAGCGGTCAAAGTACGCGGAGAGGTAAGGAGCAAAACCAGTAATAGTATAATATTGTACAATCATACGCACTCATGTGTGATACGTGAGTGCGTATATTGTATTTGGGTCTTTAATAAATTTTTAAAGAATGTATTTTATTTACAATTGTTTCAAATGTCATCGTGGCAAAAGATTAATTGTCCCTCTATTGGATCTACTTCTCATAATTCAAGCGATAGATTCGTTTGATACTTATTTTTAAGGTTTACAAAAGGCAAAGATTGCATTTTAAAATGTTTTTAAACATATTTATTTTGTAATTGAGTTCAGTAATTGTTAACTATTTAGTAGGAAATTAAATTAAAAACATCATAAAATATTTGCAGGAGACTTTGTATAGTGATATCCGCATGGGAACTTCTTTTTTTCTTTCCTATTAGTTCTCAGATATGATGTTCAAATGTGATTAATGTGTATTCTGGGATATCTATGTTGCTGTTCTTGTCTACGGAAGACAGTTAATACTGTCTTACTTAGACAGTAATCAGTGGAACTGTAAGCTTAACTTCGTCATTTTCATTTTGTATAAATAATGAAATTAACGATTTTCTATAAATAAAAATTATATTTAACAGGCCGAGGCATTCGCGATTAAAGCAAAGGCAGTGGCGGACGCGGAACAAATGTCAAAGAAAGCGGAAGCGTGGAAAGAATATGGGTCGGCGGCGATGGTCGATATGATGCTCGAGACGTTACCAAAGGTATATTTGTCTATTTTAGTTTTTAATATCTAATCTATATAATAACACAAAAACTAATCAGTAATTACGCTATATATTAATTACACCTGTGCTTACATATATATCATAATCTAAATAATTCCCACCCATGGTCCAACAGATTCGTCCAGGCGGAGTAATGCTTTCGAAATTATCATGTCTTCCAAATAGTTTGAAACATAACAATAATCAAAGCAAAAATTAAATTGTAACATAAAATTAATTTTTTTAATGGAAGACAATGTAATTGTAGCCCTACTTGTGGTATGATACGCTAGCGGGACACCAGTAAGAGATGATAGACGAGGATGAAAGCAGGTGAATTAGCTCATTATCGTGAATTCAAGAATAAATCACCATGGTAGTAGGGGGAACTAAATCGAAGTCGACCTGACGGGATATATTACTAGCAATGGGATGCGTTTTACATTTTGTTTATATTAGGCAAAAAAATATGCGCACGATTATAATTTTTAATAGGATAGTGTTAAAGGCATTAGTTAACTTTCGCTGTTGTGATGGACGTAACCCTCGAAATGACTATATTTTATTGGTGAACTGCTATATGCTTGGATATATTAGAGTTTATCGTGGTAAGTGACGAGCATACCGTACTTAGATTAGCTTAGTTTGTTAGCAGTGTTTTCTATCATAGAAAATTTTGTCGAGAATTAATTGCAAATGTGTTATATTTAATATACATAATATTATCAGGTGGCAGCAGAGGTAGCAGCTCCATTGTCGCAAGCACGAAAGGTCACCATGGTATCGTGTGGTGGAGGTGAGGTAGGAGCCGCGAAGCTCACAGGCGAGGTGCTCAGCATCGTTCAATGTCTCCCAGAACTGGTGAAAGGTGTTACGGGAGTCGACATTTCTAAGGTGAGTGCTGAGATTCAATATTTTTTATAGACGTAAATAATAATTAAGACAATGAACTATTTATATGGTATTGTAATAAATGGCAATATTTATATTTTATATCTACTTACGTGCTCCATAAATAATAGTTATAAATATTATAAAATTTAATGCATTTGGATACAATGAGACAATCATCATTGAAAGAATACAATGACAAGGTATTTGTCATATTAAAAAAAAAACATAGTAAAATATTATTTTAAAACAAGTAACAAATAATAATGATATATATATATATATATATATATATATATATATATATATATATATATATATATAGCAGTTTGTTACTTAATAAGTAAGTGTAACTTCATGTATAAGGAATGATTATTGAAGTAATCCCTTAGATTATATAGATAGAACCTCAAGTCTCAAAAATGGGTCAACTTTTTGTTAACTAATTGTCAAATTAGTTGACTCGTTTTTTTTATTAGTGTTCCATATACTTACAGCTTAGATTAAATAGAGAATCTCCATAGAAATGTTTCAAAAAAGTGTGTCAACTTTTCTGTACAATTGTGTTACCAAATTAGAAATTATTACTTTAGATTAAGGTAAATAGATGAAATTCATAATTTAAAATATTATTAGGAATAAATATTCCTTTATAATATTTAACTTTATTTATATATTTAATTATTTATTTATTTAGTAAGTTTTACCTGCTTTGTAAAATAGCTTTAAATATTGCTTTAAAAATTAATAAAATTTTGTAGTGAACGTTCATAATCAGCATTTGTGATCTATGTATACTATAAATATAAATGGATAATAATCCATCACTAAAAGTAACGGCCATTTTAAATGCTTTTTAATTAACCAATTTCTTTGACAATGAATATCTCAAAATCTTTGTAGATTTAAAACATGTATTGATGTTAGAACTAATCAAACTGACACCGAATTATTTTGACCGATTAATCTTGACACCGAATCCATATTTAAAGTGTACACAGATCTTCAGATTTTGATTTTGAAAGCAAAGCGGTCAAGTATAAAATTCTTTGAGTAAAATATATATAGTCGAATTTAAAATCTCCTTTTTGTAATCACACGAGAATGATGGCTGTTTTAGTAATAATTTAAGAAATTGTGTTGTGACAGTGTACTTTAATTTAATATGAATAATATTAAATGGTCTGCATAATACTCAATAATATCTCTATGTACATACCTACATAAATATTATATTTGTATTACGTACAAAAATAGCACAAAATACAAATAATAATTAAAAATTATTCAATTTTTACTGAAATAATGCACGCCATTCCTGAAATTTAAATTCAATTGTAGGGATATTTTTCGGATACTTGAAACATAAAAAAAGGGCGCGAATTGTTTTAATAAATTGTAAATATTTATAATTGTATGTATGCATTAAATTATCTTTGACCGACTGTTTTCAAAATCAAAGATTGGTGTACACTTTAAATATAGGTGTCCGGTGTCAGATGTAATCGAAATGGCTGCCATTTTTATTTAAAGTGATAAAAATATTTATTTGGATAAGGATTAACAAAATAGCATTAAGAATTTGAACTTAAAATACAATTCATTTTTTTTTACATTTAACCAACTTAGCTACAATTCACTCATATTTTCCATTGCCATACATAGATATTTTCAAATCCCCGCATAAAATACCTCCCGTTTTAATTAATTCTAACGCTAATACATGTTTTAAATCTGTAAAAATTCTGAGGTATTCATAATCAAAGAAATTGGTTAAATAAATAAAATTCGAAATGGTCGCCACTTTTAGTGACATTATCCGTCCATATTTAAAATATACATGAGTCCACAAATACCAATTCTTAACCTTTACTTCAAAATTTTACTTATTTTTAAAGCAATATGTAAGAATCATGAAGTTCTATTAACCACATTATTTATTTTTTACCTACATATTATTCTTAATAAATAAATAATACATTTAAATATATCAATAATGTTAAATATTATAAAGGATTATTTAATCCTAATAATATTTTAAGTTATGACCTTCATCTATTTTTTTTAATATCTAATTTATAATTTGGTAACACTTGTGTCGTACACAATTGTATGAAAAGTTTGACCCGGTATATAATCTAAGAGTAATCCATAGTTAAACTGAAAACGAATGGCAGATCTTCGTGTTTGACGATATCGTCTTCAACTTAAAGAGTAGGATCGTCACGATTATCAGTTAGATTTATTGTAACAATGAATTGTTTTGTGTATGTTGGGCATTGTGGTTAAAACTCCTGAACACAGCACAGCTGAATCATAGTACCATCTAGTGACAAACTAAGCAAATCATATATATAATTGTATTTAAATTTGATAGCTATTTTTGTCACTTATCAACACAGCATGTGTTTAACGTGAAATAAAAATATAAACGTCATTATAAAATTAACTAACTGTAAATAGTATTAATATTATTAATTAGGTTAATTGAATAAGGTACCCATTAATGAATAGTAACTAACCGATTAATCACATTAGATACGCAAGCCTGAGATGAATGTGCAATATATACGCTTATAATGGATATATGCTATAATGAATAAAAATTGTAATAGTTAATTAGGGAATATATTTTAATTATGTGAAGTTTAAAATAGGACAGGAAGTTTGGAAGGGATTTCGGTAGGCACGATTTTTTTAAGGATTATAGTGAATTAGTAATCCTATCTGTGCTAATAGCATAGCGTTATCGCTGGCGGGATACTAGGGAAAGATGATAGATGTCAATGAAAAAGTAGGTCAGTTAGCCCATCGTGATGAATACACCTGGAATTCAGCACAATAGGTTCCAGGGGGACCTCGTGGAGGTCGACCTGACACGGTACATTGCTAGCGATAGGATTGGTAGTCCTCATTACTAACATTCCCTTGCAGACTTAGGAAGGACATTAAACATATAAGCATTAAACGTATAAGCGTCATTCATTAACTATCCTCTGCTGAATGTAAGGCTCTCACATAAGGGGGCTTTTGCCAGTGGTTGCCACAAATGTAGGCGAGTTGGCAACCGCAGTTAGCCATTCTTCGGCCATTCAGTTCCTTTACTTGTTTGTTGCGACACCCACGGGACACAAAGGGGTGGCTTATTCTATACAGAGACTATTCGGCAAGTTACTCATAGGGAATGCTCAATGAAAATCTTAACGTGAAAATTGACACTTCCTGTTTTTAGTTTTTATTATATAAAATACCTAATTTAGGAAATGTTGTAGTTACAAGTAGGTGTAATTTATTTTGCTTTTTCTCAAATTACAAAAATTTACGAGTGTTCCTATTTGAATATTGCGTAAAAACCAATTCTTTGCTTTTTTTTTTTGTTTAAAAGGAATCGAAGTGGAAGTGGTCTCAAAACCTTTCCATCAGTGCCTGAGTACCGGATTTAATAATTCTATAGCATTCTTTAATTGCTAAGATCGTGTCACGTCCGCTGATTCTTTTAGTTGTTTCATTATCCATATATTGTATTATGTGATATATTATAATACATATAATATTTATGTTGTTGTGTTTTTTATATGTTCAATGGGGTTTTTTTTACTACATTTTATATTATTATTTTATTGTTTATTATGTTCCGGAAACGACAAAACGGCTTGATGCAACTCAGATGATTGTTATACCCAGAAAATAACTTACCAGTATTTTATAAGTAGATATATGTTTAAATACTATTAGTGTAATATTAATGGAACTAGCATTTGTTGATTTAAATCAATAGAATCTTACATTTAATCGTCCAAACAATAATAATTTTAACAGTATTCTTTTAAATTATGTTTTCCTAATTTGCTTGTAATCTAATAAGTATTTTTTTATACTATTTCAATTCTTATGTGGTTAACCAAAATGATATGTTGGATAAAGTAAGCACGATACGCAATGATGAGCACGTATTGGGCTATTAGAGTGCAGAGCAATAATTAATGTGCAAACAATTATGTACCTTGTCCTTGTAGCAATATAGCATTAAATATATGTCAATTAATGGTTATTAGTTATCAATGTGTACTGTGATAAGGCACTTAAATGTCTATATATTATTGTACGTGACTGTACAAAGCACAACACACACTTATCAAACAATACCTATTCACGTAAAAATATACTAGGGGGTTAAAATATAGAAATTACATGAATCATATGCTTCATTATGTATACCCAGCCAAGTAAATAAGCATTATGCCAAGTAGTATTAATATAGTAGTTTTTTTTTCATTGGCCGTATTTTACGAACACGTATTACGATTTATATAAAATGACTTATGAAACTTATTTTAATTATTGCACATTTGATTAAACAATTATATGTATATATGTATCAGATTTTCTTGTTAAACTTATTTGATATATGTACAACACTATACAATCCAAATGGAACTTGGAATTGTGATCTTGTGCTGTTTATTATGTGACACCGTTATACGAATAACAGTATATAGATTGTAACAGAATGTATCAACGGATATATTTAAACCCCTCTATAGTATTCTTGAAACACGATAAATTTTCCTAAGTAAAAATTAAAATTATTTTTATACATTTTTTCCAAACATTATTCACACATGATTCTTCTTCACTTCTTCTTTCTTTTTCTTAGAGATAACTATTGTATATATAATAGTTTTTTATGGATGTTCCTGTTACACTTTTATGTATTATATATTGTTTAGGTAATTATTGTTCACCGTCATGAATGGAGGTGTAGATGTAAATAATTGTATATTTTCATATGTTTCATTGTCTGTCCGCATCTAACATGGAACTGAATGTAATAGAATCGCTGATTGACCAAAACTATACAGTCTACTGTGAATTTGATGTACATATAAATTTGATATTGAAGGCAGTTTTTTTTATTAACTATTGAAAGTACAAAAATAAATTTTAGAATGGTAAGATTTTGATTATCGGATTCTTCGCTTTAGAGGTTTTAAGCTTTAAGAACTTAATTTTCTAGTTACTGACAAAGAGAAAACTTAAAAGGCGATTCTGTTATTTTCATTTTAACACAATTTTTGTCGCTTGGCTTCCTTAACTTTACACGGGGTGATGGTAGCAGGCTGTGGCGGAACCGCCCACGCTGCCGACGCCGACAACCCGCGGTGACTCCGGGAGAAAGGCACGATAACTGACACAGAAGTCTAGGCAACTACTCAATGCTCATAAGGTAAGTAACATTATCCATATCAAAGTGTGTCAACGTTGAAATTATATGCCAATTTTCAATAACAATTGAGAAAACTTTAATATTTCTGATTATTTTTTTATAAGCTATTATGATAGTGCATTAAAATAAATTATTATTCTGGAATAATGGAATTTTTTTGTTTTAGAAACTTGACATTATATCGCTGTTGTCACACTTCTATATAAAGTTTCGATACGAACTCTTACTTATTAATATTACATATTAACAAGCTCTTAGAGCATTCAACATAGGATAAGCAAAACTTTTTGCTGTTTTATCTAAATGGTGCTATATTTGTATTATCAGTGACACCGAGTAATTTGTTTTCTAGACCTATTGAAAACAGCATTCGGATGGAACGAGACAGCACTTCTCGTTATTTCTTATTTTTTCCTCAATTGAAATGTATCGGTTAATAGCTTTGCATTTTAATAGTACCTATTAGTAGTAAAGAATTTAAATTAAGAAAAGAGAAATACATACATACGAATGCCGTGTCTTGTGTTGAATGTTCCAGAATGCCCTAACTGTCATATTGAAATCGTCAAGGATGTGGAACATTATCCAATTACTAAAGAAAATAATGAGGTCAATTCCAAGGAGCAATTTTTTTAAACATGTCTTTTAATTTAATATTTCAATTTTATATCATAGTAACATGTTTAGAGGACAAAATTTGTAACTAAATTTGTAACAAACTTTGAAAATTATTATGAACTAGCAACCCTGTCCGGTTTCGTACGGGTAGATATAATCTTCATATATATAACTTACCCGCGCCTTCGTCCGCGTGATGGGAATATGTTCATTGACCATTATAAAAAGCCTATATCCTTCTCTATCCCATGTAGTACGTGTACAACAAATTTTATAGTAATTGGTTAAGCCGTTAAGGCGTTATGAGGTAATAAACAAACAAACGAACTCACTTTCATATTTATAATATTAGTAAGGATGTTACCCTGACAATATAATTTTCTATAGGTGAAATTTTTTTTTTCATAATTGGTGGAGAAGTTTTTGAATTAATCCATTATAAACAAACAATCAAATCTTTCCTCTTTAAAATATTAGTATAGATTGAATTTATGATGGTTCATAAAACAGTAATTTCGCGAAACTATTAAATTAAAAAATTAGGTCAAGAGGTTAGGGAAACGGCGCCTCAGAATTGACCCCATGTTTAGCTTTTAAATTCTTCCGAATATGAATATTCATACGAAGGATAAAGTCATTAAGATTTTCATCTAGTCTTAAAAATAAAAAATATGTCTACTGTATTTATGCATAAATCAAATATCTTTTTTTAATCTCATATTTCAATACCAAGTAGGAAGGACTTATGAAAGATTTTATTTACATTTCTATTTCTTTCTTTGCAATTCATAATTGTAGTAAGAATTTCTCCAAGAAAGTTTCATTAAATATGGCAGCAATCATCTGTATTAAGATACTAAAATGTTTTTAACTCGCACGTTTTTACTAAATATAAAAGCGTCTGAGCTGCCATTTGCATTAGCGACTTTCAGTTGCATGAGTGGCGTAGTAATATTATTTATGGATATTTTATGCCCGTAAACAGTATCAACAAAATTCAAGGTAATTTTTTTACTTCAAAGTACAATGAATTTGCTAAACGAGATTTTCCTTGAACGCTTTTATTCAATTCATGTAATATTGGTATATTCACAATTTTGTGATTTTAATATAGAACATCTCCTTGGCAATTTTAAGTAACTGTTATTACATCTTATACTAAATACAACGCCTAAAAATATTGCCTATTAATCTGCTTATCACTGTTTCGCTAATTACTAAATCTGACTAATTATTCCTAATCTAAAATGTTTCATATTATCAATTAAGTCACCTCAACCTCTTTAGTTTAATCTTGCAATAGTAATATGGTTTCCATATACTCTTATTTCAATATATGCACAAAATATACGTTGCTTACTAATATAAACTACATTTGTATACATTTAACAGATTTCAAAAACAGTTTCTCCGTTCAAATTTTATTATATATCATTAGCAAATTTAACAAACGTCTATATATTTTTACGAATTTTCTCATGTATACCAACTAGTAACAAACACATCGACACAGGAGATAAGTTCTAGAATTGTTTAGAACTTAGCAAACTCTAGGCATCTGGATTTATAAACGGCCTTGACGTTTGTTATCTATTTTTATCGCGACAGTGACAAACAACTGAACACAATACCTACAGTGAGATGTCACAATCAATTTCATAAGTATCTTGGAGTAAATGTGAATCAATTCCCAGCATCCGCGACGGTAATTACAATATTAAGCAATCCTTTGACAGAAGGCTAGATAGTGAATACTCGTATTCGTATTTGAATGAACGCGATATCAATACATTACATACATTTATTGTTCCAAGTCACCAAAAATATCTCTGTGCGAACTATCTACTAGTGTTCACATAATGCATGTGACCATAAAGTTTTGAATAAATAAATATTCAAAATTTTAATTATAAGTATTGTGAAGATAATTATTTATTTATTTAAATGGAAAACTATTGTCTATTATGGGAATATCTTATAACCCTTTAATTCGTCTAACAGGTTCTTTAGGTTTCAAGCTAGAATTTAAAATAGACTCATAATCGTATAGTATTTAAAGTTATTTGTAAATAGATCAAGCTACGATTTGTGATATTACCCCAAACGATAAAGGATTTTTATAAAACAACTAAATTATTGCCTACGGTGACGGAATAAGAGTAAAATTAAATCATACCGAGAATTATACTAAAATCCTTTTTATAAAAGTAGATACCAATGCCAAAGAGTAGGTTATGAGGATGTTAAAAATGCATATATACATAGTGTAATATTTTAACTTCAATAAGTAACTAGCAACAATACGATGCGTGTAAAATTTAATATTGATTGACATTAAAACACCGTCATACATAAAACGATGTGGCGAATTAACAAAGCAAAATGCAAAATTTTTACCCCACCTTATATCACGTGTTTTGCTTTGTGATTTTTATATTCTTAAAATTTATCGCAGTGTTAATATAAAAGAAAAAATAGAATATAAAAGAAAAGAAAGAATGTTATCCTGATCACTATTAAAATATTGTATTAATATAGAAATGATTTGTAGTTGATAACCGTGGTAAATATATAACAATATACGGTTATTGTAATGTGGTGAACCGATTGTGATCACGTAACACCGCATTCTCATTCGTCATTTTTTAATTTTTTGAATTATATTATGATAAAATTGTAATTAAATAAAGTTTTATTATAATATAATTTAAAAAATGTCCATTTCTGGTATTGTATTGTATATAAATAAGCCTAATTTTTTTAAAATGTATTGACTAGAATTATCATTAAGCTGAGCTAAGACTACTGAAGTTAAGCACAGTCGATTCTTTGATGAATTTTTCTGGAAATTCGCTCTATAATAGGATTGAAAATTGTATGAAAATTTGTCATATTTTGATTTATTAACACATCTGTTGTCACAGTAGTTATGTTAGAACAACAAAGAGAAATATTTTTAAAAAAACTCGGATAATAAAGTGTATATTATGTAATAGGAGAAAAATTAATTTTCAACATTTTTATGTTAATTTTTTTTTCAGAATGCTCGCGCAATGTAAAGTTACATGCCACATTGTACCCAAGACAGCGTTGTTCGTCGCAACAGAACAAGACCATCAGATGTGTTAATGTTTTTTTTAATATACCTGCCTACCTTTTGTGCTATGCTTTCATTAGATAGGTAAGAAATTTGTTCAGAGTGCCACTTTTAGATTATTTTGTTGAAATAAACCAAAGCAAATGGATGTTGCCCGGAGCTAAGCTGTTTTGTACTAAATTTTTACGTTTGAATTGTTTGTATCTAAGTGAAAAAAAAATCTCTTCAAATGTTTAATTATTTACCAATTGATATGTTTGAGAATAAAATTCAATTCTAAGGATTCTATGAAACGATAAGAGAAATTTATTAGTAAAAAAGTAACGATTAAAATGGAGAAATGTTTACTATTTAAATATTTTCTTATCGCTTGTGTCTTGTGTAACAGATGAGCTCTGAGCAACATTGTTCCATATTATGATTTAGTAATACTTATCACGTCGAAGTTATCTGTAAGATTGTCATGCATCTCAACGACGAAAAATACATACAGTAATATATTTATAAAATAAAATATTTTTCAATATAAATATTTTCTTAAAATAAAATGAAATTGTTATAGTCCGCAATAAGGAGCTGGACAGCCAGACCTTTGACAGCTTATATACTGTTATTTAACTTATTTAGTAACGACGAGTAGCTGCCGGAGATTATTAGCAAGCGGTGTTTTGTAGTTGTGAGTTCAAGACGGTTAGACTGGCTAGTGAGCTTATCTGAAACGTTGATGTGTTGCTGACATGCATTTAATTACGGATCGGTACATACTTTGTTAAAATCCAACGCGATAACTATTGAACTGCCTCACAACTGAATTTTTAAATACATATTGTGCCAAATCAATTAAAGTAAATAAACTAGAGACTTATTATACGAATTTGGTAAAAAATTTAAATGTTGACAGAACCTACTGGTCTTCATTTAAACATACATAGAACCGTAGTTGTATTGATTCAGTGGATATTTTATGCTATGCTATGAATAGTGTTGTTGTGGATTTGGAGTTGATATCACAAAAGTCCAGATTTGTCGCAGTTCAAAAGTACTGTAATACATGGTTTTTAACAAGTAAATCTTAGCGAAAATTCTGAGTGCAAGCGTCGTCGTAAAATGTACAAGAGTTATCTAGCGTACCACTTAATGAGTACTAATACAATTTCGACCAATCGCCTAAATTTTTTCCCATTGTAGATGGTTACAAGTTTAATGACTGTTATACAAACAAATAAAAATGATACCTATATTTTTTTATTTAGCTAACTGTCGTTAGGGTAAACGAAAATATTTGGTGTTCAAAAAGTGCAGTTTAGAAATTCTAATAATAATTGTAATTTAGTGCGTTCGTAGACATTATTGATGTCCTTTTCTAAAAAAAGAATGTTAGCTAATTATACTACGATCGTAGTTTTTCATAAGGTGAACGTCAACGTGTCAAAATAGCAATTTTATATTATATCAGCCTCACCTAGTCATTTTTTTTTATTAAATATTAATTTATTGTTATATTTATTCATATACAAGTTAATTATGTTCATTATATAGTAATCTATTTTTATGGTTTGGTTTATTTTAGTGGAACCATAATGTGATTGTGGTTCTATTTAAAATGTATAACTTCAGTGTGTATCCACGCATAAGTCGTAGTTTAAATCGGGCAATCGGTATTCAATTAGATATAAGACAAAAATGGATTACATTCTTAATTATTTTTAAAAGATATAAATGGATACATTATTTTGAATTACGGCTGAAGAGATTATATGGTCAATTAAAAACTGTATGAATCTCGTAGCAGACGTGATTATTTTAATGAGAAATTATACAAATGTAGTAAAAAAGAACATCATTATTTAAATATTATGTTAAATTATTCTTTTAAGTGTAATTCACATAGTCCCATTTACGAGCCCCGGGCCCTCTGGTAGCCATCTGTTCTTAGAATTCCGTCAGTGAGATGTCACCCATTCTCCACATTCACATATGAACTTATCGAAAAAATTTATATCAGTGTATTCAAATATTTTAGAGAGCGCACATTACGTCTTTATCGAATATAGGAAAATTTGTAATTATTGCAAATGTTTTACAGTATTTTTCTGTTCATTGTATACACAAAAGCACAAGTACATGTAGTTATGACAAAATGTTGATTCAATCATTTGAGTAATCGGATAACAGACAGTTCTATATATATATATGTTACTTAATATGAACTTGAAATGTTCATATTAAGTAACATATACTTACTTAACACATACTTATAGAAAATAGTTGAATTACTTCTGGTTGCGGAAAAGTTTATTTATATAATAAAATCTTATTAATATAATAAAATTGTAACTAAATGACATCTATACCTGGGAAATATTTAAAAATTAATATGAGAGAACAAAACTTGGTATGAGGGGTTTTATAAAGACTAATACATGTTAAAACAATAATTTTTGGAAATTTTGTTTATCTTAACTATTGCATTAATTTAGACGCGGTCTTTAAAGTTGTGGCCTGAAGGTGTAATCTAAAATCTGGTTTATATTTCTTGATACGCCATTTAGAAGCGGTCTATTCAATTAGTTTTCATATTTCTGAAATCTACGCGTACGAAGTAACGCACAAAAAGATAATATAATTTTACTTCTCTTTGTTGATCGCGGACGGGGCTCGGACGCGGAACTGTATGAATGACACTTTAAACATTATTTTTAGAGAAATATGTTTATTTACCTCGAGCATTTGTTGGCTTCAGTGCCATAAGTATTATACCCAGTTCTAGATTACTTTACATTAATTATTATTTAAATAGGTTAGAGTTTTGATAGTTCTAATTAGGTTTAAGTGGAATGTAATCAAATTGGCGAGAGCGGTCGTTCATACATGGTTTTCTTAATGTAACCTAAACAAAATGAGCACAAAGTACCATACCTATTATGTCACTACTAATTTTAACCTATAATTCTTGTTGCTTTTTGATATTAGAAATGATCACGTTTCAATCGGTATTTCGTTTCCTACTGTCTAAAAGTAGCCTAGATGATTGATTGGGTAATGTAAAAGGTTTTCACCAAATAAGATAGGTATACTAAGTATTCAACTTAACCGATTCGACATGTTATATTTTATCTAAAGTTAAGAGCATGATAGTGTGGTTTTTGCATTATATACAAGGCTAAAATAATATTAATTGTTTGGATCGATCAAAATATTAATGAATAAGTATGTGATCTTAAAACGTTCAATGTCACTATTATTCCAACAAATTTAGTTTATATCTGTAACGTTTACGAGTATGTATGTTCGTATGTTAGGCTCCGTTCTCAATGTGCTGGCCTGGTTGGTTTTGTGACCTAAACTAAGACATGTTTATATATATATATATATAGTTGGATGAAAAAAAAATACATAAAAACCGTTCGATCAATATTCAACTAGCCGAACATGATGATAATTTCTTACTCGGTTTTACACATATTATATTTATAGTAAGATCTAACTAAATAGGAACAGCATCATATAAGTTGTTATGTCTGTATCACTACCAGCTGCTTAAGGCTCCAGCGGTTTCCGGAAATGTCAAAATAACCGGGCCGGTACAGTAACGCCTACCCACTGTATATTTTAAGTGTCATTATCTGATAAGAAGTTGATGCACTGAGAGTGGCACAATTATTTATTTACTTTTTGTGTGTATCACAATTTTCAACATGTATGTAAGTGTATTGACGTGGTTTTTATTCATGTATATTCAGTAAAACTTGCAGATTAATATGTTGTTTTATTTTTGGATCCTTATTACATATAACATAATTATTTTAAAGGATTTAATCTATATGAAACAAAAAGTAATAAAATATGAAAAAAGAAAAGGTACGAGTACAATCGAACCCAGTTTGGAATTCACATTTTGGTTTTAGGTTATAAAGTGTAGTATGTGAATACTAAGCGTGTTTTGGGCAAAGAACTCTAGTAAAATAATGATTAGATTTAGCAACAATTACATTTCCGCACAGTAGTGTAGCAGTGTTTGTAGGTTTATTATTTTAAATAACTATGTAAATACATATAAGAAAAAGGAAAACAGTAGTACCTCTATGGAATTAAAATGCTTTATTGGTTATAACTGATTTATTTGATTTTTATCACATTTTATCATATTTATTCATGAATTTCGATTTATAGCGTAGTTAAACGCTTATATCCCCGCTAAAAATAATTAGATTGCAGAAACTGTCATTAATCAATAGTTTTGGTTTAAGTAATAGTATTTCTCCATGTCGTATACACACTTGCCTTTAAAGTTTTCTAATTCATATATTTAATGTGCTAAGTGTGTAATATTGAACTTCATTTGTTATACTATGGTTACTTTTCTACAATCTCTTTAAGAGAATTGTATATTTTAATCGATTATACGTGTGTGACTAAATACGTTTACGTATATCGGCTTCCATAAGGATATTTATTGCTATTTGGTGAACAGGCATCACTAATATTTAAATTAAAACTAATAAATTATAAACAAAGTAATTTATTAAATAAACATAAATGCGACGTCTTACATATATGAAATTAATTGCATACTAATACAGTTTAATCATAACACATTATTCATAATTAGGAAATTATACGTGGTGACCTGCACTTTGAATCTTCTAGAGGAAAAGTTATTCAATGACAATCTTATCAATACACGTCTTTTCTATTACTGTATTTATCTATTATCTAATTCATATTTCTTAGCGAACTATAAAATTGCAAATTCAACGCAACATAGTCATGCGTAATAATATGTAAACAGTTGTATATTATTGCAAAAAAATCCTTGAATTTGAGGAGTAACAGTGTTTACATAATTGCGTACATAACTGTGCCTACATACTAATTTGGCTGTGTGGCCTATTAGATAAATAATTACAATATACGATCAGTAGTAATCTCAACATTTAGATGATATCACAAATTTAATTTAAATCACATATATGAGATTGCGACATTGGAACTAGATGTTCAATAAATACAAACATTGCGAATTAAATTACATTAAAAATACGCGAATGATAGTTTTTTTAAACTTATTTGTAACTTATGTGTAGGTATTTTATTTTACTAAAATCTTATGATTATTCGGCAATTTCTTAAATCCTATCAAAAATGCTTGTTGCTTAAATGCTAATGAGCTATTGTTAGTGGTAAATGTCATCATAAAACTATGCAAGTTATTATTGTATTGTCATGGTTTTATAAGATATTAAAAATCTTTGAATATATATTAACATTTTGTACAGTCTAATATTTATATCTACTATTGTGCATCAAAGTTAACTACGAATATTAGAAACATATTTTTATAAATCGATTCTCAATAAGGAAATCTTGATTATATTCGCCGAATTGTATGAATATTTTTTTTTTTTGTCTATTATTACTTATCAGATTATGTACCTAAAGCTGTAGCTATAAAATTTTAATGATTACATTTTGAAATAATTAATTCTTAAACATAAGTTTCTGAAAATAATAGGCAAATATCTATTCGTCTTGGAAGACACTTTTGTATACCAAAAAAAAAGAATAAATAAAAAGAAAATATAATACCCAATATTTACATTAATATATTAGTTATATATCAAAAATATAAACTTTACTTAGGACTAAATGAGTTTAAAAATTACAATTGCACAAATATGACTTGGAATAGTTCTACATGCAAATATGTCCAATCTATAGCACAGAGGCATGGAAAGCAGTGAGGATACTCATGACGATCAAAAATATAACATAGTGATTTCTTTGATTACAATTGAATTTTTGGTAGATAAATCAACATTTTTATGAATACAAAATATACCCAGCCATTTTATGCTACAAAGTTGTCTCACTAATTAAACGTTCTGACATCTCCACTGAGTGACATCAGAATGTCTCAATATTTCATTATTGATGATTTTATATACAGGGTGAGTATACGTGAAACTGGGTTTGGATAAAGTTTATATTTCACATTTTTAAATCAATTAAAAGTCGTTTAAAAATAACGGTAATTAAATAATAATTTAAGATAAATAAACATGCCAACTATATAAATGTACAATTCTTAACCTTTTTACAATTTCATCCCACGGTGATATCAGGTTGTGGAAAATATTCTTGTTCTGTAACCTCTTTATTGCAAATCTAAGCCGACATGTACCTGCAATAGAATTAAACATTATAGAGACTATAGCTTATATTATACTTATTTGTTATTAGTTTATTTTTTTTAATTCACAAAACTGAGGAAAAATATTAAAAGATTACGTCATGCAAATGATCTGCAGGTATGACCGAAGTACAATATCAAGAAATCTAATTTCAGTACTAAAAACATAATAAGTTCGTCAGCACATGAATTTTCCTATACTGACCGCGATTTATATTTCTTAGCGAACATTACATTTAATTACATTAAATTTTATGACAAATGACATAGGTAGTTGTATCTTTACATCGGATCACCGAGATAATCTATGAGTATATTGTGTGCCGGAATTTAGACATTTAAAAGTGTAATGGGACTTTTTACTAGTGATCTAGTTAGCGCTGACAGAATAATAAAAATTGATTTACTTAGGCACTTATCGACTAACAAGAACCAACAGTGGACTACTGAACCATTGATAAAAAGGGAAATTAATATTTAATGTTATTATGTGATAATACATTTTTTAAAGTTTTCACAATCGTTTTTTAGAGCATTTAAATACGAGACAAGCCCGGCGATGTGACAACCCTACAGGTGTCCATACTCCGTTTTCCATCGTATGCTTGTTTGCCACCAAGTACTATAAAAAATAGACGCCATTAGCAGAATTTTCCCTTTGTTAAAGTTCAGTCTAAAATCAAGTCTACGAGATACCTTTAAAATTAATATAGTATTATAAGCAAATATATGATGTGGTGAGACATAACATGGTTGTATGGTAGTGTTTGAGATAGATTCTCATAGATAATTGCACATGATACTCAAAATGCAGATATATTCACAATATAGTGTTCAGTTTTGTGAATTCTATAGCGTAATAATGCTGACTTCAAAGAAAGTTCGTGCGGTTATGTGATCGATTTAAGTACGACTAATATTAAAGGTTAAATTTATGTGGATGCTCAAGTTAGTTTTGTGTTAGTATTTTCTAAAACTAATGTACAAAACCACCTTAAAATTCACGAATTATATAGATGGCGCCTTTGTAAATACCCTAAGTGAGTAGATAAGTGTGATTTTTTTTTAATAACGAGGAGATTAAAACCCAATTTTAAATGAATCATATTGAGATTGAATCCATATAATACTGATGAAAATGAACTAATCTGTTAATATTTTCTAGGCGGCAGCTTTTGTTACAATTAGATCACAAAATTTCTTAGAACAAGTACTAAAATAGTAAAGATATGAAATAAATTTAATGATTGAAGACTTCACGGAAAAAAATTACGCACATAAATTTACGTGTAAATTCTTATATCCACTCGGTCTAAAATTTTTTGAGTGAGCATTTTAAATTTGTAGGCACATAGACCAAAGTAAAATTTGTTATCGAATATTTATTCAATGTATAAATAGTTAGCTATACTTACAGACCTCAGATGGAGTACTTTTTAGAGTTATTTTCACAAAAAATGACTCGAAAACATTTGTTACATGAGTTAGTAGGTGTATTAACAATAACTTTAGGTTATTAGGGTTATGTTTTAAAAAGCCGTGACGTTTTAAACAATCTGTTACTTGACATTGAACTACAATAAAATATTTATTATTAGATACAATAAATATTATAGGTTTTTATAAGTAAATATCTACTAAAAATATAATATTAGGTATAAGTAGTTATTATTATGAAGGTACATCACTTAAAAAAATATTTTGAAATTATAAATATAAATCAAGAAATCTATTTTGTAATTTTTTTATGTCGGCTTTACTCACGTTACTAATTATTTACCAAGATTATGATTTTGCGGCGAAAAACTCAACGTTATAAATTAATACGTGACCAACATGAAAGTAAGTCCTACGTTTTGCAAAAATATTTATCAAAATTGGGAAAAAGATTCCGCAACATAAAAAAGTAAATATGGGAAATATGTTCTCTTTTTTATATTTTGTAATTATGACATAACTAATTTTCTATTTTGGTTATAAATTCAAATATATAGAGATATCGACGATTTTCGCAATAGCAATAACAAAGTTAAAGGTTATCTAGTTAGTGTTATAAGTTATATATTTAATATCATTTTAGTGGTATGCCATTGCGGACATTTAGGTATCTACAATTTATACACATCTACTTTTTACTGTCTTAATTCGCTAAATGACCATCTTGAATGTGATTAGCGAGTGCTTCATACATATAAGTTAGTTAACTGAGTTTTCTAAAATATGGTTGATCGCAATGACGGCTGGTTTATCCGGTATCCTATATACCACTTGTATTGATTTACACTAGATACTACTATTATTATTCGATTTTTGTTTAATATATATCTTGGTTTTAAATGCATATGGAATTTACATTTGATACTAGGTGTTACTACTTATATATTACAAAGGTAGGAACTAAACGACAGATCAACTTATAGCCTGTGTATTTTTATATACTGTAAGTAAGCACTAAAGAAAGTGTTTTGAAAGTTATGAGACAAATGATATAAGGAATATTACTTCGTATCTAAAATGTATGTGTAAATGGCAGGAGTCAGTCTATATTATGCTACCCACCACCACTGTAATAAATAAAATCGAGATAACCTCGACTGACCTTATCCTACATAGAGTTCACTTTCCAACCAGATTCAATAACTTGTAGCCAAAACTGTGCGAACATAAAAGAAAAAATATATTAACGAATATAACAAACAATTGGAATCAATTTGATTGAAACAACTGCTTTATAGATACTTTTTAATATTAAATATAAATATGACTATTTGAATTTTAAACGAATAACGTTTGTTCTTTCACTTGTACTAACAGATCTCAACAGTACACTTTAAGATAAAATTTGTAAAGATTAGATAAAAAAAAAACTTAATAACAGGCAACTATCGTTAATATAGTAAGTTACTAAAGCAAAACAAATTATATATATTGTATAATATTAAAATTATATTCTTATATCTAGGCAGTTTTCATTGATATGTAAGAATGACATTATTTCTATAAAACAACAAATTCATCAAATGGAATAAATAGCATTTAAATAAATTAGATGATTAAATTTTAAATTGATATTTTTCAGGGTATAATTAAATCTTAATAAAAAATATTAAATTTATGAGTATGTATGTGACAATCATCATCTTTATCATCAATCAATCAATATAAATATAATCAGGAGATGTTTGAGTACTTAACTATTCATTTGAAATTTAAATTATCAGTACAATTCAGTTGAAAAATTAACTTTTGATAATTTCATTAAATATTTACAAAATATGATTGTCATCATGTAAAACGATCACGCTTTATATTTATAAATGACATAGACCTACATAGGCATAAAACGCTAATATTATCTATGATCTATTATAAGTAGGTATATAAATGTAACAATAACTTCGTTGATGTTACGTACGTAGGTACTTGTCTATGCAATGAGCGCGATAAGATACTTATTTAAATAAGATATTATAAACGATTAGATAATTTGCACTTATTTTCATAAAAAGTATTTACGCGGTAAAGTTAAATTAGGTTTAAGGCACATATTAGATGAAGCGCTAAAATCATGTCAATTCCTTCATAATCAATTTTGTTTTAATTTTAATATTCGTATATTTTAATATCGCGTTTATTCTTTATGTGTTCTTCAATATGGATCGGATGAAACTTATAGTCATCAGTTTGCTTAAAAAAAAATATTATTTCAGTTCTAAGTAAAATAATATTGTATGCTTCAACCTTAATTAAGTGAGCTTTGTCAATCAATCTCTGTTTAATCAAATAAAAAAAAATTAAAATATAGTACTGATAGATTACTTAATGCATTTAACTCATTTAATGGACAAAACAATGTCTGTAGCGCTTAATAATAGTGGAAATATACGGTGATACTAGAGAGACATCAAGTAAATCAACATTTTAGTACTTGTAAAAAATTTTACAGAGTTGTTGATATTTATAGAAAAAAAAAATTGTCCTGAACAGTAAACACAGCCTCTGAGGACGCACTTGTATATTTTATATACTTATTCAATATATAAGATAAAAATGATCATGTCAATCACAATAAAATTAAATTGGATTCATTGTTGCATAATAGTAAGAAATTGCAAACAGAGCTGCAACTCAAACTGAATTATAAAAACAAATATTGAATCAGTACTATTTTTTTACTATGTGCAACTAGAAAAATATTTTTTTAATTATATACTTAAGTAGATAATTATTTTTAATGAATTCCATTATTAGACAACAATTATAGTAAATTCTTAGGAAATTATATTTATTAATATTAGATTCGATTTTATTACTCTTGTAATTCTAGGCTTATCAGAAAAATAGAAGCATTAGGCATTTTAATATAATTATTACGTCAACATGGTAACGTCTAAATACGTATCTATATATAAATAATAAATAAATATCACTAAAAAAGGGTAATTACCCATTGCTATCTAGTCTCAAACCAAATATAGCTTATACCTCGGGACTAAACAACTAACACACAAACACTTTTTATAAATACATATACATAGAAAATACCCACACCTACACAAACAGGTATACTCATAAATATGTTTGTATCCGCCTATTTACATAATCTATTTACCCATTTCATGGTTATCATTAATAAAAACTATCTGATCTATCCTTAATACCATACATTAAATTTAGTTACTTAACAGTTATCCTCTTACACATTTCCTAATAGAAAATATATAGAAATTACAGAACATTATTCCCATGAATGCATGTTCGCTATATTTCCTTTTTCTCCTGTTAAATCGCATGCATTTCTTAATGCTGATTCATATGTATATAACCCATTTGTTATTATAAATAAAATCTACATTTTATTGTGTGGAATCTTAAACAATAGCACATTAATTTATTTGATTTGCGACCACCTGAATGTTGTATTGTATGTACTTAATATACGCCAACGTAGTCTATACGCGTCACATCAAATAATAAAAATACACTTAAAAAATCTTAGATAATTTATTTAATACTAGCTGTATATCGCGGCTTCATCTACCTAAATCAATATGTAAAGTATCCTATGTGTTATGTAACATACCCATGTACAAAATTTCATTCAAATCTGTTCAGTAATTTTTGTGTGAAAGATTAACAAACATCCATTCATCCATCCTTACAAACTTTTGCATTTATTATATTAATAGGACTTTATAACAATTTTAATATTAAATTTGCACTTATTTACTTTTAACTGACATGGAATTTGATAGAGATTATAGACTATTTTTATGCATGTTCATGTTTTGGCTTCTAGACTTTTTTTAAATACTATTTATGGATTACCTACATACATTTGTTACAATACATTTATCTTAGATAATTTGCAGTCTTTATTAGTACTTACACAATTGGAGTGTTTGCTTCATACCTAATTATAATTAAAATGAATTCTCACATTATTAAATAAATTGCAATTTTATAAAACATGCACTTTAAAAAAAAGTGAAGTTTGAGCATTACAATATTTATAGATTATATAATGGGATATAATGTCCGAAATATAATAAATTTATATTTAGAAGTATAAATTTGTTAGATTTCTAAGAGATGTGTTTAGGAATAGAGGCATTTAGCGATTGGTTCTGTTTGCCTGCCTTGTTAAGATCTTGGTCTGGAGATAGATACTTCTAATTTATTTCTATTTTTGTCTGTTATGTGTTTAATAAACTTAATATTACTCATAGACTAAAAACATGATTTAATCTAATTAAATCTAAACAACAAATATTCTAAACTTATATCCCAAAGAAAGGATGTAAAAAGAATGAATAGAATTTTAATTAATAAATATAAATTACAGAAATAAAGAAAATATAAATATTTGTTGGCACTAAAGTTGTAAATATTGATTAGTGACAAAATTTCTATTAGTTTCTAGTTAATATTTTGTTTGAATAGATAAATAGTGGTGTAGCAAGTTACATATTATAAACTGTGGAATCAATTATCACTAGCAATTATATACAGTATGTAGTAACAATTGTTGATCTTAGCAATAGTTAGTATCTTAATACTTCATGATTTGTTATTTTATAAATAATAATTGGCTGTAATCATGCTGTTACTTAAAAATGTGGACAAAATTAAAGGAGCTTCTAAGATTGGTATGGTAATTATATGAGGCCTCAATTATAAAATTCAATCTCATAGTGCCATGGAGGCCATAAATTATGATAATATAATGTGAATCATGTGGTCTCAAGCATGCAGTATTACATGTTTGAAAGTGTGAAATTAAATTATATCATTAATAATATCTACATATTTCTAATTCACAGGTGCAAATATTTGGAATGCAACAATTGACTCCACATATGGAAGTTGGAAACTGGAAGATAAAGTTATATTTTTATTACCAAACAGGGAAAATCATGAAAAAGGAGCACCCATAACTACTTACACACAATTATGATGTTACTACTTAAACCAAGTCCTGTTATAATGAAATTCAATGTTATACTTTACCCCTTCCATGTTTGTAATGACGCTTTCTGTAAAACCTTTTGGTTAGGAAAAATTTTATGACTAGAATAAGAATAAATAAACAGAATATGTACAGGAGGCTTAGCATTCCAATATCCAGGTTTGAGAATGGGCTCGATCTTGCTGCTATGGATCTTGCTCTTCTAAGATCCCAAATGTTTTCTTTCTTGTACATATTTAATAAGTATTGGTACACAGATGGTAGATTCCAAGCACCACGGGCAGATCTACACTCTGGACATTTTGACACACTTGGAAATTGGATTTTCGGATGTTCAGGGTCTTCAGTAACATCCCCAGCTAATCTTAAATTCACTTCATTGTGAGCAATCCAGAGCCAAAGTACGGCTTTGTCATTTTCTTTTATGTCAAATATTCGGTTTCTTGTTGCCATTGCTTGGAAATGCTCAGAACAGGTGGTACAGCCAAAGAAATGTTTAACATAACCATGCATAGCTTTCAGGACTTTAGGACCTTCTGTTCCAGGGCTCTGAGCTGCATTGGCTGTTAAGGTATGGAATAAAGTCCAAAGACCACAAGTATATCCACGGTATTGTGGTTGGCTTCCTTTGCATCCTATATATTCTAGTTCTGATGTGTACACTGGTGCATGGGTAATTTCTAGTCTTTTTACTGTTTCATAAATTTCACTACCACTCCACTCTTGTTTGGAACCAAGTGTTGTATGTAAATCAATAATATAGTCCCTAAGATTTCCTCTGGCAGGGAAAAAGCTTCTAAGAACTTCTAAGTAGTCTAATAATGATCTTAAGGCTTCTCCAGTTAAAGATTTATGTCTTGTAATTTCAGTTGTAAAACTTGTTTTTAAAGTTTTTTCTAAGTCAGCATAATATACAATATCAGAGCTTGAAACAAGTGATTTTTCATCAGAATGCTCAATGAAAATTGTATCTTTATGATTTATATCCCGAGATGGGAATACATAGTTTTTAGATTTTAAAAACATATTTATAGCTTTCAGTAAATTTTGTTGACTTGGATTTTTAGGGGTAATATTTGTGGGTTCTAATGTGGATCTAACTGCAACAAGTCCAGGGAAATGGTACACTCCAGCTATATAACCCAATTCACTATTTTCACGTATTCTTTTCACCTTTATATGTTGATAATCATTAAGATCTAATGCAATCTCAGAACCAACAGTAGAATTTTCATTTTCAAACACTAGGAATGTATATGTCACATCATTTGGTATGTCATTAAGTGCAGAGGCATAGGATGCATAAGATGCAATACTAAAGTTAGGTGCAAATGCCAAATGCCCCTTAGATTGTTCATTTTGCATTTTTGTTATTACTTGTGCTTTAAGTTTTTCAGCAGTTTCTGCCATCTGTATCCTGTCACCCACATTACCATTCCCTTTAATATATTGCTCATGTATATATCGCAGAGAAGGATAGGCCATTACTTCAAATTGCCTGCATATTTCATTGTTTTCCTCATTTGCACAGTCCATGACTGCTAATTGAATAATGGGCTTCCACGCAGCGAAATCTTTAGCCATCGCTTTGAATTTTGGAGAAAATGCTCTACAATGACCACAGTAACTGTTATAAAATTGTACCACTACAGCATGTCTTTGATTGTAAACTTTTCTTTCGAAATTGCGCTGAGTCAATATTACTACTTTATCTGACTTACTGTACAACCCTTGTTCTTCAACATCGTCTTCCTTTGCTATAACTGCACAATCCACTAGAGACAATGAAATGATAATAGTTACCACAAAATACCAGTTGTACATTATTGGTTTTAGAATTTTATTTCATTAATCAAAATCACAGAAAAATAGCTTCTTTCTTGCGGAGAGAACACACGACCGGGAGTAACGACAACGGCTTCAAACTAACACTATAATTTGAAACTTAATCAATCAACATAATTCTCTGTATCCGTCATAAATTGAATGTTGAAAACGTCACTACATAGCGATTGTTAAATGCATACTCTGAACTGAACCTAATCAGTGTTTGAGTGGATATTTTGGTTTCTTTTGGGGTGCTTGTTTTGATCATACAATCAAAATAAATTTTTAGTAAAATAGCGAAATTCGTAAGTCAATCACGGACAACAACTTTTATAAAAGTAGGTTTACGTCAATGTTAACGTCAAAGTCAAGATTAAAGGGATCTAATCCGAGCTGCCATTTCTTTAAAGTTATCTTTTAATCTAATATTTTTTATGTTTATAGTTTCACGAAATATTGTCTTATGTACCACTATAATGTAATTTATAATGATTTTGACTTAAACCTATTAGAAATTGAATTCGTATCGGTTCTTAGAATAGAGATTCAGCTGTTACATTCAATTGAAATTTTAATTTTAAAGATTTGTTTCGAGATATAATGTTTCAGAATTGACTCCAATATCTCTGTCATAGATTAAGGATAGTATCTGTGGTTTTATTGCGATGAGGATCTACCACAAAATAGCCCATTTTCCGTAGTTTTCGAAATAATTAACGTAAAGAGATCATAAAGTTTATTCAGATCCCATTATTTCCGACAGAAGTATTTTCGGGAACAATAAAAAATGAGGGTCATAATAAAATATGTCCTTATGTATTTATAAAAATTAAAGTTATATAAACCAATTATATGAAATGTGCAGTCATTTGTTTTAAAGTGTATAAAAATTATAAACTTTTATAAAATTAATATATATGTAGGCTGGTTTTAGTTAATATGAAATATTCTATGGTGCTTTATAGTTCTTAATCCTCAGTATTTCCAAATATACCGTAAGAAGGAGTGAATAGCATATATTTTTGATATTTTACATAGATTTTTCATATTACTTCTGAATTAACATGAGACAATTAAATATACACAATTTTTGTGTAACTGCTTGAAATGACTGACGTATTTTTTGCCTTTTGTGTAGGTAAATTTAAGTAAGTATATAAATAAATATTGACCTTTTTTTACAAAATTGTTACTGAGTAGAAATCATTAAAGGAAAATTGAACAGTAAATCGCAAATACCCATATTTTTTGTTAAATAATTTGTCAATTTTAATTTGACTAAGACTACAAGAAACTTAACTAAATTAAATTAAAGCAATATTGTTAACAATTTAATTTCGGGAGTGTCGAGTACAAATATGATTTGTCAAATATCATTAAATTCTCTAATTGGAGCTGTGGTTATATTAATTTATGAGTTTTTTTCACCTGGTGACACTAATGTTTTAATACACTTATTTTATTTTTTCTTCGGAAATTTTCTATTTACCAACATAAAAATAATAACAGTAGAATCTGACAACTCTAGCTACAATTTATTATTGACCTCTTACTGATTTCTATTCTAACTTTTCCGTTTCTAATAGTTCTATATTATGTATCCTTTTGCCTTATACTTTGTTTTTATGCCCTTTTTTCCATTTCTATTTATTTTTAATTAATCTAAAAATTTACATATTTACAAATTTCAGTTGTCTTGCTGAAACATTTCACAAATGTACCTGGTTTTACATTATGCGAGTTTCAGAATCAATTCTTAATTAAAAATAATTCTCTCTTACTCAAATTATATATTGGCTATTAGATATAATTGAAGTTTTGAGAGGCTTAAATTTAGTCAAATGGCTATCAAATGTATTTTTGAAATATTTAACGGACCCCATAATAAATCAGTCTTAAAAGGATTATAAAAATATATTTGCATTTAAAATACATTATATATTTAATTATTTTTCTTACCAATATCTGGTTATTCTGTTTAGAAAATTTTTCCCGAAAATGTTTTGAAATAAAGAATACACCTAGTTTTACAGTAATTTCTAAATTCATTTATAATGAACATAGATACTACGTGCAGTACGATTTTTTTTTTATTTATTTATTCACAGGAAACTCAGGAAATAGAGAGCAAATAAACAGAGTTTAGGAGCACAAATCAAGCTACTAATAGGTTTTCACAAGCATTAACAATATAAATAGAAGGCTTTGTACACAAAGCAAAAACATTGGAGTTAACAAAAAAAAAAATACGAACCAACAACAGGAATGAAAATAAAAAAAAGATGAATAAAATACAAAGTAAAAATTAAATGTGAATATTTGATTAAAATATGGCCTTTTTATCCATACAATAGTTATTCAAACTGACTATGAACAAAAAAATTCCTTACTCAGTTGGTCTTTCACTGATATTATATTTTTCGAAAATAGATCGATATTAAAAGTTTTAGAAAAAGTATTAAAGTTATTGCGCCAAAGGCCAATTTTGTATATAATTTGATGATACTAGTGAGACAAATAGATTATAAAGATGGAAAAAAATAAAATAAATAAATAATTGCATACAAAATACAGAAAAAAGGAACATTTATCTTAAAAAAAAATCATATGATCATATATTCACTTATCATATTTATCTCATATAAATATGATAAGTGAATATATGATCATATTTTTTAACAAAAAATAAGATTTCGTTTTCTTATTAAGCACAAATCATAAATATATGTTAGTGTATTTAATAATAAAAAAGTAATTATTTTCATTACGTATTATTAGGTTTTTTGATTAATGGATTGAGATTGAAAAAATACACAAAACCTACTTATATGTATAGGGTTACCTATGTATAGGGTTATTTGCAAGTACCTACATACCTATTTGTAAAAATATTTCATAGTATTTAACAACTATGCCCTGTCTTCGAGTTCGATTTCGGAATAAAATGTGTTTTATTGTACGAATTGCAATAAACTCAACTCGAAACTTCATAATTATATTTATGGTAGCCCTATTGAGATTGTCACTCTTAATAATTTGACATTAGCTGTCAAGCGTATTTTTTTTTATATTTCGTGCTGCCTCTACAGAACAATTCAGAAACTAAAATTAATTATAAAATTAATAATTATATTCTAAGTTTGTTGTTACGGAAAATGGAAGAAGGAAAGAAGTGCAAAGTTGCAAATTTCCTATATGCCTGTGGTTCTAAACAATTAAGGATTTGATACATACATATCTTGTATATATATGAATTCATATATAACTTGATCTAATGAGTAAAATTTTATAGATTTTTGATATTAAAGAGTGATTTTAAATTTTTGCTTTGCTGATTATTGTGTATTCTTTCTAATTTTAAAAGCCGTTTACTAAAAAAACGCTAGCACGTAGAAGTCTAGGGTTGTTTTTAATTAATAAACTAATATAAAGTTGGTATAGTAATTACTAAAACTTGGGAATTATTTCCTGAATTAAAATTGCATTATATATTTTTTTTTATTTTCAATCAAATAAATACCTAAGTAAATCTTAATAGAACAGATCTTTTACAAATCATTATCAATTTTTCTTTTATGAACAACATAACTTTTGCATAAATAATACTTAATAATGAAATTAATACATTTGTACGTTAATATTGTATATAATAATAATATAATTTTGATCGGCAACTCAAAGCGCATCATCATAGTATAACATACTATGTTCACAATCTGAAATCCGCATAGCCCAAACATGAGAACACAGACATTTTTTATTGCACTGAAACATACAGTATTAAAAATATATATAAATATAATAAATAAATAAATAAATATATATATATATATATATATAAGAGAACTATTTTTAGTAGTTACATTGCTTACAATGAGGTCAGGAATCCCATGACCATTGGAAGGTGCAACAGTATGTTAAGGCGTTATACCACATTCATATATAAAATAATAATATAGAATAGAATAGAATAATAATAATAATACATAGACTAAGTGTAACGTATGCGGATTTACTAGGATAGGTTATAGCCTTACCTACGTTATTATTTTACCTTCTTACTTCCATCAATCACTGTCATAAAATATAAGAACTTAACAATAGTATTCAATTCAACGTTTATCAAAGATCTTTAATTTTTATTAATTTTATAAGTATTTACCTAAATCCCGATTCAATAATGTTTTTCAGTCATCCAATGTCTATTTTTTGTATAATTGCAACTGAATTTTGTGAAAGATTTTCTTTTTGTGGGCTGCGAAGTAAGTTTCTTATTCAGTTTCGTATATTTGAATTTCGTTTATGCTGCAATTGTACTTAAGTTTGTATGGTACCACGTGTGGCTGTCGTTTTACTGCCTAACTAGGATTTCGGGAGGAAGGGATTGTTAGAGATGAGGAGTAGCGGCCCCAATGATAGTAATATATCCTGTTAGGTTAATCTGCAGGCGGTCGTCCTGGATACCATCGACGTTAATTACTGGTGAAATCGCCGCAATCGACTCATTGATTTGACTTTATTCGCATGAATAATTATACACTAATAATTTGCTAATGTATTAGCGTAGCGGACAATAGGGTCAATTCTGAGAGGCTATTCTTTGAACCTCTCTTTAAATTTAAAACTTTAATTTGATATCATAGTAAAATCTATATTTTAAAAATCAATAAAAACTAAATTACTAATAGATTTGATTCAAAATTATTATAAATTTAGCTTATAATGGCCAATAAAATAGTATTTTTGCGAAATTATCAAAGTACTTACGTTAACTCTTAACCTACTGTTATAATTTGATAGTTTAGTGAAATGTTGTCCTAGAATCAACCCCATTACCATTGCTTATATTCATTAAAAAGTCCAGCGTCAATTGGCATATATAAGATTATTTTTCTATTGATGGGAGGTCATTTAAAAAGGCTCATATGTACCATCAGACATTTCTGTTTATAGTTGAAAGCTGTGTTTCTTATTTTGGAGTGGGCAACTAAGAAATCTGGATCTGTCCCCCCCCCCCTAAATACGCCTGTAACAGCATTTTATTTTTTATTTATTTATTCTTTATTGACCGTATTACAAAAAAATGTTTAGTACATAAGGCGCACTTAAAGCTGCAACTTGCAACTAAACTAAAAGCATTCTCTTCCAGTCAACCTTTGGCAAAACAGAAATGTAATAGAAAATGCTGGAACAAAAAAAAAATTGTTGTAGATAAACAGTTACCGATGTATCTATATTAACTTTGCATCTTGTTCTTTCTTATGCGTGCACTATATCTATCGATAGAGTCGTTTATGACTTGTCTAGGTGGGTTGCCTCCTTATTTCTAAGGCACTTGGTAGTAGCGCGTTTGTCTTTATGTGAACAGTTAACTTTAATCCTAGTTTACGTTATTTTGCAGCAATATTGTCGCTTTATTTAAGGAATGTTCTGTGTCTGCACGAAAATGCAGCAACTGTTGTTTATCATATTTTTATTATGATGTGCTACACCATGCCCCTAGTAGGGGCAATATTGGCTGATAACTTTATAGGAAGATACAGGTAAATATCTATAAAGTATGAACGTATTAAGTGATATATAGTACATTGTTTGTGTTGTGACTTCTTGATGGAACTCCATATATTCTTATATTATTTAACAATTGCAACTAATTACTAATATTAATTAATAATTACAAGTAAAGGAACAAAGTATCTGTAAATATTTTGAATAATATTATATCTAAGTACAGGAGAATTTGTACAAAAGTCCCTGTATGGACTTATATATGTTTCCACCGTTAAAAGCTAAGGCTGCATGGTTGTGTTTTTATGTTTATGATGTATGCAGGCATGACATTTTAGACCTTAGGAATAATGAGGTATAAGAGGTATATACGATGGGCATCACAGTGTATTTTGTAACGTTAATGATGTTACTTAAACTAATTTTATATCTATTTGTTAAGTGTCAAAATAAAAGCTGCGCTAAATTATTAGCGAGTAACATAGGTTGTAGTTTATTCAAAAATAAAAACCATACGTACCTGGGCTGCTAGATTATGTATGGCAAAAGTTATCACTATATTTACACTATATTTTTGTATTTAAATTATTTTTCTAATTAGTCATTCGATTTAATCCACTAATAATGAAAACATACCCTGTATCCACTACGTTACGTATATGTGATAATGGGTGAATGAACAACTGATGAACAGAATAAAAGTAATATCTTATAATTCCAACGGTCAACTCATTTCATTTAAAATTTAAATTTCCTTATACTTAAATGAAATAATTGTCATTTAAATTATGAGGTATACCATAATTAATTACTAAAACTTTGAAAAATATCAAAAGTTACTACTTTTTACTAAATACACTAAATTGGCAACTCTCTTGATCATTAATAAAAAAAGACATTCCGAGAAATCATTCAAATCATCCGAATGTGTTGCTCAGTCACATAATTAGTAGTCGTATTAGTAAAGTAGCGCATTACTATTTAGTAGGAGTATAAAATATTCATGATATTTTTTTTTTTATTGATTTAAGTCGGTTCAGTAATAATTACTTTAAATTGGCTTACTCTTATTAAACTCAAATGTTACAATAGATATGGATAATATTAAGCCAGTCATTTTTATCTTCCATAACAGTTCTACATTATCTATTTTGAACATTTTTTTTATTGATGTATTATACATCATTTTGTAATTTTAATATTATATCATAGAAAGTTCTCTCGACGAATCATAGACTCAGTATAACGTATAATCTAAGCATGGAATGGATGTAATTGCCTATTAATAGACGACCAGTGTGTTTCAAGCTGATTATTGTAATTGGCAAATTTTTCATTTCCAGTAATTTGTATCGTATAAATTGTATAGAATACAATATTACCACCATTTTGTTTTTTTTATAAGTAATTTTTTTCAGAGTTATTTTATATTTCTCTGTGATATATTTATTGGGGACCGTGTTGACCTGCTGTTCTGCTATACCGCCTCTCATGTTGCCATCTACGTAAGTTCTAGAATTTTAAAGTTTACCTAATAGGTGTGAAGTCCTTCATGAAATCATTTAAGGTAGTTTTTATTAAAAGAGAGAGAGGTTCTGTTATACTAGCAACCAAAACGTTAATGTTTGAATTAAAAACCAATACAAACAACAGAAATGTTGTGTGTTTTGGTTAATATTATATTCCAATTGTCTCAATTTATTGTGTAGTTGAAAAACTTGTTTGTTTTTATTTTAAAATTAAAATGAATGGTATCACCCTTTGTGCTATTGGTATATAGTTACGGGGCACCAGTAAAAGATTAATCCAACTCAGTTGGCCCATCTTATTGAATTCATTCAAAGTTAACCATGAATCTTAACGTGTTGTGAAATATGTGACCGAGGTTTCGGGATTATTCGTTCTACAGATGTTACGCGAGATCTTAGGCTTATTAAAATTTTACCATCCTACTGATTTTTCCCATAATGTCTGTTATATGTTAGAGTAAATTTGGAAATAATGTTCTAGTTTAATATTTTCACCACAGGTATACCTCTATGATTGGCCTGGCACTGATCGCGACAGGCACTGGTGGAATTAAGCCTTGTGTGGCTGCCTTTGGAGGCGACCAGGTATAGCATATCCATTTATTTTTACATTAGCTGTAATCCGCGATTTAAGCCATATGAGTTAGGATACAAAAATATTTTAATGATAATCTAGGATATAGACAGTTTAATTTATTCAGCGAATGATTAACATACATTTATACCTTATACCTTATTATATAATTCTATATTAAAATCATAGTGGTACCTATTATAAATGCAAAAGCGCAGATGTATTATTATTTTTTTATTTTATTGAAAGGTTATTCCAAAAATGAGATAATTTTGCATATATCATTGTATTTAAGGGTGTTAATAAAGACCTTTAAAAATATATACTTACAGTAAGGATATGATGTTCTTTCTTTTAATTCATTACCTGTTTTTGTTAGTTTCGCTTGCCCGAAGAGAACCAGCGGCTTCAGCGCTTTTTTTCTACTTTCTATTGCATGGTGAATTTAGGCGGCTTCCTTGGTATGATCATCACACCGGCTTTAAGGAGGAGTGTCATGTGTTTTGGCGATGATGCCTGTTATGCACTGGGTTTTGGTTTCCCAGCAGTACTTGTACTTGTCTCCATTGGTTAGTGTTTTCCATCGAATTAAATTTAAATACAGAATCAGGGTATAAATATTATATACCTACATAGTTGTTAAAACATCCATAGAGTACATTTTGCTTTGTGAAAAAAGTGATTTTAAACGTGAATACATACGATATTTTGTAAACATTACATTAAAAAATATTACAATTTCGAATGCAGAATTGGAATGCGAATTTACAAATAGATATATTTGGCAATAAGCAGTTATTTGAAAATTGACAATTATCTCAAAATTAAAACAAGAGTAAACTCTATGGATTGCCAAAAGAATTATGTAAATTGGTTCAAACGTCGTCAAATGTTAATTACAAAAAAAATTGACAAATTGAAAGTCTCTTATTTTTCATATTAATTTATATTAAAATTCTATATTTTTATTATAAATTATATTAAAATTCGCAAAGCAGTGAAATAATATATTTAAATATGTCTTTTGTGTATATTGTGTATGTTTGTGTGAGAGAGGGAGTATTTAGAGTTATTAATATTTAACTCTCACATGAAGTGACGTAGGTACTAAAACAATATTATTAAATTTTAGTGATATTTGTTGCCGGAAAACCATGGTATCGGATAAAGAAACCCCGTGACAATGTCACACTGAAATTCATTTCTTGTGCGTGGGTGAGTATATAATTAAAATTTTACGAATAGTATAATACTTAGGCCTGCGTCGCGTAAATTGTATAAGGATTTTCAAACGACTTAAAAAAGTAAGAAGTATACGCATTCGCTAAATTTGTTATGTTCATGTTACTGGATATCGTAGCGAAAGAGTTTCCTTTTATGATGGCTGTCATACCTGCAAATTCTTTGTTTTTTGTATGATTAAAATATTTAATCATCATCTAAAATAACAAATAAACGCAAGCGTAATTAACGGTGTAAAGGAATTTATAATTAAATGATTTTGACTCGTATTTTATTTATAGAGATTAGGCATAAATAATATTATATATGAAATAAATGTACGAGTAATGTAAACTATAGGTATATACCTAAAATAAAAAGATTTTATTTTAACGTTATCATAGAGAATAAAAACGACGTATTTATTTTACCAAAATAACCGACATTGCCCGAAGGATAAGCAAGCTGAAGTGGCAATCGGCTGGTCACATAGCTCGAAGAACCCACAACCGATGGGGAAGAAAGGTTCTTGAGTGGCGATCACGTACGGGTAAACGCAGTGTAGGACGACCCCGCACTAGATGGAGTGACGACCTGAAATGCATTGCAGGGAATCAGTGGATGCAGGTGGCTCAGGACCGTTCTTTTTGGCAGTCTATGGGGGAGCCTTATGTCCAGCAGTAGATGGATAATGGCTGGAATGGTGATGATGATGATTTATTTTCATTAACATTTATTATTTAGTTTGTTTTTAGTTTTTCTAGTATTTTTTTTTTGTTTTGTTTACCTAGTTTTCAGTACTTAGTTTTTTGATCTAGTTTTTTTGAAAGATATTTTATATATCCGAATTTATATATCCGAATTTATAAATTTATATATATAATTATATTTAGGTATTTATACACACAGATATACGGTACATAAATAATCCGAATAATCGCCTATGCTGACACATTCGTTTTCACGGGGTAAAACTTATACTAAAGGTCGTAAAAGGGATTAGATATTGTTGAATAGAAGAGGACCGAGCTTGGATACTAGGGAAGCATATTTTTATTTATGACGTAGAAGTACTTCATAATACTAAAGGATAGTAGCATCAATCATTTCAATAGGTCGTCGATACACACGTAGGTAGGACATTATCAATCACCTCATGGTAACACGTTATTGGGAGGATTTGTTGAATTACTAACGGTGTAAGAGATAGTTGCTCATGATTGATGTCGCTTAGTGACCCCACAGCATTGTCGTACATTTTTGACGCCTAGTAAACGATTGAGATGTTTAGACTAGAGAGATAAGTTTCTCAAAATATTCAAATAAATTTATCATAGTACTAAAATAGGTTTCAATAGTACTTGTAATATTGGAAAATCAGAAAATAATTAGATGGCTTTAAATAATACGATTTCATCCGTGCCTTTTCTCTCTGCGGATTCTCTTCGCAGTTGATCTTTCATACTAACATGGTAGCTGGACACTGTGTAAGTACGGAATGATTAAAAACTTTATTATCTTTTTCGGGTTGAAGAATTAAAAATTGAAAAGATTAAAAAAAAATGCCAATTATTTTTTATACTGTATATAAATCTCATACGTTATTTGCAGTATGCATTTACGAAACGGTTGCGATATGACTCCAGAAACGAACTCCCAAAGGAACACTGGTTAGATTATGGTGCTGATAAGTATGGAGAGAAACTAATAGCTGACATGAAAGTCGTCTTCTCGATATTGTATTTATACCTTCCAGTTCCAATATTTTGGTCACTGTTTGATCAACAGGTTAGTTTTTATTCTAATAAAAATAACTTTATATATATCCAATACTAATAACCTATATATTGGATATATAAAGTGTTTGACTACCTTTTAGTTTCTATAATTGTTATATCTATTAAGTAATATGTTATATATACTTACTACAATATGTTTTTGCCGTGTGGTCCCGGTATAGAATAGGCCACCCCTTTCTTTCCCGTCGAGTTTCTGATTGACTCTTATCTTCAATTTAACTAAATTAAATTAAATAGGGAAAATACTGGTATATACAAGACACTAGTAAACATTTTCGGAAACAAAGAGACAAGTTACTATTAATATTAGGAAGAAAAATAATTAAAGTTAATTTTAAATAAAGTAGATATGATTGTTTCCTTTACACATCATTGTAAGAGGTTGTTTGAATAGATTTAATTAATATCTGGTTCGTTTGTTAAGGGTTCTCGGTGGACCTTCCAAGCGTCCAGACTGCGCAGTGAAGTATTTGGTATCACATTAATGCCTGATCAGCTCCAAGTAATGAACCCCGCAATGGTGCTCCTTATGCTACCGGTGTGTCCAGGAGGTGCATGGCCTCTCCTACCTGAGTTACCGCCATTACATAAGATGTTCGTCGGAGGCATGTTGGCTGCATTGGCATTTGTTTCCGCTGGAATTCTACAAATTGGAATAGAGGTAGGAATTATTAAACAACTCATTAGTTCACTGTGATAAAAGTAGTTTGCAAGGAGGTAACTTTCTAATAGCAGTGGAATTATTAAGGACTTTAATTAACTAACGTTGACATTATAATGTAGAAGTAGTTGTACCTATAGTTACGGCTGTGCTTAACGGTTTTATTACCCTCAAATTCACATTGCACTTAGGTAGTTTTATCTAGAACAGTCCGTGTAAGTTTGAATAATGGACTAAGGACTTTTTATCATTTTAATTTTTCAAATATGTTCGTTCATATTAAAATAGTACTATAAGGAGATTTTATTTTAAACTTTATTGATTTGTATACGTCATGTATAGTTCTTTATTTAAAAATTTAATTTATCCACCTTTAAAATATATGACTTTAAAGGTGGATAAAATTGGATAAAAAATACAGAAACTTTTCACTGATAATAGAATCCCTTCCTCCCATACACACACATATTTTTGTCTTTTACTGTTCTATCGCAAGACTCTCGTTATCCATCTATTTTATCATCAAGTGTTGAACCGGATCATTATTTGCCTATCAACTACTTCTCGAGTTTTTATTGAGACCAAACTAATCAGCCAAACTCCCTACAATGTCAATACTCAAATATTAAATTTCGATGGTCATCTTATAAACCGTTTGAGTTTATATTCAATAAAAGTTGCCATTGCTGCGTGTGGTAGTACTAAGCTTTCAAATTAATAAATGAACTAATTTCTTATAGGGGAGAGTCGGGTAGCCTCGGCCACATAAATAAAACTCATGATATCTTGAAAATCAACCGAAATAAACATTTATTTTTAAACTTTAACTTAAACTAAACATATATCTTATAATATTAATTAAGTTAGAAACTGATAGTTTTATTATATTAGCTTAAATCAAGTCTCAAAAGCAGTCTTCAATATTTGTTAAAATAATTTTTGGAGGGTAGCCCCGGACATAGAATTACTGATGACCAAATCGTTCTTTAGCCTTGCATACGTCACAATAGTAGTAAGCCAGCGATGGATCAATATCCACACACGCTTCGTGCGCCCAGTCTTTGCATCTATGACACTGGATCCAATCTTCCTCGAACGTTTCTCCACAAATGATGCATTCTGTATCGTGGTCTCTTTCTAGCTGAGTCAAACTTTGAATATTCTTCTTTGTTTTCATTTTATTAGTTGCCGCCTTTCTTTTATTCGTTGTAGTTTTATTGGTTGCAGCCTTGGTTGTGTTGGTCGCAGCCTTTTTCTCTACCAACGCATTTTTGAAGGGCGAAGATGTCAGAATCTCACTTTTTTGTGTTTTTCGTGAACGCGCTGCAAGACGCCTCTTGGATGCATCGGGAAGAGGGGACAACTGCTTAAGCAATTCATTTACAGTAGCAGGTGCAGTTGATTCTGTAATTTCTGACGTTGATGCGGGCATAAATGATGGCTGCGTATTGCCACTGGCTGATGGGTGTGATATAAGACTGGTAGATGGTTGCTGGTTACTACTAGTGGATGGCTGCTGGGTGCAACTAGTGGATGGCTGCTGGGTGCAACTAGTGGATGGCTGCTGGGTGCAGCTTGTGGATGGCTGCTGGGTACCACTAGAGGATGACTGTTGATTGCAGCATCTGGATTTCTGCTGATTGCAACTAGTTGATAACTGTGATCCCACGACTGTCTCTTCAGAAAAAGCTGGTTCCTGTTCAATATTGGTCATCAATGATGGCAAAAAATCCAAATCACTGAAAATTTCCCTATTGAATGGATAAATCCCTGTGCATTTGAACCCATTCTGTGCTATTTCTAGTCTCGCTGCCTTAACGAAAGCTGAATTGACTAAAGCAGCGATGTCATAATCAGTGATCCTAGCCCCTGGATTTTGTCTCATCCACATTGCGCTTGCTGAACCAAATGCAGACTTAAACGGCTTGAAAAATACCCTGTCCAGAGGTTTCACCTTGTGTGTTGTGTGTGGTGGAGTGCTAATCATATGGATGTGATTAGCTCGAGCAAATTCTATCACTGCCAACTCTTTATGGCTTCCATGTCCATCGAGAATCAGAAGGACAGGGTTCTCCTTCGAAGGCTGTACGTGCTGTTTGAAATGCTGGAGCCACATTAAAAATATCTCACCATTCATCCAACCACTTTCGTGTGGAATAGCAATGCTATCTGGTGGAGCTCCAATCATCAAACGACCATTTTTATCCATCCTTTTCCTCGGGAAAATAAAAAGTGGAGGTATAAAATGGCCGCACACGCTCATAGCAAACATCAATGTAATGTTTCGTCCTCTTTCACCAGAAGTCAACTTGCCAACTTGCTTTTTTCCCTTAGTAGAAATAACTTTCTCATTCTTGTGTACAGTGGAGACCCCCGTTTCATCAGCATTGTATATTCTGGAGGCAGGGAATTTGTATTTATCTTGTAGTTGGTGGAGCTGATCATAAAACCGATAGACTTGTGGTTTATTAAACCCAACGGCTCTTGCAATGCTGGTTGACTCTGGACTTCTGAGAGCAATATCTGGGTATTTCTTTATGAAGCTATAATAAAAATCTTTGCCGGCCATTTTCTTTTCTTTATTGAACCTATGAGGTATTTTTAAACGTTCTGCAAATTGAAATGCCAATTTCAAAAACTCTACTTTGGTCAGCGGCATCAGGCGATTATCGAGGTCTTTGACATGGTTATATAATTGCAGTGATTGATTTTCTGAGAAGGTATGTTCATATCTCCCTAGTGTTGGCTTGAACTGTGCTTCTTGTCCACTACCGACAGCTTTTATCCGATCCTGAAGGGTGCTTCTCGGCACATCATATCTCTCAGCTGCTTCTCTCACCGATATCTTTTTTTCCAGTACACATCTTATAGCCTGTTTCATTTTATTTTCGTCCCAATTTCCTCTAGGCGTAATCCTTCCTTTGAATTTTGGCATTATCTGCAAAAGACACAAGATTTTATACACTTGTCTCAACATTGTAATAAAAAAAGACTGTAACATAGAGATGCATAGACAAACAGACATGGTGAAACTACCACGTTTCTTAATTTCACTATGCAATCCAAGAAACTAAACATTTCGTCATAAAAGAAATGTCCGGGGGTACCCGACAAAAAAGTGTCCGATTGTACCCGACCGCCTCGATCCTATGTTTTTATTCATATAGGAAATATCAATAAAAACAACGTCAAGTATTTACCTAATTTGTTAACTATAATGACTAACTTACAGAATTAGTAATATACTATGGTGAAGTACTTACATTGTATAACCAATAACCGCACTCAAAAAGTAAACGGCGCACACAAAAGTATAGGTACTGTTAAACAAACGAATGTCACGTGTTGTTCGCACATCAGTCGCAGCGCGTTTGATATGAATATACGGCTAAATGGTGCTGCGGTCGTGTGGATGTGACACTTGTGCATGTATGTGTGCGAACTTTCCTGTAACTAGCACTGACCGAGGGTACCCGCCGGCCGGGGCTACCCGACTCTCCCCTAGGTGTTATTATGTCATATGACATAATAACACCTATTACATATTTTGACATAATTTGTACGTAATATAATTGTTAATACAAATGATACGTGCCTGTTACGCAGACTAGATTTTAATATTAGAACATCTCTCGATTTGGATAGGAGGTTAAAAATTGTAAACAGAAATTTCTTTTCTATTTATGATATTCGTTATGTACTTTATATATGTATATTCGTATAAACACGCATAACGCTCCCACTTCTAAGAACCGATATAATATTTTAGTGGGTGATACTGTTACTCACAAAAAAGTCTTATGGTATAGTAGATTTTTACACACGCGTGGAAATAAATACTGAGATATTCATAAAATACGTTAAATATTACAACAACAATTTATGTATACACTGTGATTTTAAATAATAATAAAATTGTGGGATAGTCATGCCTTTACCACAAAGTAAGAACAATACAGTAAGGTTGACAAAATCTCATGAAACTTCATCTACAGGGTTAAAGGAGTTAATGAAAATATCACGTTAACATTGTATTCTCTATTTATTACTTAAAGCAACAATATACAAAACTAATTAATTTAAATGACACGAAAAAATATCATGTAAGAAGGAATGGATATTACATATCTAGGTGATTTAAATGGAAAAGGTGGGTTCGTATTAAAAAACACCCGCATCTTTTGCCTATGTTAAGGTGTTTTATATCCGACTTTCAAGTTAGAATAAATATAGTATATACTATATAATATAGTATGGAAACGCAGGGTAATATGTGGGGGTCATAGCCCAGAACACCCGGACCCGAACCACTTAAGTAATTTAACTACATAAATTACTTAAGTAAAATAATTCGTCTCCTAAATTGGTGCGAACGAAATAATGCATATACAGTAATGTGTCTACCCGTACATAAGTGCAAATAAGTGCTCTCAATTTTATTAACGACTAGCTTTCTGTACGCTACTTCGAACGCGTGGTACAGCGGTGGTCAGAAGTAGGAAAATAAATGAAATATATCTCTAAATAACATAGGTATCAATATAAAACATACATCAGATTTCAAGTTAGACCATTTGGAGTACATCTGTGAAATGTCATTTAATTTAGTGAAGTAGCTTTTGCGTTATGTCGAAACAAACATACAGACAGATAAATAGACAAAATTTCTAAAAATAATTTAGGCTCCTATTGCTGTTATTAAAGTCACTCATCAATTTTTCTTAAATATCTCCCATATACAGACATCGGCTAGTTACAATTTTATTTTACTAGTAAGATAAGAAGTCAGATAATAAATGAGGAAAATAAAAGAAATATAGAAATATACCAACAAAAAGCCGGTTATAGACAATAATCTACAATTAAGTACGTTTTTATAATTGTTTGCAAAATCATGATTATCTAGAGAAGTGCTAAAAAAGAAATAGGAAACATTGATCCCATTTTTATATACTGATTAAATTTTATAAGTAACTCGTTGTTTCCCGTTGTTTCACATTCGTGTGGTGGCGCGTTTCCCCTTTAAGTGGAAATTTTTAAAAATTCTTTTGTACTGAATACTTTACTTATTTAAATAAACTTATGTTTCAAATTTCAGCATTTAAGATAGATATTCTGGACAAACGATTTTGTAGATATTTTCAGAAATCTTTGTTTACGATAATACATCGTCTTTATATCTTTTAAACATTAATTTATATACCTAAGACAAAATATAGTTAAATGGTTTGCAGTAGATTTATTCTAAACTTATCAATTTATATTCGTAAAAATGTATATTACGTACATATGTTGTCAGCAATTAATGTGTTAAATACCTAAGTAATGGTTCAGAGATGGGCAGCAGTGCCTCTCTTTAAACATCACCAAAGCCTAACTGCAGTAGACAACCCGCTTTACAAGTAGGGCAACTATTGGCTAAACACCCCGAAGAGGAGGCGTTCTTTCAGCAGTGGACAGTTAGCAACATAATAACAATAAATATAATACCTAAAACGTTTAGGTAATGTAGGAATTATTATTTATTTTATACTTTGTCTAGACGCCAAGTGCTAATAAAGAATCTCGGTTTTATATTTGTAATATTAGTTTAAAACCTATTATCTTATTAGAGATATCAGTTACTATTTAAAGATATCCATTTTCAGCGTTCAACTCTACAAGTGCCAGCACATCATCAGAGCGGGTTAGTATTGTTGAACACTTTGGGCTGCCCTGTAGAGATAGCAGTCCTCGGTGAGGGCATAGCTCCTGTGGAGGAGCATGGCACTGCGTTGATGACTCCTTTGCCACATGGCATTCTAAATGTGATAGCTAGCTGTCCAATTAACTGTGCTGGCAGAGTGATGAAGAGACATGCAGTTCGAGAGACTCTGAGGACTGTCGCTGGCATGGTATGCAGTTACTAATGTAATAAATGTGATAGTTTGTAAAGAATCTTTATGTTTAAATGATTTATATTTTTTTATATTACTATGGTAGCAAATAAGCATACAGCCTGTCTGATAGTAAACGGGGTTACCATAGCCTATGGACGACTGTAACATCAGATATCTCACGCGCGCGTTGCCGATCCTTGAGAAACTTTAATATGCTCTCTTTGAAGAACTCCGTTATATATTTGCTACTCAATTTCGTTTAATTCAATGGACACTTATATAGCAATGCATTCCGAATTGTCATATCTTTTGGGGACTTCGGAAGGCGTTGAATCTCTCGATACACAGGGCATAACCGGCTGTACAAAGTTGTTTGTATCGGACATAATTCATAGATTAACATATCAGGTATTTTTTTTCTAATTCACCAGAATTGAATGAAAGTTGGTCGTATCTTGGGGTTATAGGTATAATTATAAGATTTATTGTATTTGAATCCCCGTAGTCAGTTATGGCTTTGCCTGTGTTACAGTTATGTTTTTAATATTCTTAATAAAATAATAATTAAGCAGTAATCATAATTCTACCTTTGATTTGTTAATAAATATATATATATATATATATATATATATATATATATATATATATATATATAGAATGGTTTGAAAATAATATCACATCCCGCTGTGTTTCCGATTATGCTCCTGAGACTTTTGATCTGAGCATATAATATTATTCACAAATACTTTCGCTAGTTTGGAATAATAATAAATTGGATAATTAATACCGAAGTAATGTTTATTTGAAAATATTCTAAATGCGTAATAACCCTACTTTTGGGTATCCTAAATAGGTTGAAAAATTTACTTACCGATAACTCGATTCGATAGGATTGGACCCGTTTTTCTGTTATTCGGGCTGAGTATATTTCCAGTTACACCACGGAAGCTATTGCTTCCTGTTAGATGGTAAATTTTCAATCACTTTTTTCATTACTCCTAACGTAGGCCCATTTATCAATGTTATAGGTATAACTATTGGCTTGTGTTCTTACATTGCAGTAGAGATACACAATTTTGATAGGACTTGACTAAATATATTCCAAATAAAGAGTGTAGTTTTTTGTTTAATAGTATGAGTTTATTTTCAGTTTATAACAATCGTCATAGGGCAGGACTCGAATGATCAGATATCATTTTACTTTATGGACCCCAATCCGTTTTCTAAGTCTCTGACGGGGAAGCCAAAGTTGAAGTAAGTTTCATAATAATATACTAAATATTTAAGTTTATTACAGTAGCATTAATATATTATCAGTTTCCAAATCTAACTAAGAGAGGTGAAGTTCGAGTCTGAAGAGCCGTTCTCTAAAATAGTATCAGCCTATTATTGTATGCACAATTAAGAATTAAACAGTTAGTTTCACTAAAATTTATCATTATTGTAAATAAATCATAAAGTAGTCATTAGGTTAAATATTTTATTATATACAGTAGGAAGTTAAAATTTTAATTTTAATATTCACAAAATTGCATTGCAGAATTCACTACTGAGTTCTGGGTTTGCACTTACAAATAGGATTTATTTGGTCATCTGACTAAAATAGGGTGGATTCTAAAAATGTGTTATAAAAGGCAGTCATGACTTTGATCTGTTTGTATTTTTTAATTCTAGATACTGTAATTTTTGTTGGCAAAAAAGTGGTTTATTTCGCGTTGTTCATTTCTAGCATCCAGTATATATAGTTTAAAAATATAATAATAGTTTGTAGTTATAATTAATAATGTAAAATTGTAATGAATTAAAAGGAAATAACCTTTACTTTAAATTTTTAACCATAATAACTGTTAACTATGAGTATATACCTGAAAATAAAAGATTTATAGAAACCACATAACTATTTAATTACTAGATTTATGTCCATAGCTTGTAAAGAAAATAGAGCTATGTGTTTCACGCGTCTGAATTTCTGTTCTAACGTTGCGTTGATTGGTTTTCTTCCAGGAATCCTTATTTATTTTACTTCTTTATTTATTGTATTACGTGGTGTGTAAATTGACACTAACAGCTTGAGTTTCATTCAATTCACTTTCATGTAATAATAGTAATATCTAGATAAATTTGATATTATTGATATATATATACAAAGATGACTTAAATAAACGCCCCTTTTGTTACCTTTTATATTATATACATATATACCTTACCTACCTTACCTTAGATGTACCTAATATTTTACAAAAGAATTAAAAAACTTAGCTTCCAAAAAGTAATATAAAACTAAAAAAAAAAGATAGGTATAAGTGATTTTTAGTGATGTGAGTTAATATTTATTGTTTTTAGAGTGGTATACCTCGGTGATACTGGACCTAATAAAAATGTGACGATAGAAATAGAAATGGGCCAAAGGCTCAGCGATATTTATTATGTTTCTGATGCACCAGTAGACCACGTTGGTGAATCTGCGTACATGTGCTTACAACCTGGAGGGTAAGAAATTAAAGCTCTAATATAATAATATAATACTTTTAGCATTGATCAGTAATTTTACAGTTTTAACGAATGGGTTACTATTTCTAAATCGTGCGTTTTAGTCATAATTTCGATGTTTTAAATGTCGGCGTGTTTTTGTGTTAAAGTGTGCGAACACGGAATCCTAAGTTTGAAAAGCAATAAGATCGCCTGTTGCCGATGCTAAAAGCATCGTGTCTAGTAAGTCCTTAATTGTGTTAATAACTAGGAGACTATGCGGATTTTTGTGAGCGGGAAATTCTTTTTCTCTCATTTCATAGGACTATTTAAAAACTTATCCGTAGTGAATGCCTACGTAATACGAGAATACTTTGTGCACAATTCAAAGTTTGTGCAGAATTAGGAGATTTTGTGATTACTAAGCGGTATTTCGCTTTTAAATTTTAATTTTTTTAGAGGCTGAGCCTACGTGAATTATTTAAATGTCTTTAGTTACAAAAAGGACGTTTTGCCATTTGCTTATATACGACGTTAGTTCATTACGTACTTTACTATTGAAATACTAAGATCTAAATATGACTAGGTAAATTTTCTACTCTTTGAACAGGATAGAGGGAGATTGTCTTTCGGTGCTTTTTGGTCAACGCTTTTACTTCACATAAATACTTCGATTTTATGTTTAATAAATAATAAACAATTCCTTAAATGAAAATTTTCTAAAACTAACTTTTATTGCAACTGTCAACTTTACTCTTGCGCCTTTCAAAAAGCGCCATTAAATTTTTATTTGACGCTGGAAATTATTTTTCGCATTTGGCTTTTTGGCACTCCTTGCCTTCTGGCATCTAAAACAATCGCCTCTCTTTCTCTATCTCAGGACCGGCGCTGCATACATTTTTGAAAGCAAAAAGTCGCATTTATGTTGCACAGTCACTGCAAGATAAATAAATGTATGTAATCGTTGCATGTCTGTACTTACTGGGTATTTCAATAGTTTTTATCCAAAAGATTAGATAATTAATTTAGAAAAATAAAGAATTTTATTGCGGATAAACAGTAATGATGATCAATTAATAATCTCATGGGAGTGAGCGTTCTATTTTTATCTTTTGAGTTAGAGGATCCTAAAAACACAAAGCTATAAAATTAGTTAACTCTAACAAATAATGCCAGCTCAGAGATTAGCTGACCGTTTATGAATAAATTATACTTACTTATTCGTGGCATTTAACATTCTAAAGTGAAATTATTTACGTATGTTTGCATAACTTACAGATAAACCAATAACATGCCTTGATCTCGACCACATAATTAATAAAATTATGTATAAAGCAAATCCGTAAAGCCTTTAATTTGCCGCAGGCAACGAAACGGGTACAGGAAATTGAAATCTACGACAGTTCAGTCAAACCGCTGAAGATTCATAAATGTGTTTTAATATATTCTTATTTGAGAGACGACAAAATAATCACCTCTAGTCTTTATTAACGTTGTATTTGAAATGAGACTGACTTCTTTTCATATTTTTTTAGACCTCACCGTGCGGGTGACAGCTTGGCATGTTGATTAATATCTATATTGTATGTGTATATATATATCAGAATAAGTATATTCTGGTATAGTTCGATATTAGATCTGTTATTAGATATTTTTAATGGTATCCTCTACTGCGCTATCATACCACTATGAGATGATAGGTGAAGTTAAAAAAAAATTATTGAAGTAAAGTTTATAATAAACATTTTTCAATAGTTTTTTTTATGAATCAACCGCCCAGTTTGGAATGCAATTTCAGGTGAGAAGAATGGGCAAGAAACACAGTTGTTGCTTTTTTCAAATAAGAGTTAAGTTTACAACAAAAAACAAAATAAATAAATAAATAAAAAAATGAACATAGACCAGTTATCGTGAGAAATACAACAAGAATTTACTACAATATTTTCCAGGGGGAACCGCGTGGAGGTCGACCTGACATACCCTGTCAGGTCAACCTCCACTTATTGCTACCAAAATACTTTTCCCTATGTTATGAGATATTGGAATGCAGAAAGACATAGTCTTTTTTATCCCGGTGAATCATTTTTGGTTTGTATATTAATTACGCAGACAAAGTCGCGGGTAATGACTAGTATTTTATAATTAATAGTTTCGGTTCCACTCATAATCTAATGATAGTAGGATTGAGCTTCGTAAAGTAGGTGTATACATTTAGTATATTTATTTATTTACGAGTTTTATAAAGTAAATATAAACGGTATGCGCGTTTATATATGCGTTACAGTTGACAAAAACAGTATATATAGGTAATTTTTTCGCATACTGTTAAAAATTTTAAAGTTAAGATAGAGTGATAGATATCAGTTTTCTATTACTCGTATATTATTTTTAGTATTTATAAACGAGCCTTACTTAGTTTGAGATTAGATGACGTTGGCGTTTTGAATTTGAGCTTTGACAATATAAGGATCGATCCTATTTTCACCTCCATTCATTGTTTTCCTGAAAAATATTTTGAGCTTGTCACAATTTAGTTTAAGGTGTGTTATTAGTATATACGAACTTTATTCATTATTTCACTATAAATTATATCTATTAGGTTTAAATGGCACGCTGAAAGCATTGGCGGAGAATTATCTGGTTCTGGAGAAGGGTTTCTCAGGGCCGGAGGAGTTTATGTACTATGTCTTCGCGAGAGGCTTGGCAGGCTCGATGCAGCAGTGTTGCACGCACCCAATCCTCCCAATGAACTTCATCTTGCGTGGATAATTCCACAATACCTCCTCGTGTCTATTGCGGAGATTATGTTCGCGGTGTCAGGCTTAGAATTTTCATTTACACAGGTAAAATAAATTATATATTATCTAAGATTATCTATATAATATAATAATATGTATACTTTTAATGGCAGCAGCAAGAGAATAAACCCTATCGATTACTAACAGAATATTATTAATTTAGTATAGTTACATTGTCCTGTGGTCCTGGTATATAATGGGCCACCCCTTCCTTTCCCGTGGATGTCTTAAGAGGCGACTAAGGGAACTTAATGGTCGAGTGATGGACAGCAGCGTCCCTCTTAAAACATCACCAAAGCCGAACTGCGTTTGCCAATCCACCTGCCAAGCGTGGCAACTACTGGCAAAGCTCCGCAATAGGGGAAGATCTATGTTCAGCAGTAGACAGTTTAAGACTGACTTGATGATGATAATTATATCTATGTAAATGCCTTTTACTTCAAATAGTAATACATAAATGAAATCGGGTCAGTAGACTCATCGTGACGATTTCATCAAGAAACACAGTGGTTGCCAAAGGGATCAGCGACCCGAAGGTCGACCTAAAAACGGTATACTGCTAGCAATATGTTTGCTAATCTCCATTATTAACTATCTAGGTGATAGATAAAACATCATCATAATTACTGCTGTTGACAAATGATAGGATACCATCTTTAAATATAAAGTACGTAAGGTTTAAAACAAATAAATGGAATGGCTCATAAATTTACTATTAAAATACACAATTATTTATGAAAATTATATCTACTCAAAGCAAATATTGTATAAAGGTATTTGTATTTTTTAATATTATGGATAAAATCTGGAAACTGGCAGATAACTTTTTAAAACTCAATCAAGCTGTCGAATATGGCGGAACTGAACGGACTGATACAAAATATTAAAAAATACACATATGTTTGTGCTATAGGTAGGTGTTTGTTATTATGCGAATACGGATTTCGTTGAAACCAATAACTACTATCGTAAAATCAATATTTAATAAATGAGATATGTTTCATCTTCCTGAGTTATTGAGATCCTGAGAATGAATAATAGTAGCTTGGTACCACTCTGCATTGCACATATGTGGTCCACAGACCACATACGTAGAAAGCGTAGCTGTTTATGAGTAAGATGTCCACTTATTATATATTTGCTAACTGGTGCAGTTTTATTTCTTACGTCCTTACAAATTAATACTTACAGTAGGTATTACATACCATGATGAAAGTATACTATTAATATTATAGATGTAACGTGCGTCCGTTACCATTTAGCCAGTATAAAAATTATTTTGACATTTTCATGTTTTCATTTTTTATGTTATAGTCTATATATTTTAGTGCTTTGGATTGTTTAAGTTTTCATGTTTGTATAGTAAAGGTTCAGAAGCTGATTTTTGTTCCTAAAAATTATTATAGAACAGTTGAACTAATTGTTATAAAAATTAGCATAACCGGTATTTGGGTGGAAAAGAAAATCATTTAAATTTTATGGTTACGGTTACGAAAACAAAGTAGCCAGTACAGTTAGTAAAATTAAAAAAAAAAATAAAGCAAGAATGATATACATCCTTCTAGACAATAAAATATAAGTAAAGCTGAGAGTATTTACTTGTAAAATACTGGGCCAGGATTGATGTGAGGGATTAAGGAATGTTTTTAATATAATTTACTGGCTTGTCTAAAGTAAAATTATATTAAAAGGTTCCTTGTTTATTCTTTGTAGGGAAACATGCCATAAAGATTGTTTTTAATTCAAAGGAGCATCAAACCATCACTGTCTCTGACGACTGAAGGGCGTATTGCGAGATCCTAGTTGAGTTTTCAAGATAATTTTGCATAAATATAGTAAATAAGTAATAAAAAAAAATTAAAAAAAAACATACCTATATACGTATATGTCATTCCGAGAAAACTAAATTTTCTTACCTATTGAATTAAAAACGGTGACATATTTATTTAAAAGTTTTGTTAAAATATTTTACACACAGAAATACTCTCTAATCCTGAAGTAAGTAATCAATCGAAACAATTAATCAATTAATCGATTTTATAGTATTTATATTGAACGTCAGCAAACTGTCCTATGTTCAGGTCAGTTATTTATTAGATAAAATTTTCATTATGTTGTGTTGAATCAGACTATATAATAATATTCTTGGAACTGAGTACCTAGCTGAAGTGATTGATGTTATTTGCATTATATTGTATTTGTGTGAAATATCAGAAACTTTAGGTATATTAATATTAATAAATTTTGCCGAGTTTATACAGGTAATATTATGTGTACGAAATTAACTCCGTAATTAAATTATTATTATTAGTTATAAGCTTCAGGGCATATTAAGATGTATATTGGTCATACAATATAACATCAACTTAAAGTCTACTATAGTAGATAGTTATATATATATATATATATAGTATAGTAGTTAAAATTATGTCGGTGTTATTATATTTCTCTTGGTATTATTATAATAATTATTAGGTATCATTTCAAATTGGTACATGGGTAAAATTTTTGTTACAATTTGGATTTTTTTCTGTGATAGATGTTATTATGAGTACTAGCGTTGCCACAATTTGAATAAGTAAAGTATTTTTATTACGACAATGGATATCTGTTTTTGATAAAATAATTTTATATATATCTTTTGTTTGTTTATGTAGCACATAATTATTTGGCATACATAATTTTGTGATAACATTCACAAAAAAAGAAAGGACAAATGCGTGTGTGCTACAATAACACAAAATTACATCTCTAACACATCATGCTACTTACACCCTCTTATTCTAACATTGTCCATTTGTTTTGTCGTGTTTGTCTTAGGTACATGTTCAAACCATCGTAGAAAGACTTTTCTTATTTTTGTACTGATACTTAATTAAAATTAAATCGCTCTCATTTTTTATATTTACATACGAATGCAGATATCTAGCTTTATTCCCCGGACTTTTCTGCAGTGTTCGCGTTAGTCTCTATTTATTCTATTTCACTTTGTTTTTAATTAAGCGAATTCCAGTAAGAGATGTTCTCATTTCATCGGCATTTTTACGTGTATATTTTACGATGTCTACGCCAATACTTTACTGATTTTAATAATTCTTTTTGATCAATTTCTCTCGTATCAATTTTGTTACGATAACATTGCCTATTCAGAAACAAAATTTTAGTTATTTGCGTATTGAACTTTCGCTTCTAATGTACATAATTTTAACTTTAAAACTAAGACGACAATAAAATTTAAATGCCGTCATGTGCATTTTACAAGCTTTTAATTTGAATTTATGTTAAACTAACATAATTTAAAACCAGGTTAGGTTGATTTTTTACATACCAATAACTTTTGTTTTGGTGGCAATAGGTACAATATGCAATAGTCAATAATGTAATATTTTACAATATAAATAAATTAACACAAATGGCCGCTGCCACGAAACGGCAGATGATGGATAATAGTGTTTTAAATGTATTTAACGCTAAAATATATAATCACATTTTAAAATAGCCGCTGCCGCTAAATAAGATGGCGGATTGCATTATAAAAGCTTGTATTTAAAAATGTTTTTAAACAGACTTTTATAATTTATAGTAGTATGGGACAGTTTTACCATTACTATTTAACAAGGAAGCAAAATAATGTGATTGTATGGAGACGCTTTTTAAATTCCCGTGAAAGTTCAGGATTACGCTTTGCTGTGAAAATGAGGTTACGTAGAATTTTTTTTATTATAGCAATAAACAGTCTTTTTTACAGATAAACACAACATGTAACAGTCAAAAAAGAAATAAATACACTGTAATATAAAATTTTTAGGCCCCGAAAACTATGAAAACTATCACAATAGCTGTGTGGTACGTTTCCGTGGCGTTTGGCAACCTTATTGTGATTCTTGTAGCGCAGATAAAAGTTTTTGAGTCACGGGTGAGAATATATTATTTTTATTTAAAAATGTAATATTTGCCAAATATTTGCCTTTGCTTATGCAGTAGTTACCATAGGTATTGAGTAAGTGATACAGGTTGAAATTAGAATCATTAGCATCCTTTAAGGGAGTTCTCTACTAGTGAAAATAAACGATAACAAAGGAAATTGGGTCTATATTTGTTATAAAATTTAATATAACAGGTTCCTCGAGTCTTGTCGTTTTTGAATTTTGATTCACAATATGGTTCACAGTTTGATTCACAGTATGGGTATAGTATGAGTCTTAATTTTACGTATAGCTAACGACTTTAATTTCAATCTGCAGGTAAGTGTAATAACTAACTGCAAATAAGTGTAATAACTTCCCAATTAAGAAATCTATACGAAGTGAAATCAAAGTCAGTCATGAAACTGAATATTTACGTCAAAAGTTAATGGTTGAAGGATGGGCAGCAGCATCCCTCTTAAATTATCAGTAAAAACCTTACTGCTATTGCCAACCCGTCTGCCAAGCGTGGCAACTGCTGTCAAAATGGGGAAGGTCTATGTTCAGTAACGGACAGTTATCGGCTGATATAATAAAAAAAACATGGATTGAAAAATGACGTGAAATTCTAAGCCTCCATAGTAATATCGCGGGTACAGCTGTCGAACTAATATCAGAGACTATTACACACTATACTACTATATAATTACTACTTGATTATTTGCCATTTTTGAATTTTTGATTCACGATGGTTATATGTTTTATACAAAGTATGAGTAGTTTCTTAGTTTTACGTATCGCTAACGATTTCAATTTCACTCCGTATTGCAACTAAGTAGTTATACCATTTTTCGTAACAAATTAGAGATCTTTTCTCTATTTATAGTGCGAGGGTGTTGACTCTAGTAAACAAAGTGTGCTCTGCTACCGAAGCATTTTAAACTTTATTGCACAAAAAATTTATGTTTAGATCCTATAAAAAGTACTGAATGGATTCCAACGGGAATCTCTGTTTGAAAGCACAAAACTGGATGTGTACACAATGTAACTAACTAATGTAACATTTTTTAAGCAACAAAAGAATATCTATCAATATCGGGGACGATAACGAAAACGTATCTATTCATAGATTCTTTGTCTTCATATGTAATTACCTCTAAATTTCTTTTAATAGATTATACCGCTGTCGTAATCTGCGTTATTGATTTGTGCTTCCGGGCTACCGGTGAAGGATAGATCTGGAGAAAATCAGGTTAATTGGCCTATTGTGAGAAATTCATTAAGAATTAACCGCGATGGTTTCTAGCGAGGGTCATGTGTATATCGCTAACAATGGGGCCGCTAATCCCTACTACAAACAATCAACTCCTCCCCTTTCCTGATATTTAATTTATTTATAGGCTACCGAATTCTTCATCTATGCCATGGTATTAGCTGTCGCTATGTTAGTGTTCCTTCAAATGGGTAAAGGATTCCAATCCAGGAGTATAGAAGCGGACGCTTCATCATCTGAGAGTCGACCTTTATTGCATCACAGATCTAAGGTGAGACAATTTCTTTTTAGTTTTTATTTTGTTTTTCTATTAAACTTGCATAGCTAACAAATAATCGAAAGTGCAGTTAAGTGTTACATTACCTATATCCTAACAATTAACTACACTTTCGAATACATCGGTTAAGATACCTAATTCAAGGGTCATTAAAAAGGGCAGTTTATCAATTTGATAGTGTTTTTGTGTGTTTACTCGATATTATCGTAAATTTTGGTGACCGATTTAATCGATATGGAAATTATTAAAGTATATTCATAGGTAGTATACCCTTTTTTCTGTTGTATCTGTGTTATGTGTAAGCATGTTATAACTATGTAATAAATAAATAAAAAAATCTCAATTCGTTTGCATTCTGTGACTATGTTACGCGATTCGTCATTAATTTAAAAAAAAATTACAATTTTTTTTATGTGTGTTAGATATTGCTTGGTTTTAGATTATTCGTCTGACTGATTTATTATTATTTGTCAATATTAGTAAAAATGAGATTAACATGAGAGCATTCATAAAAGAATTAATAATTAATCAGAATCAGCGAAAATATAGCATATACATATTTAAATACATGTTTAACGCGTAAAAATATAGTCCTCCTTTTTCAAGTCGGTTAAAACGGAACTACGTAATAGACACTTACCTACGTAGTAATTGAAGTTGTTTGGTAAATCCAGCAGTTTCGGCTGTCCGTTAATCAATCCGTCACTTTCTTCAAAAAGGAGGAGGTTCATCACGATTATGAAATTTCTTCCATCAAATGCCTGACGTAAATTTCACAAACCTTCAGTATTTTAATTAAGTATAATTAATAAATTTTGTTGAATCTGTTCTGGTTCGCTAGAAACAATTTCCCTCTCAAACATAAGCACATTAAATTACATATTGATTTATTATTTTTACGCGTACGTTATATAAAATATTAATTGTAATTAATTATAATTAGCAATGATTAAGCGACGTAGTGTCATAACGAAATGAGTGACTTTTGTGATATTCTATTTAAATATTACTTGAATAAAAAATATGTTATTTTACAAAATACCTATTCATTTAAAAATGTGTTTTTGTAAAAGAATAGATGTTTTATATATGATACTCGTAAATGTGAGTATTTGTTATTATATAATGTCGTCTAAATATGTTTACTTATATGTATAATGGGGATTTTACGAATTTACTTATGCAGCCCGCTATGCGAACCAAGACGTTGCGATGTAAAGCAGCGTAATCACCATGTAGAATACTTCTAAATGAAGTCGAAATAATTATCGAAAACGACAAAATAGAATTGCCGTTACTCATATAAAATTAACGTATTTTTTTTAAATAACATTGTCATCTAACTATCTAAAGTTATAAATTCAGCATAATAGAGTAGTAGATAAGCGAAACATCTATGGAACTAGTGTGTATGTATAATACAAGCTAACATGAAAGTGGTTAATACATCAGAGATATAATATGTTAACTGATATATTTTTCACTATTTTTTGTTTTACTGTAGATAATTGCATTCTGCAATTGACGCTTTTTGTTTCTCTATTTTACGTGATGTAATTTTAAATGGGTTCAATTCTGTTAGATAAAAAATCGTCTACACGGATTTCAACAATATATATGTATATTCATATTATTTACGAAACATCGGTTAAGTAAGCGTTAAGTAACTGGCGACGGTTTATACTTTCCGTCAAGTAGGTCTTAGCTTGTTTGCCGTTCTAAATTTCATAAAAAACCTTTTGAAAAAATAAGATTCTCATTTCATCTGTTTTCTTTTCTTATACGATTACGTCGCAATTATGATCCGAATTTCACAATTTCTATTACTGTCTCTCTCAGGCAAATTTTATCACAATTGAAGTGTATTTTTATAGAATAAAACTGCATATTATTTAATAAAAAATAAAATCAAAGTAATTTGGATTGTTATAGATCATAAGAGCAATCACATTGAGTTAATTTAAGTGATAAGAGGAACGTATTGTGTATGATGGTTCCTATTACTCTCAGCTACTGAAAGGATAAGGGCACATATCAATCTTGGAATCCAATCATACCAAATAGACTCCGTTACCCCCGTAACCTGCTAGATAAATGCTAAAGAAACTCCATGTGTACTTCTTCGAACATCTATAAGAAATTATTTATTTTAATAATTATTATATTCAGTAATAGATCTTATTTAATTTTATAAATTTGAAACTTTGCCGTTTGTTTCCGGCATAGAATAGGCCACCCCTTCCTTTCCCGTGAATGTTGTAAGAGGTGACTATGGAAGGGCACGAGGTGGGCAGCAGCGTCCTTCTTAAAACATCTCCAAGGCCCAACTGCTGTTGCCATTCCACCTCTCAAGCGTGGAAACTATCAGCAAAACCCCAAAAGAAGGAGGTTAATGTTCAACAGTGGACAGTTAAAGGCTGATATGATACTGATGATTTGCATAAACAATGATTGAAAATTGAAAATACAATAAGTAAATATACGTAATTCCGAATGTTTCGTTACCATGGAAATTTTCGAAAAATCCTATCTTTAAGTAAATTAGTTCAATTGAACATACTAGTCCTTGGAGGACTAACAGCGGTTCAACATACTGCTTGACATACCGATGGTCTCGTGTTTAATTCTCGTATAGGACAAGATGTATTCATGAGTATCTCTGCTTGTATTGTCTGGGTATTTTCTATGTATTTTTATTTAGGAATTTAAGTATGTCTATCATTCGTCTAGTGCTCATGAGCTAGTACGCATAAGTTTAGCTTTATTTGGAGCTAGATGGTGCTGAATAATGTAATCAGTGATATTTATTATTATTTATTTCTTATTTATATATTCAGCTGTATTAAGTGTCTGTTAATCATTCAATTAGTTTTTATTTTTTAAACTAAAGTATCCATTATTTGTGTGATTTTCTTTCCTTTGTATCCGAAGTTTTCCCGATGATAGTTATTTTTTTAATTAGAAATATCGTGAATAAGCAGTAGGCAAGGGGAAACTTTTGCTTTTGAATGAAAGCTATATGAACACGAATATCTCATTCATCTTGGTCAGTATTTGATTGAACATATCTAGTTAAAATCGATAGTACATATCTATGAAATATACTCTAAAAGCTTTCATTTTGTGGAAATAAATTGGTTTTTACCCAAGCAAAGTTAAACAAATAAAAACAAAACTTTTAAACATTTTACTGATGGAATTGAGTTTTTTGATATTATTAGCCAACTGCGCGGCAAATACATTGAACGTAGAAACAAAATACGTATTATCTAAATATATGATTAGTGATAAAGGATATACCAAGCCGAAACCCAGTAATAGTATTCATAAAACAGAACAGAAATCCCCAAATTTGATTAATTAAAATATTTTTTGAAATTTTCAAGTAAGTTATTTCTATATAGTCCAGTTGCGTAATCGATTTATAACGAGAGATAGAGAAAATATTTTTAAATTTTTACTATACTTTTTGGAGTAAATTGTTCAGTTTCATTAATAACTGTATTTCGACATTGTATGTACTATTTACATAATTGTACTACATGAGTTAGCTTTTATTTAAATGGATATTCAACATTAATATTAAGAAAATGTTCCATAAAGCAACGAACTTCTATTTTGATAAAATTAGATTGGGAGCAACACGGAGCAAATCGTTAGGAATATAAAATTAGTCAATTAAAATAAGAATGAGAAATATCGGTTATATACGATATTGAATTGCAATCGTTTTATTTTTAACCGACTTAAAAAAGAGGAGATTCTTAAATTGGATGTATTTTTTTAAGTTTGTACCTTATAACTCCGTCAGTTATAAACCGATTTGGAAAATTATCTAAATAAATTATCGAAATATATATAAATTTGGAAACTATTATATTTTGGAGAATATTATTATCTTATAAAATGTCTATAGGACCAATATATTCTTGTAGATAATAATAATAATATATTTATAAGATATATATATATATATCGAAGCATTTGGCGTTCCATTGTTTCTGCCTACCCTAATGGGAGACAGGCGTGACAGATATGTATGTATATATAATGTGAAGACCAGCAGAAATGGCGATGGATAGGCCATATATTGCGCAACAGCATGGACAAATGGAGCTCACGGATCACAGTTTGGTATCTACGGGGAACTAAAAGAAACGAGGCCGTCCACAGAGACGATGGGAGGATGATATAAAACAAACAGCAGGTCCATACTGGAGTAGAGCAGCAAGGGACAGAAATTATCGGCAGGAGTTGGAGGAGGCCTTTGCCTCTGTACTACGAGATTTAATTTGAAGGAAATTATATATATATATATATATATATATATATATATATATATATATATATATATATATATATATATATATATATATATATATATATATAACATATAATTTTAATAATATGATTTTACGACTTTATTAATTAATTCTAAAAAATGTAATGTAATTATAATATATAGTTTATTTTTAGGGCAAAAAATGTTGTATGCATGCAATATTAATTATAATCACAAAGCAAATTTTGTATAATATTAAGCGTAGAATAAAGGCCTATTTTTATCTTTATCTTTATGGTTACTGTTTTATGTTTCAGCTAATATCAGTACACTCGTTATCTACGTCCAGCACTAGGACCTTCAGTAGCACCGGTCACAGTGCAGCGTCATGTCTTGGGCTGATGGAGCGCGCCAGACCTGCGGCTTGGCCCGCTAGAGCCTACGTTCAATTAGCTACGCCTAGTACCAGCGAGCCAAGAGTTACCACATTAGCCAAGGACTGATGAAGACACTACAGATTATTTATATCACTGCTATTACTATTACTTTTATTACACATATTATTAATACGTACCAAAAAAAATCAACGGTAAACCCAAGCAAAAGCAACGGTGGCTTAAGACCGTTTCTTATGGCAATCTATGGGGGAGGCCTATGTCCAGATGTGGAAAGATAATGGCTGAAATGATGATGATGATGATGAAACCCAAGCAAATTCAATTCTAAGTAATAACGACACGTACACCCGAGTGCGATGTATTTCCCCATTCGCGTCTCTAGAACCCAAAAAAACATTATTTAAAAAAAATGGTTTGTTAAATTCCATCCTGATGAATTTACTGATTATTCAGCATGACCATTCACCATTCTATCCAGAGAATCTATAAGAAGTATCTTAGTACTAACTAGGCTCCATAGTTAATAAATGGTTTCTTTGTAATAGCCACGAATTTACCTTATTTACTACCTAAGCCAGTACCTATGACTTGGTAGTCTTGGTTTGTGCTTTGTTCCTCTAAATGCCGGATTTTATATATATATTATTTATTGCACTTGTATATTACATATAAAATAATGTATTTATAAATGTTGTGAGCAAGGGTGAACTTATCTTTGACATATCTAGGGTGGACTTATCTAGATACTGATTTTAGTAAGATATTTAAAGATGAATTGTTATTTTGTCATGACACAAATACTGTAGTAATTTAATACCAACTAAAAGCTTTACAAAGTAAAACAAAACATAAATACGGCTATCGTCTGACTACATTATTGAAATCTAAAACGATCTAAAACTTTAATGATTTCGAAGTAATTTAAACCTTAATTAGGTACAAGTAATATATCCGAGTTTTATTTATATATATTGACTTATACCAATTAAATCAGTTTCTTATGACAATTTACTTTACAAATGAAGAGATATTGGTTTGGTTATTTTTGATATTATTATCGGAGGTATTATCGATGAAAATGAATAAAAAATATATAATAAAAATGTTTAACTCTTCGCCTATAATATTACAAATTCAAATATCTGTGTATGTGTTTCATGTTGTGATACGTATTATTAATTTCTTAAGACTAGAATATTACTTATTGACCTTTAAGTACCTATTTTAATTTCATATAATTTATAAATGTGTAATTAAATGTTTTGAAATGTTTTTGTTTATTAACTTGTACCGTAGATATATTATCTAAGAACATTAAAAAAAAATTACTACGTGTCAGGTAATCTATCATTGATATTTGACAAGCTACGTATTACTTACCTACTATCTACTCGTACCTGTGGTCCGTGACTTAATCCGCATAATTAGCATCCATTGATTTAAATAGAAAATAATCCAAGTTCTTTCCTTCTCTAACATTTCTAATACACAGTGAATCTTACTAATATAATAAAATTTTACTTAGACGATGTTCTTATATGGGATATATGTATTAAAAACAAAAATAGCGAGGAGTTTTAATAAGACCAATGGCAAAACAATATTAGAAAGATTATTTGTTTGTATGTTATATACCAGAGGGAGACTTTGTACAAAAGCCGTTTGCTTGGCTACCTCTGTCCTTTTCGTGTTTCAACCGTAAAGCAGCTGTGTTTGCAAGGCTATGTTTCGGTTTTAAGGTGGGGTATGGCGTGAATTTACAGGGTACAGAGGAATAACACCTGAGTCCTCAGGAATAGCAACGCATGGGGTGTATCATGGGCGAAACAGTATACTCTGTTATGTCCATGGTACTGCTCATGTCTATAGGCGTCGGTTACACTTACCATCAGGTGGGCCGTCAGCTTGTTTGCCATTTTAAGTTGTATAAAAAAAAATGTTTATTCCGACATCGCGCAAAACTGCTGCACCACATTAGAGACGGAACTCACTACTGGTTTTTTAAACGTCTAACTTAAAAATTGGTGTATGTATTGATCAATTTTATTGATTTTTCTACTTCTGTCATTCAGGAGTACGAAGTAATGAGCAAATAACTAGTTCGATATAAAAATAGATTCATGGGAAAATTCTCCGAAAGAAGTTTTTGTTCTTAATGAGATGAGATTAGTTTTTGTTTTCAGGTACTATACCTATCATTTATTTTATAGAATTAACTAAATATGTTCCGCGGCTTTGCTTGTCTGAATTGTAATAGAAATATAAAAAAATATTCTATGTGTAAATCTAGGATCCAAATCTGTATAACTGATTGAGCGTGAACTAAATATATCTTTACAATCTTTCACATAATTATGTTATATTAGTTACTAGAATTTGATAGGATAGTGTAATATAATTATCTCGTTCAAATTAATTGTAACAAAAGTGTGGAAGAAGCTCTCAGATACTTTATTGTATAAAGACGTACAAGTAGCTCGCCGCCCTCCACACACTTCTATAGATTACAAACAAGTATCCACCTGAAGAAATATTGTATCAATTTTTATCATCATCAACCTGCCATTATCTGTCCACCGCTGAACATAGGCCGTCCCCATAGATTGTCATAAGAAACGGTCCTGAGCCACCTGCATCCACTCCCTGCAATGCATTTGAGGTCGTCACTCCATTTAATGGAGAGAGGAGGGGTCGTCTTACACTGCGTTTGCCCGTACGGGGTCACCACTCAAGAAACTTTCTTCCCGTCGGTGATCTATATGACCAGCTCATACTTTAGCTTTGCTTATTTTATAATCAATTATTTTAAATTTTAAACAGTAATAATTGGTTTTGATATATAGATATAATTTAATTATTTATATACTAAATTGACAACTAAGGGGACACAATGTGAGTAATGTAGGCAGTTAATCTTAAGAATGAAGAATGTTTTGGAAATGATAGAAATCTGAAAAAGGAACGGTAACGGGTAGACCCGCCTACGTTATTGGTTTTCGCTGGCAGGGTAACCAGTGAGGGATAATAGGTAAGGATGAAGGTCAATTGGCCCATCGCATCGAATTCACTGTGATGAGAATTAACTACAATATTTTCCAGTGGGGTCGTGTGGAGCCCTATTGGTAGCAATATACCAGATAGGGTATTTTGCTGATAGGCCAGTATTTTCCTGTATAGTTCCCTTTACATTATAGTGCTCCGAATTTTTTCAGTATTTGAAGCACTAGTTCTATTATACAGTGCTATTACTAGAATGGACGTGCAGTACCGGCATAGAAAAGAAACACTTCGTCTGCCAATTTCTCTGCCAAGCATTGCAACTACTGGCAAAACCCCCTAAGGGGAGGCTTATTTTCAGCAATAGACAGTTAAAGGCTAATATGATAATGATGAATACTAAGAATGATTGTCAAATCATTTGTATGAATACTGTCTGTACAATCTAATATTGATTCGAACAGGTATCTTTTAAAATACGTGCTAGTACGACAATCTTATTAAACAACTAACCACGTTCTCGACTAGGAAAGACTGTTATAAATCAGTTGTATTTGCGTGATGTGTACACCGATACGGTCTATTTATGTATAGTATTATTATTTGAATTAGTATATGCAATTTATTTGGTGTATGTTATTTTCAATATAACAAACAAAAGAATGAAGACAAGCTTGTCATTGTATCAGGTAAATTATGTATACCCTTATTTGTGACAATTCTGTCTCACTAGGTACTTAATTACCAAGTACAAAAGCGTAGGTACATATGTCTTTGGCATAAAATAAAATATATTATGACTACGAGAATAATATTTTATCTCTGTTAGAAGCAAACTTCTAAATTAATTATTTATTTAATTAATGTTTTGCAGCAAAAGTACTTGTATTTTTGTGTATAGAAAATTAAAAGTTTATATGATCTTAAGACAGCGATATATGCGGAAAAGGGGGATGGTCGGATTGGTGACGACCGCAGCTAAATCACAGGCTAAGTACCGATAATTCGAAGCGTTGTGTTCCTATTAAGATGAACAATATTACCGAAGCTCTTGGGTATTAGGGAAGATAACAGATCGGCTATACACAGCTGAGACCTCTATTGTTGTTAAGGGATAATCGCTTACTATAATAATGTGGAATACAACCTCAATATAAATTAATATATACTAATATAAAATACAAGTACTTATCTACAAACAATTATTATATACACAGATACTTACACGCACGTAGACGTCTGTTCGAGGTTTAAACTTTTAAAGGATGTGTTCACTTTGTTCATGCGAACTCCAGTACACACAGGAATTTAATTACTCCACCTTCAATTGGAATCAAACGATTTTCTGTACAATTCTCTTACTTAGTTTATTTGTAAAGTTAAATTTCAAAAAATCCTAGTAAGTTTTTTAATATCTGTTACTAACATGTTAGTAGGTAGTTACTAAAACAATTCGATATGTAATATGTACTATGAGTACCTGGAATATATATGTATAATATTAAAAATCAGTATATATAGGTCGTAGCCACATTGATTTTTGATTTTTTAAAACGTACTGATACTGCATTCATAAGTTTGAATTATGAAATTTGGATCCACAATGAAGTCAATAATTTTTATATTATGTAAGTATTATAGTATTATATAGTATTTATTTATATAAGTATTGATTTTTATAGACATTTACATGCTTAATATTACCTGATTTTCTGGATTCAATATCTAGTCATTTCAGCCGTTACTTATTACATTATTATTTTATAATAAATAATAATGTAATAAGTAATTGGTAATTGAATTAACAGAAATTTTGACCAATATAGAATTGTTTTTTCCATTCTTTAGAAATCTTAAACGAATTAGGTACTACGTACACGAAAGAAAAATAAAACAAATTGTTCCAGTTGTTTCTACGTGATATCTTTACCGACCAACTAAATATGTAGTTATTTTATTGTTAGAAAATATATTATCAAGTAGAAAATAGAGATATACTTTTTAGATTACGTAGATCCTTACTAGTAGTAAGAATGACAGCACTAAACAATTGTTTCACCACTCACCAGAGGGAGATTTTCTACAAAAGTCATTTGCTTGGGCACCTCTGTCCCATTCGTTTTTCTACCGTGAAGCGGTTGTGTTTGCATGGCTGTGTTTTGATTTGAAATGGTTGGCATATAACACATGAGTCCTCAGGAATGGCAACGCATCATCATCAAGGGGGGTATCATGGGTGAAACAGTGTATTATGTTATGTCCATGGTACTACTCATGTCTTTAGGCGAGGGTTACTACTTTCCAACAGGTGGACCGTTAGCTTGTTTGCCATTCTAAATTGCATGAAAAAAAATTTGATATGAATAGTATAAGAAGATAATCTGATGATATTATTAATTATTATTGTATCGAGGAGTAATGATACAGTCAGATGCAAAATAGTCACACAAGTCATTTATAGACTAAGTGGAGTGTAGGATAGCATTACCAGATTGGGTATATTTTCTCAATTCTGTATAACAATTTTTTTTTTCGCGAAATTTTGGAAAAATTAATTTGCAAGAAAAATGTTTGGAAAGAAATAAAATAGGTGTGTAGATATTTGGATATTTTTTTTTTATAGTTTTGGTATGTATAAACCGTATAGCAATATAACGAATAACAATAGCAATTAGTAAATTTGAGGTCATATTTAGTATTAAGGAAGAGAGACAAATTAGAAAAACTATTGAAGTGAGAAGGGAGAAAATGCTATTACTTGATACGATACGACGAACTTATAAACTTTATAATAGAAGGTATGATAGAAGAAAGGAGGGAAATAGGGAGACCAAGGCATAGTTATATCAGGTAAATTAAGGAAAAAGTTAATGTCGTGTCATATGAAGAAGTGAAGAGAAACACTGAAAATTGTAGTAATGTATATATATATATATATATATATATATATATATATATATATATATATATATATATATATATATATATATATATAATTGCACGCCAAAAGAACTTTTTGGTAGAGGTAGGTTTAGTAGTAACCATAATTATGTGACTTCGAAAAAGCGAATCAGTTTAATTTACTTAGGGCCTTTCATTTTAAGATAGGGCATAGGGTCTTTCAAAGTGGGGCATTGCTCTCAATTCCCTCCCTCCCTCTTCTCAACTACGGCTATGTGGTTGGATATTATTCTTTTAAACAAAAATTACAAATCGGATTATGTAACATATTTATATTTCTGAAAATATATTTTATGTTATTTGGTACTTATTTTTATTAAATACTCTTTTTACTTTATGACTAACTTGTAGGTTATGTAATTGTGTTAAAAACTTACGACTAAATAAATATTTCGAATAAAATAAATAAACAAAAATCGTACAGAGTAGCATTATAACATTTATTTTATTTATGAACGCTTACATTTAGTTGAGCTTTTAAAATAATCATCCTCGTTAAAATGTTTACTACATATTCGTGCATTATTCATCAAGTTCCAATTTCATTTTGTAGCTAAAAATAAGATCTATCCATTTCTATTTTTAAAAAATCTTTTTTAAGAAATCTGAAAATAAGTATATAATTTATTTTTTACGTTAAAATGTAACGGAAAAAATAAAATGTTTACAAAAATATTATAGATAATTAAATAATATACCTAGTCGAATGGTGCAACACAGCACCATATCGAACAAATTTTACATAACTAAATTCTTTTGTCGATCTTGTTTATGCAAAAAGTATGCAAACAGCTTATATTTGAATTTGGTAGGGTTATACAGTCAACAAAACCAAGTTGGATATATGGTGATGAATTTGACTGTTCTGCCTATTCAAAAGGCAGATGCATTTTTATATTGCACTATTACATCGGCAATGTCATAAACACAATGAGCAAGACACTATATGAATTATGCATTCCATATGTTCTATTTCGAAATGTTTGATAAAATCAACAGAATATACCAAAGATTTTTATAATCCTGTTAGTGGTTACGCGGTAAAACCGTATAATAGTGAAAACTAATACAAGTTTGTGACCAATGCAAGCGAATGAAATCGTATCAATTTTGAAAAAAAAATTGACAATAGTTATAAATAAAAACAGTATTTGATAGATAATAAGATAAATCAATCAAAATAGTGGGGTAATCAAGTATTAATTATTTCGCTCCTTATATATCTACATATTAGTTATTTCGTTCATTTTCATAAATATGTCTCAAGTATGCTTGTTGATTTTGACCCATGAGAAATTAATATCTCAAGAGTCTTCCTGCTTACTATTATTATTTTTAGTGCGCTATCATTTTATAGGTTTATCCTAGTAGTTATATAATATACAAAACACTTTAATAGTAAATTATCTAGTGAATTGACTAAAACTATATTTTATGTTAGAACCGTTGATATATAATACGAGTTTACCAAATTTTATAGTGATTGGTTAAGTTAAGGCGTGCACTTTTACTTTTATAATACATACATACATATATATATATATATATATATATATATATATATATATAATATTATAAAGAGAAAAGATTTGATTGTTTGTTTATAATAGATAAACTCTAAAACTACATAACCGATTTTAAAAATTCATTTACAAATAAAAAGCTATATTATCAGCGAATAACATAAGTTAGGTATATGTAATATTATATCAAAGTATAAAAAATTTGCCAATTAAAGTCATTATTTGGCGTACGCTGCGAGAGCTGTTTGTAATACATAAAAAATTGTACTACATGTTTATAATACTCATCATTACTCACAAAAAGGCCTGCGTGGCTATATATATCCAACTATTATAACCGATTTTTTGTTTAAAGTCTATCAAAATGACTCTTATTTTGTTTTAGAATCAGAAATTAATAACATTCTTATTATGATATTAATCCTTATTCAATTAAATAGTTTGTAATCAAGTTTATTTATGTACATGTAAACTTTTTTTTTTTAATTATTCGAATTAGACCCTTTATTTTGATGTTACAATGGGTATAATTTTTATAAATAATTTTATAAATAATTAGCTAAAAGTAAAAAACTGCCACGGTGTAAGTAAACAGCCTCACTTTTATTATTTATTAGTGTTATCCAATGTCCAAGTACCAGCTTAAAACACTAATATGTATATCTTTCAATCAATCTACTTGTGCAAGGTTGGGGTAGTCAGTAATAATAAAATAACTAAAAAAATTAAAACGATAATATGGCATTTCTGTTATTCTCTTTAGAAGAGTAGAGAAACTATTTATAATAAAAATTATATAAATCTGATTAATTCATCTGAAATTCGCCGAAAATCTAATAACTCTGAGAGACGGATGTGTTTGCTTTTGAAATGTTGATGCCAAAGACTAAAGTTTATTTAAATTCACGAAATGAACACAATTGTTAAAATTATTACTTTTTCTGGTGATGAAACTAGTCACATTTTTATTTATAAGTTTTTTATATAGAGTTTGCGTTAAATATGAGAGGACAATAAATAATAGGAATCGAGTGATGTTTTTAGCAGCAAGATAATTTTATTAAGATGACAATTCAATAACAGATAGGTATAATAAAAAAACGAACTACCAAGAACTATTTACACTATATCAGTAAGTAAGCTAAAAAAAGTAAACAAGCGTAGAGCCCACGATATGGTTATCGATTAAATTCATAGATACTCTACCAGCAAACAAAACATATAATCTTAGATCATATAATTAAATTTATAATGTGCTTACAGTTGTAACAACTTTAGGATGTCTAAATCAAAACATATTATCACCGGAGGCAGATCCAGAATTTGAAGCTGAAACATTTCAGGGAGTTGGATATCCAAAAATTGGAGATATACCATTGCTTAATCGTAAGGTATTATTATATTAAAACTAGTCTTGAAAATTATATAAAAAAGAGCTATATCTATCCTATCTTTTTCAAGAGATGTGTTGTCAACAATTTTTATTCATCTATATTTTTTTATACCACTGCGGTGACAACAAGCATACGGCCCATCTGATGGTAAGCGGTTACCATAGCCTATGAATACCTGCAATACCATATATATTTTACTAGTTTTCCGTTCCGGCTTTGCACAGGTATACAAATGAAGATGATAAGACCAATTTTTCCCTCTTATTTACTCACTCTTTTATGTCGAGGTCTTTTAACAAAAAATTTTACATTTCCGTACTATTTATCAAATATTTTATTTCATATTAACGTTTTTCTGACAGTTACATGTATAACAAAAAAGAATTGGCCAAATAGGTGCAACCGTTAAGAAGTGACACGGTTATGCAAGTACATACATTCGACAATAGATTTTATTTAATATTTATATTATAATAATATAAATATTATAATAAATGTTTAGATTATAATAATATTTATCAATATTTATAATATTGGTAAGTATTATTAGTAGGCTTAGTTCTTTCCGGCATCAAAATAGCTACTGTTTTGATATTTACCAAATTGTGTCTAAAATTCACACAGTCAATATTTGAAATTAGCAAAATAGTTTATATCCTGGATATTGATGATTTAAATAACAATCTTTACAGGTATTCAAAGGTAGTCGAGTAACAATAAGGGAACACCCTTACATTGTCAGCATTCGCAGGAAATATGCTCACTACTTGACGGGCACCTTACTCACGAGGAACCTTGTCATATCCGTGGCACATCCTTTGCATCTGTGAGTTACCGGAGATTGTCACTTATATATGTCATATTTAACACATATACGATGAATAGTTGTAATCAGCTGCTTTGCCTCCATTAATTAGCATAAAATATATCATGTGCTCATCATTTTGGATTAACATATCTACAGACGGACTATATCGTTATAGTCTATCTTTGTCACCAAAGCGCGTTTAAGCGTGATTGAGTAAAAAACAAATCTTTATAAATTTTCTAATATTATTATATTATATATTCAAGTATTATAAATACTGGTAGGATAGTAGAATTACTGAACGATAATTTTAGCCTGTAAAGGTAATAAAAGCAATGTCAGTAGTGACTTCGAACCAAAAATTATGGGGAATTATTATTATTAAATTTAATGAATCCGGGAAATGTAGATGATAAAAGTTCTAATATAGAGTGTTTTGTTCATCATAACAACAAATGTCTGTCTATTCCAGTAAGTACATATATATACCTAATATTGTAAATATTATTTTTGGCTTCAGAGTACCAGTAACCGAGCTAGGAGTTGTATCTGGACAGAATTATGCGGATCGCGGTACAAACATTATGACGGTACTGTTTGTCATCATCCACGAAAACTTCGATCCCAATACTCTGGCCGCTGATATCGCACTGCTAAGATTATATGAGGATATACCACTTAAGTAAACAAAATAATTATAAGCGCTTTTTTCATTCTTCTGTTTGAGATAATGTAAGAATGTGTTATCATTTCAGATCTTTTTTATAACTAGAATATCGAAGTTAATAGTTTAATTTAAAATATAGATCGATCTGAAGAGTACAAGACTAGGGCATAATCTCCAAAGGCACAAGCATGAACGATATGCATCAAAATATATTCTGTAAGCCGATGATGTAAACATTATCTGTATTGTCTATAGGCAACGGAATTGAAAACGTTTTCTTTTCGAGTCGATGAATAAAAATACGGCTCTTTTGAATTCAGTATTGGTTATCAAATACGGAAAGAAATCTCAAAGATATTGCGATAGGTTTAATAATATTTAATCAACATTGAATCGTTTCAGGATAGCTATAAAAGCTATTATGTTGGTATCACCTTTAACAAAACTGGAAGGATTTCGAGCCTTCGTTACCGGGTGGGGCCGATGTGATCTAACGGTTAATATAATTTTGTCCAATCATTTTACAATTTACCCAATATGTTATGTGTAGTGATCACAAATAGAATATATGTTTTTGTTAATTAAAATTGAAACATGGAATAGTATTACATTCCAATATTGAATTTAGAGGTTCTATTTAGAAATGATATCGTTCTCAATAAATTGTATATGAATCGTTTGAATTTCATGTTCGCATTCAATATTATTTCCTAGAAGAGATTCTTTGAGTGATTGTCGATCTCTGTAAGTAGGTATGAGATACTGGTATGCTATACGGATACGTAGTATATGTCGTTTGAAATCCCATGGGCACCGTAAAGTTAACGTATAAGTATAAAAATGGTCTATTCTTTTTCTTGAGATACTCAAAATTTTATGGCATGGACTGATAACTATTTTTAGAAGGCAAAGATTCTTCAGAAAATACTCTTAATATAATTTAATTTTTATTATACAGAACTTTTTATATTTAATTATTTGAAAGAAATATAAATATTTATATTTGTGTAGGGGTACCTACTCATACAATCGTGATTCGAGAGGCGCTAATGGACGTCACACTATAATTTGTGACGTTCATCTCTTTGGCATTCATGTATTCCTGTCTTCTCTATTATGCACCAAACAAATCCTATTAAAGTTCTCACCTATTAGCGACGTGTGGATTGACAGTCTCAGAGAAAGACCATATAGTAGGGAACTATAAGACTGGCTACGTTAGCAAAACTTTCAAACAAAATTAAACATTTACCTCAATTATTACTTATATACAATTGGCTCCGTAATACATTAAAACGTTAATCACGTGCCTAATGAGATTCTTATAAAGTAATTGCTGAAATTTTAACGTTTAATGAGAAGTAAATTCGGAAATTTCAAAATTAAAATGTGATGTGAATATTTAATTTGAACGGCTATTCTTTTATTTATTTATTATATTCTCTGAACAGCGCTTTAGTGTAAATGTAAAAGTATTTAATAATTTAAAAGTACGTACATTTCAGAAATAATAATTGTCTTTTGAAGGTTGTAACTTTGAACCTGACTGACACTAATAGCTGTGTTTCAATTCAAATTATCTAGTTACTAATTTTCCGATGACGGTAAAGACCTTTGATAACACCAATTTAATTATAGTGATAGCGTCGGACGCTTTGAATCTAATAAGCAATGTGGATATATCGAGTATTATATTCATAAACACTGTATTAGGCGAAAAATGCCTCCAACTACTTTATCAGGGATTATCAGAGGATATTTATTTATTGTATTTAATTTTTATTACAGGGAAGAGAGCTGTGTTTGCCACGGTCGAGCATATATTTCCCGGACGAGAAGTTAGATCCAATGTTGAGGACAGTAAACTTCATGGTATCGTCGACGAAAGTACATTGCGACACATACGAACGTGTAAGCGATTTACATATTGTTCCCAAACTATTCCTTAGAGACCGACTTTGCGTCGTACGCTATCCACCCAAATAGGTTGTCAAGATTGTTGGTATCACAATCACGTTGAACAATTTCGATTAAGCATGTTTAAAAGGGATGTTACACATATTCCAATAACTCGTATGTTACTTTTGAGAACTATCGTGGGCACTATAAGAAATTAGCATCTTCTTATTACGTTCCTTATATATATATCTGAGTAAGTAGTTAGTTACTAAGAAAATATTTCTCAAAATTCTCATGTTAACGAAAAAGAAGTGTATATATATATTGTGAGGTTGCATGTCGTAGAAATGAAATAAAAACTGATGAATTCATGAGGAACATTTTTATTTTTTATCCATGTTTTTTACCTCTAAGTATGTATTCTTTTATCGGTTGGTATTTACTATAAGTTTAAATATACCCATAGAATTAATATAACGTACTTTATAATCCAAGAATATAGTTAATAACTTTCAACTTTGGTAACAGTACTAAAGACTAATATTTATATTATTATGTATTTAATATTTAACTAGTAGTAATTGTACTTATAACTTAGTTGACGTTGTAGGTACAACTACCTTGGTGTAAGAGATTTAATAGGAGGTGACTGCCTAAATGTTACGACTGAATTATAGGGCTGTCTTTTTCTTGATTCTGTCATCATTACCTTGTCTTTATTCTGTATTGTTCGGGATCGGCGGAGTATATATAATTCTTCTTACAATTTTCCTTTCTGTTTGTCCTGCATTGATAAATATAACATTGTTTATGATAGAAATACCTAGAACTGTGGTTAATGAACTCCTTTATAACAATTCCTTTATATTTTAGAAGATAAAATAGCTATTATAAAGGATCTATTCCTCTTATTTATTATTACTTTACTTAAATGTATTTTCATACAAATAAATATCCTATACTTATAGTCATACACTATAAGTACAGGATATTCACTCAAAAATGAATGAGTTAGTAATAGGATTAATTATTGTTCCCTTTTAAAGATTACATAATATACGACAAAGAAAAGGTTTCTTACAACAATAATAAATAATTTTTGTTTTGTTAGGGTATTTAATAATTTTTGTTTTGATGGTTTCCAGGGGGAACCACGTGGAGGTCGACCTAATAGGGCATATTGCTAGCAATGGGGCTGTCAAACTCCATTGTTAACAATCCCTTTCCCCCCAGTAAATTAGGTTAGGTTAGGTTAGGACTTTTTAAGAGTTTTAACTAACCATTCAAAACTACTTTTGACGGAATCACTTAGTCAAAAGTACTTTTAAATGATTTTGCTAGTCAATAGTACTTTTGACTGGTTTAGAGTTTTGACTGCCACATATATATAAAAATGAATTGCTGTTCGTTAGTCTCGCAAAAACACAAAAAACAGCTTGATTGATTTCAATATTTCTTTTTTGTTGGTACACGGGTGCTTTAAAAAAATCTGAAAAATCCTAAAGTTCAACTAAAAAATCGGAAATGAAAAATAGATAATTTTGTACGGAAATCGCTGCTTCGGTTATTTTTAATAGATGGCGTTGTAAGTTGTAAGTAATAAGAAGCTCACTGGGTCATCTAGTAATTTATATTTTATTAGCGGCCTCCTACAGCTTTCGTTGTGTAAATTAGGTCAAATATGTATTACATGTTAGCCCTTAATAATCTGTAAGTGTTAAATTGAATTCAAATTCGTTTATGCGTGATTGAGTAACAAACTTCTTTATACATTTTCATATTTGTAATATTAGAAGTATTTCTTATCTATACAATTTATATGTTAATAGCATCAAACATATATTCGGCAAGGCATGCTGTGCCTGGGACAATCTCGGCGCGAGGATCCCATGTGCCCTTGCTTAGCAGTGCCGGGCGCTCCGCTCGTCGTGAACTCTCGCTTGGCAGGTCTACAGTCTTGGGGATTTGGATGCGGTTATAAACACGACCTGCCTCTCGTCTATACTGACATACGATATTACTTATCGTTAGTATTTTATATAAATAAACGCAAATTTTGTTTGTAAAATTATAAAACCTATCTTAATGAAGTAGATATTAATGGTTTTTTTTAACTAAATTCTAATTTGAAAAATATTGTAATAGTAAAAAACAGGTTTGAAAAGGTTTTATTTTGTATCAGCCAGCGGGTTAGTCGGTAAGAGGATACCGGAGGTATACCCGAGAGATAGTATTCATGAAATTGAACAAAATTCCCTAAGGAAAGTTATCGATATACCTATAAATATAATTTTTGTACAAACCGCGAAAGTGTTTTCGACTATATATATCCCTTGGGGAAAGTTGTTTGTTTTTAAGCAAACTATAATGGAGGAGGTTCTTAATTCGACTATATTTATTGTATGTTAATAATTATTCTGAATCTATTTTAGTTTATTTTGAAATCAATACGGTTTACTTCCTTTTTACTATTTTTTCACAATTTAAACCTTTATTTTATTTGTCATAAAATCTTAAATTTATTATAGACATATACTACGTTGACATTATAAAGACAGAATTACCGTCATAATTGGGACGTTCCGTGTATTAATTAATGTATCATGTAACAACGTCTCCTATTTTACGTGTCAAGTGCTATACCCTACTTAGTATTACAAACCACACACATTTAATTAAAAAAATATATTTATTTATTTATATTTTATTGTACATAAAGATTATATTGTTATAATTTATTCTGAATAAAGAAGAAGTCTCTTTCTGAAAATTTACAATGGAAGTGGAGAGCACTTATTTATCACCAGCGAGTAGCATGTATGGTTAATAAAAAACATTATAAGGGTTCCTTTCTACTTTTTTCGTACGGAACTCTAAAAAAATAATGTAATAACATTATCTCCAATATCATTACCTAATTATATACTAATTTATATTCAATTTACAATTGTATATAACATATATATATAATTTATATATAACAATTTAATTTGACTACTCGAATATACTCGTATATGAAATAATCATAAAATCTTTTTTCATAGATGGTTACTAACCAATATTCCAATTCTACGGAAAATAACCAGATCAGATTTGACTCCATTTTTTGAAGCTACTAAAGGTTATATTTTCATACAGTGGTTGGAACAAGCGAGGTACTCGAAAACGTTAAACTTCGAATTGACCCATAATGATTTGCAACCCCGGGAAATCGATAAGTTACTTGCGAACATGAAAGGTACAATTTTCGAGATCAGAGACTTCATAAACAATGGTACATTTCGTGAATCAAAACAGAAAATGTACATGTTGCTTAGGAACTCCTCTGAAAGGATCAGGAGAATAGAAACACTGAAATTGACTACAAACGTCGCTGAACCGTTTATTAGTAACAATACACTGAACAAAATTGGACTGTATTTGAATCACGGCTTATTGGGCGATGTACACGACAACAATCCCGATTCAAGTACTGCTTTCGACGATTATGAATAATAATTATTATAGTATAAATATAATAAAATATGTAAAATATAATTACAAGTGTTTTATCGCACTACCTTACTCGATAGTGTATTATTATTCAATAAGTATCTATTGTTTCGAATAATAAATATGCTACCTATCAGAGCCTAGATTTTACAATCGTCGCTACGTCGCGTCGTTCAAACGTTGTATGAGTATTTCACAATAACGAGGTATGTGGATATAATATTACATTATAGTAGCTGTATTCCACAGTTTCATTCACCTGAATCAGTATATAACGTATAATATCTTCCAAGTTAGGATAGCTTTGGTTAGTTATCCTAGATTACTTTATATACCTATCCGTGAGTATTCATATAAATCATTTCAATAGTTTTTTTGTGAAATAATAACAAATATCCATCCATCCAAGCATCCTTACAAACTTTTATGTTTATAGTAGTAGTAGAATTTTTTTATAACACAGGACAAACGAGCATGCGGCCCACCTGATGGTAAATGACTACCACTGCCCATGATCACCCGCAACACCAGAGGTATTGCAAAAGTGCTGTCGGCCTTTAAAAAAGGAATATGCTCTATTGTTGAAGGTTACGATTTCGTATCGCTTCGGAAATACTGCTGCTGGAAGTTGATTCCAATAAGTGGTTGTTCGTGGAAAAAAGCATTGAAACGCACGGCGCAGGATTATAAATAATATAACAAAACATATAGGTATTGTTGTGTTTGTGGGTTTCTATATTGGGTGTAGTATTTAAATGCTATTATTATAAACAACAGATTTATTATATGTAATTAATTTTGTAAAAGCAAGCGATAGCAGACAGCGCAAATCTGACAGAACATTTTGACATTTCGTGTTGAGGTGCGTTCCGAGCGTACGTAACACTCCCCCACGTTGTAACTTAAAGGTTCAATCTGTTTGTAGGTTTTCTGATTCTCGTACTTCGGCGAAGCACAACTGGTTGCTCGACACCACTCGGAGATGCCGGCGTAGCTACTGGTGCGAGCTGTGGCTGTGTCACATTCTCTGTAATAGAACCTGGAACAAATAAAGATTTTCTTTTCGAAACAGGCTTATTATTCTCCGTTCCTGTTTCATGGCAGGGTGAAGTTTCCAGTACAGGTGAGTCAGGTAAGTATTCTCTCCCATCAGGTGTATAATTCAATCTTCTTTCTTTTTCAGGTGATGATACAGATGTCGCAGCTGGCGTGGCTATCAACTTAGGTAAGTAAGGTAAGTATGTAACATCATTTCCTTGAGTACACATAGTTCTTCTTATCTGATCTATATTTGCCTTGTATGTATTTTTCCATCCACTTCCACATTGTAGTGTAGTTTTCCTTTCTTTTGTATTACTTTCCCAATTTTCCATTTATTACTGTCATAGAATCTAATCTGCACTCTGTCTCCTTCTCTATATATTTTATTAAATCCTTCTGTATTTTGTTTCATATTCATTTCTGTAGTTAGATCTCTTTTTACTAAGTCTATTTTTGTTCTATATAACCTTTTAAACATCATTTCCGCTGGACTTAATCCTGTAGTATTATTAGGAGTTTTTCTGTACATCATTAAAAATCTTGATAACTTTTCCATTAATGTGCCTTTCTCATGGATCATGCTTTTAATTTTATTTTTAAAAGTTTGTACATATCTTTCAGCCTGTCCATTTGTAGATGGATGAAACGGTGCTGTAAACTTGGACTGAATTCCATTTTCTTTCAGAAATGTCATCATTTCTTCTGAACGGAACTGTCTTCCATTATCTGATACTATAGTTATAGGTAGTCCAAATGTAGTAAATAAGTTTTTTAATATTTTAATAGTAGCTGTAGTTGTTATGTATGTAGTAGGTATTATTTCTAGCCATTTGGTGTATGCATCCACAACAATCAGAAAATATTGATCAAAAAATGGTCCTGCATAATCAATGTGAATTCTACTCCATGGTTCTTTTGGGTATTCCCAACTGTGTATAGGTATTTTTGTAGGATTTTTCTGTAATAAACAACATGGTTTACATTCATTTACCATTCTTTCTATATCTGCATCTATATTTTTCCACCAGACATAGCTTCTTGCTAGTGCCTTCATTTTTACAATACCAGTATGAGCTGTATGTAATTCTTGTAGAATTGCAGGTTGTAATTGTTTTGGAATGACTATTCTTATTCCATAGAAAATGCAGTTACTTTGTATAGAAAATTCATGTAGTCCTTTTGTATAATTTGTACCTGATTGAATATCCTGATATAATTTCTGTAATTCTAAATCTTTAGCTGTAGCTTCTTTAATTTTCTGGAATGTAACTGGTAGTACTGTAAGTTGATTCAAGTAGAATACATCATCATCTGTTAGTTGGTTATATTTTACTGTAGGGTGTTCTAACCTTGAGAAATAATCTGCATTTGCATGTTCCATAGATTTCCGTACTTTTATATTGTAGTCAAATCCAGCAAGAAAATTTGCATAGTGTAATAGTCTTACAGCGGTAGTTGTAGGCATAGGCTTTTCCGGATGAAGTATTCTTGCTAGTGGTTGATTGTCAATTATTAATGTAATCTTGCGTCCATAGCAATAATGAAAGAACTTTTTCAAACCCCATATCAATGCTGCTGCTTCTTTATCCAGCTGGCTGTAGCCTTTTTCTGCACTGGTAAGTGATCTCGATGCAAATGCTATCGGTCTCTCCTTATTATCTGGCATAATGTGTGACAACACTGCACCAAATCCAACAGGTGATGCATCAGTAGCTAATGTAATTGGTAAGTGTGTATGAAAGGGTGTAAGTACCTTTTCGCTACATATTTCCTTCTTTAATTCTTGAAATGAAGTTTCACATTCTTTTGACCATATAAATTTTATATTTTTCTGTAGAAGTGTATATAGAGGATTTAGTTTTGAAGCTAGATTAGGAATGAATTGTTGGTAATAATTAACCATTCCCAGAAATGTTCTTAATGTAGATACATCAGTGGGACGTGGACTATTCTTAATATCATTTACTTTTTCTTCAGTAGGATGCAAGCCGTTCTCATTTATTTTATGTCCCAAGTATGTAATAGATTTCTTCAAGAATTGGCATTTATTTTTATTTAAATGTAGTCCACACTCTTTTAACTTTTGAAAGATAGTTTGTATTCTTTTTAATAATTCTATGTATGTCTGTCCTTGAATAGCTATATCATCGAAGAAACAGGCTGTACCTGGTAGTCCCTGGAGGGTCTGATCCATGTATCTTTGCCATTGATTTGGAGCGACTTTGACACCAAACATTAGTCTATTGACTTTAAATGTACCTTTGCATGTACTGATGGCTTGCATTTCAGCTGTGGCTGGGTCAGTTTTCATGTGTAAATATGCCTGATTTATATCCAAGGTACAGAAATATCTACCACCACTTAGTTTGGAGAAAACTTCTTCCACTCTTGGGATTGGGTACTTATCATCAAGTAAATTTTTATTTAATGTGGCTCTGTAATCAGCACACAACCGTACACTGCCATTCTGCTTCACGACTGGTACTACAGGCGTTCCCCATTGTGAATATGTAACTTTCTCTAATATCCCAGCCTTCTCTAATCGATCAATTTCGTTTTCAACTTTTTCTTTTAGTGCAAACGGTACTGGTCTTGCCTTGATGAAAATTGGTGTAACATTTTCTTTTAAACTGAATTTCACTGTGTAGTTCCTTATTTCTCCAATTTCTTCTGAAAATATCTCTCTATATTGATCTATTAATTTTTCTAAATTTTTCTTGTATTGTTCTTCAGTTATATCATTTCTCCCTATCTCTATTTTATTTATTTCCAAACGTACTCCTAATTTTCTTAACCATTCTCTTCCCACTACTGGGTCGACTTTCCTATTAAGAACAAATAATCTTCCTGTAATTTTCTTATTTTTGTATTGTATTTTTATGTTACAAATTCCTATTGGGTTTATAATTTCACCAGTATAAGTTCTCAATTTTATTTTTGAATTTTCAAGTTTTAAATCACTGAAATATTTATTATAATATTCTGTAGAACAGGTGGTGACTGCGGCTCCTGTATCCAATTCCCATATATGTCTCTCTTTGCTATGTAATTGTAATGTAATTTTAAACTTTTCATCCTTTTCGCTGTTTTCTATTTTATGTATTTCATAAATTTCATCTTGACTTGAATATTCTTCATCTTCAATTGTTGTAATTTGTTTTTGCGACTTAAAGCAAACTGATTGGATGTGTCCTTTTCGGTTGCACTTTTTACAATATAATTTATTCTTCAAGTAACATTTATTTGCCTTGTGGTTTGATTTTCCACATCTATAACAGCTGCCTTTCTTACCTGTATTTTTGTAAATTTTTGGTATAGGTTTTTGTGAAATTTTATTAATATTGGGCATATGAACATCTGGCCCCATTTGTTGGGTTTCACTTTTGGATGTTTCGATTGCCATTGCAATCCTTATTATTTCATCAAATGATGTTTGTGATGATTCTTGTAATAACCTTTCTTTAATTTCTGAACTGCGAAGACCTCGTATGAATTGTACACGTAAATGTGTATCAAATGTTGTAGATTTACATGAATTGCAGATAAAATTGCATTTTCCTCCTATTTCCTTTAGTCCCGCTACGTAGTTAGCGATAGATTCATTTTCATTTTGAATCCTTAAACAGAATTTGTGTTGTTGAGCAACTTCTCCTGGTTCTGGCGCAATATGGTTCTTTAATATCTCAACAAGTTGTTCATATGTTTTATTTTCCAGTGTATCTGGAGCAGTAATATTTTTGAGGACTTGGTAATATTTAGCACCAATACAATTTAAGAAGATTTGCAACTTTGTAACAGGGCTTGTAACCCCTTTAAGATTAATATAATTGTTCAATCTTTGTATGTATGATCCAAAAGATTCGTGGAGTTCGTCATAAGGTTGTAAAACAATACCACTTACTGTGTTATTACTTGTAGTTTGCTGTTGCTGCATAAACATGGTTTGCATCTGTGCTTGTTGGTTCTGCACCGTACGTAGTGTCTCGGCGAGTGACGCCATAAGTTGCGTAAATTGTACTTCCATTGTAATGGATACAGGAATTTGTGAAGCGGGCTATCATCACAGGGAAAGGAGCCCCTGGATTGGAAGGAAGGGTATGTATGTAGGAACAATTGGGTTATTGAACACGTGGCTGTCCCGCCATTTCACTTTAGGTCTACCGATTAATGCTGCTGTACCAGTTAATCTTCGATCCTCGTCGCCAGTCTGTTGTGTTTGTGGGTTTCTATATTGGGTATAGTATTTAAATGCTATTATTATAAACAACAGATTTATTATATGTAATTAATTTTGTAAAAGCAAGCGATAGCAGACAGCGCAAATCTGACAGAACATTTTGACATTTCGTGTTGAGGTGCGTTCCGAGCGTACGTAACAGGTATTATTGTCTATCTCTCCCATTTGTGCTGGGCCAACCCTCATTAGATAACAGACGATGTTATCGTTCTCAATGTGCAGATTATCGAGCAAAGGTAATTAAAGAGAGTTAATCAATACAATTATTTAGTAGAGAAAGCCTATCTTTGGATGATAGAGGTAATAATAATTATATTAGAGGGAGACTGTAGGAATGTCGTTTGTTTCGGTACCTCTGTCCCATTCGTGTTTCTACTGTGATGCAGTTGTATTTGCGTGGCTATTTTTCGGTTTAAAGGGTTTGATATGGCAGTCAATTTACTGGGTACAGAAGAATTACACCTTAGCCTTCAGGAATGGCAACGGAAGGAGGATATCATGGGCGAAACAGTATACTCTGTTATGCCCATGGTACTGCTCATGTCTATAGGCGACGGTTACCACTTATACATCTAAACACTCATAACAATTTTGAAGCATATGTTTTTGGCTAATATATGTGTATTTTGTAGCTTATAATCATTTTGTGCCTTTAAAATATCAGATTTAATATTTTATTTTTATTATATGTATGTATATTAAGGTATTAAATACTACAATGGAAATTATAAACACATGGAAGTTATATTAAGCATTTACGAGTAACGAGAACTTGACCCTACGCCCTTTTGCAAACTCTATTGTAATGGAATAAGACATACAGAACCTATATAAATAAGTGCAAATGAGCGTCATATTCATTTCCTGTTAAATTGTCCTCTCGAATTGTTCAAAATTCCACACAGCAGATATTACAAAGTTAAGAACCTATTTACTCAACAAGAAAATATATGGTTGCTTCCTAATGTGCAGAGATAGTGCAGAGAATATGAAATTATGAACAATAAATATAATAAATAAATAATAGAGATAATAAATAAATGAAACAAGCGTAATCCATGCTTTTATAGATTTATTTGGTTTGAATCCATTGGTACAATGTTTTAAGACAGAGAACATTAACATTGATTGATTTGTGTAATTTCCTTACTGATTTTGACTTAAAATTACTAATCTGTAACACTGACGTTAGAAATAATTAAGAATGACAGCAACAACAAGTCTACGGAATATTATATGGATATAGCAATACAGAATAGATTTGCCTATTGAATTTACTTAATTTAATTTGAGAAAATCAACCTTAGTGGTGCCTCCAATCTCTTCTCAGATTTCCGGTAAAGGCTTTTATTTTGGTCTACTAAGAATACACGTAATTAGTAAAACCTTACTAGCTTAACGGACAAACAGTGACTAACATTATGACACAGTTACAACATTAAAATTAAAGTTATCAATTTTAAATTTAGAATATCTATTACTAATTTTGTAAGAAATTGATGCCACAGAAACTTTTTTTCACTACAACTGAATGCCATATTTTTATTTTAGTATTAAATTGATTGAAACACTTGGCGCAAACAGTCTTATATATTTTTGATACCTATACTAAAGTAAATTCTTTAAGTTATATGTTTTAATATTAACCTATATTAATAGTTACTAAATCACCAAAAATTATATATACACTATTAAGAACTATTGATGACACAAATTTTATATTAATATAAAGACAAATGGAATGTAATTGCATATTTAGACTGTAAATATTATATTAATTTATATGTTGAATGACTGAAAGTGACATTCCAAAATGCCGTGATAGGTAGATCGCATCTAATACGATTTACCTAAAATACTTATATTTAAAGTAAATAAAAACTATGGAAAAGCCAACAATTACAAATGACTCAAACATAAACCCAAATTGAGAAAAGAGCAAATTATAAATTATATATATAGCAAATTATATATTTGCTTAAAACTGTTAAGGGAAAATGGACAACATTATAATTTTTAATAGTCTATTAAATTTAAATTTCACCTTATCTTAAAATAGTACCTATCTAAAGAATAAAAGGTATACATATAGATGTTTATTATACCTAGAATAATAATCACGACATAGATACTAATAATGAACATTGACAAAGAATAAACTTGAAGTCAACAATATTATTATAGGATTGAATACCTTATTGGCAAGTCCCCAAATGAGCATTATAAAAACTCAGTCTGAAAAGGTTCTAAATAACAAATTACATAACTACAATACTTAGAAATTATATTCATGACTTATAGCAAGTCTAAGTTAACAAAACAAAATTATAAAAAAGCTGTAATTTTCAATTTTCATAAAATGTAATGTATATTATAGAAATATACTTATATCAGAAACTACATTGATATATACTACACAAATCAAATTACAATATCTACTACTAATACTACTGAACCCCGTCTATCCAAACAATATAAGTAAGTACCATAGCTTACTATTGTTATCTTTGGTATGATTAAAACATAATACAACTCTCAGGAATAATATGATTTTTATAAGCTATTAGACATATTTCAACATTTAGAGTAAATTAATTTTTAATTTAAGAACACCCTGGTCGGCGGAATACTCGCATTTCGCTGGTAGCGACTGCGATCCATTCATTCCTTGCCGAATCAAACCAGGTCAAACCGAGGGTGTATTTACCATTGATGTTTACGTGTTGGCAATGAGAGAACCACCATCCGCCTTCGTAATTCGCCGCACAGTGGGTGTTGGAAATGTCCCTGTCGCGATCGATAGCTGAAAACTCCATATGGTTCTGGTATTCGAAAGCATCACTAGCATTACCTTTAAATCCGCTGACTTCCAGCACATATCCGGTGTCGGCGCTTCCCACTGTAAAGTGTTCATATTGAGCATACCAGCCGCCTCCGTAGATGTCAGTCATGTCTATTCTCATTGAAGAGCAGTTGTCGGCAGTCAACAGATGCATGGACTCTAGACCGAGCCAGTACTCAGAGGTTGGATCACCGAAACCGTGAACGTACTCAGAAAACTTTCTGTTGAATTCGATGGAACCGTTGTAGCGGCGTTGTAATAGAGTGCTTCCGTTGACGCACCAGGTATCGAAAGGAGCCTGACCGGGCCGGATCAAATAAGTGCCCGCAGGGCCCGAAATGCTCGAGCAATCCCTAGGGAGTTGACTTACTAGGTCTTCGTACTCCCGCTGTACAGGTTGCAACTCCTTCACTTCACCCATCAATTCGGGAAGTGGGATAATCTCTGTTTGATTGGAGTCGTGACTATTGGCCTCGCTCTGTAACAATATACATTAATTACATACAATGCCTAATAACTATCTTTATCTTAATAATGCCATAATATTATAGAAAAATTAATACAGTGTATTTATCACAACGCTTACGCAAATTACCTGTCAAAAATCAGCAATCAAATTACTACCGACTGGTGGTGAAAGGTGATATTTTTTTATCTGTATGTTATGTTTCGTCACTGATTTTGATAATTATTTTTATAATCGATAAGGCTTACTTCAGTATTGGTCTCATACTAATTTTAAATCGTGTATATTAAATTTGGAATTTATTGCTTGATTTATATTTTATTAATTATATACCTACTTATGGAATTAAGAGCATAAATAAACTATATAGAGCAAATATATAATTTATTATCAACGGAAAAATGTTGAAATATTTAACCATTAAAATAGATATCATTCTGTATATAACAATAGCTTTTGCAAATAGTAAAAAATAGGTATATTCATAAAAAGACTGTAATAGACAAGAGATCGGCATCTTGTTGACATGAGTAATAAAAAGTGACACGAACTATTTTAAATAAAAAATGGACATAATATAAAGTAAAAAGAGATTGGAAATATTTCAGTTTTTCCTTTTGATCACTGTTTTAAACTGAATAAAATAATGGATTGATAAAATAATAAATCCGTATTATTTTACGTAACTTCACATATAGAATTCGTGGAATATTACCATTTTTTATATATTTAATGTTATTTATAACGTTAAAATTGTCGTGTGGTCTCGGCATAGACTAGACTACTCCTTTCATTCCTGTGGGAGTTGTAAGAGGCGGCTAAAGGAACTTAATGGTAGAGGCATGAGTAGCGACATCCCTCTTAGAACATCTCTAAAAGCCTAACTGCGGTTGCCAACCCGTCTGCCAAGCATGGCAACTACTAGCAAAGCTTCTCTTATGGGAAAGGCTTATGTTTAGCAGTGGACAGTTAACGGCTGAAATGATGATGACGTTAAAATTAATTAAGTAAGTAATTAATATATTTTTTACCTTAAGAATATGATCATTGAGACGGTAGAAATGCTGCTTAGACCTAGTTTCCAGGTCGCTGACAGAGTCATTGATCCTCTTCATCATGAGGCGGTCTAATTCCGCACGGTCTATGGTGTTGCTCACACTGACTGCGATAGCCTTCACCGATTGCCGCAAGTTCTCTTGGTCTTCTTTCAGATACGATGTTTGAGCATTCACCTAGAAAATAACATTCCGATTTTATTCAGATTCATTAATTACTTCGTATTTGTTTTCTTATTCTTATATAAGATAAACTTTGATTTATAACACAAAACAAGCCGATCAAGATAAAATAAAATTTTGTTTTAATTTATTTTCAACATTTCTACTGGCGATGTATCTAATATTTGTATTGGTATGTTATATTGGTATGTAAAATTATCATAATTATTATAGATTCTAAAACTTTTACTTTGTAATATCCAATTAAAGTATTTTTAGTTTTAGTCAATGTCTAATATGTATGTATAAAGAAACAAATATGAATATCGTAACTTATAGTGACAATTTTAGTATTTAAATAATATAATTGTATGAAAGTATATATCTGTATATACATATATATGTTAATTTACAAAAAGAGAACAAATTAACGATGATAATCATGAAAACGTCTTTTTCTATATAAGACCATTATTGTTCTTTTTTTTTTAAGTTAAAACCAAATTATTATATGCCTTCGAGGACAATTCAGATCACAAGTCAAACACAAGTGAATTTAGCCCGTGGGACCAATTTAGAAAAAAAATATTGCACTCAAAGTTATTGTCAGACATACTAACTTCACGAGTAACTTTTTAACTAAGTACCTACCTATATAAATTATTAAAATACTTACTTGAGCAAAACTGACATCTAATTTGGAAATTTCTTTTCTGAATTCCGGGATGGTCTTATCGACTTTATTCTCAATGCCCTCAACATCTTCTCTCAATTCTAACATTGAAGCGTGTACTTTGTCCAAGTCTGACACTTTATTAGAGATGTTTTTGAGCTCGTCCCGCAACACTTTTGTTTCAAGTTCAAGAAATTCCACTTTTGCCGATAGAAGGTTCCAGTTGGGCTCCTCGAAACGGTCCAGTCGTCTTTGCACGTCCAAAATCTGTGTCTGCAAGTTTTGCTGATACTCATCAAGCTGGTCTTGGCTACGAGCCAAACGTGATATTTGTGCGTGCACCATCTTATTATGTCTATATTTGTGATTGTGTTCAAACTTCAGATCTCCGGAACGGCTTTCATGTGGCTCTAACACTTCATTATAGCTATCAGGATTCAAATCGCCCAGCTGTTTCGTCTTTAGCTACAAAAAAATTTGTAATTTTAAGTAAAGTATTTATATAAAATTTGTTATACGGACAGACAGTTATTATAGTAACTAAAAGTATTATGTACTATCAGAAAAGACGATTGGGTGGATCACCTGCTGCTTTACTATTTCCAGTACCGCCTTAGGGATGACTCAGTGAGGGTTAGGGGAGACTCATACCTCACTGAGCTCATGCGATTAGTTATTTTCAGTAATATTATGCATAAACACTTTATTCGTAATGTATATGTTCATTAAAAATATTAATCAAATCGCTCATCTATAAAAACATCAGCTATTTAGTAATAGGGTCGGTTTACCGTAATTGGACAAGCACTTTGATTGGAATAGTTATGACTTATTTTAAAAATCCTTCGTTACGTTATAACGCTACATTACTCCCCCCATTTGGCAGCTACATCACATCACTATAGGCGCTAGATTTCGTAAAACAGTAAAGTACGTAGTTATGTTTTACTCAGCTAAAGCTTTACGAAGTTTAATATGCAAATATAAATCATATGTGTAGTAATAAAATATAAAGCAATTCTTTTGTGTCATAATATTTAAATATATGTTTTTTTAAACAAATATTCTAGTGAGATAGTATTAAATTGTTATCAAAGAACCAGTGCAAGGCTCTTTGATTGCATTGGATCAGTTATACTTTTTAGCTGTTATTTTCAGTATTTTTCTTTTTGTATTAGCGTGGCAAATAGAGGGTGACATTATTATTGGATTGGAATGAAACCAATGCAAAATGTGCCTTATGGGCTTAGGCACAAAAGAGGAATTATTGCAGAAATCTAAAAGTAAAAGGTGAAAAACAAATTGTTGTTCAGTAAAGGCGTCTAATCGTTATTTTTATTAAAGAAATTATTAAAAGGAGAAAAATATTTAACAAGGGGATTTTTATATTGTTTGATTTTTTTCATAAGTATTATCAGCAACTACAAGTGCCCAGTCTAAATAGAACAAAAACAATAATATATATATTAAATTTAAAAAATTAATTTAAATTAATAAAGAAACATAATTTTAACGAAATACTTAAATATTTTTGTTTAGAATTAAAGCTCAACCCTTGAACAACTAATTGTAAGCAACTGTCAAATTATACAAATCTGTCGACAATAATATAACGCGTCAATTGGTACCGACTTCAAACAGATTTTGTCCTTTAAATTAAAGTCTAATATTAGTTTATTTTAGATTTTTGATTTTTATTTCACCTTTTTTTGAAGTTGGTTTATAGTTAAAAAAAAACCCTTGAAGAGTTTTGTCACTTTCAAATAAAGCAAAAGAATAAGATAAAATAATGAAATAGCTAAAATAGGTTAAAGAAAGATTTGATGTTTTTATAATATTATAATTTTGTTATAATATTATCTATAGTATCTCCACGTCTGTTCCAAGATAGGTAGAGATTAAATAGTAGAATCCTTATGTTAACTATCAAACATATTATACTTTGATGTAACTACTTACTACAGCATAATACATGACATGAACTATCTACCTATTAAAATATATGATTTGGAGTGTGAAATTTTCTCGCAAGAGTAGGCGAGAACTATTTCAATACTAGTGCCTGACACTGTTGTTCATCGAATTGTCCAATATAAGTTTAAAGTCAGTATAATAGATACAGTTAGGTATAATTCAATATGCCTAATCATTATTGATTTCCGAATGTGTACGTTACGCCCAAATTTCGCATAAAGCTTATCATTTAATCATTATTGTGGTATACAAGTAGCAATTTTAAAAGCCAAAAAAAATTTGTTTGAATGATCACCAGTTATATAAACATACTGTGAGTATTAATGGAAAGAGATATTGCAGGCAACTGTAGAAATTAGTTTTCTCGATTTGCATGGAGCAAAAACTAATTTCTGCAGTATAGTATTATTTTCTACAGTTTCTGTATGTAACTTTATACAGAATTATTATAATTGACATTCAGGATAACACAAAAATGCCACATACTATATAATAAATATACAATACTATATTCAGTTTTAACGACGAATACCTGTATTGAGGTGACTAGTATTTATATTAAATAATATAAAATCAAAAACAGGTAAATATGTATAAATGATTGCACATATTAACCGAAACCTGAATATCTGTAACCCTTACCGCGAATACTCGAGCTTGTCTGGCTTTTGAGTTTTCTATATTAAACTTTTTATTGTATACAAATAGGGTTTAAAATCGTATACAGCTTATTAAGAGGGTTGGTAGTCCCCGTAAAGCGCGCTGTACAAAGATTTGCAGAAGAGATGCCATATGACAAGGTACAACGTACGTTTGTGCTTGAATAATGCAAGTTTTGCTCAGCTACTCCTATATTGGAAACAGAGACGCGACTTACGGATCCTGTTACTATTAATGATAACAAGTCTCACGTTACGACGTAATATCCGTTCTTACAATTATGTAAATTAATACTTAAACATAATTCTAGAATAGGACATCGTTAAGTGATTATAAAATTATAATTGATATTAGTTTATTAATTAGTGAGATTTTGTTATTATATTTAGAAGTTTATTAGTGTCTACATCTACATTAAAAGCAGGAAATTTAATAACTTATAACTAATAATAGATACAATATTGGATTTTAATCAATAAATGGTAACATCTCATGTTACCATTTTACTGGCAAATATATTATTATAATATTTTGACTTAGCGTGGAACGAAATAAAATTATCGAAACAAATTTCTTGAAATATTGATTACGTAAGGTATGCAATTGATTTATCTTATAAATTTGTTCTATGTTACTTGTATGCTTATATCTAATATCTTATTATTTTGATATCAGTACAAGACTTCTTGTTAGGTTGTATTCACACGAATTTATAATATATAAAAAACAAGATTTTGAAAAAAGTATCAACTAAATTACTTGCCTGATATTCTTAGCTGAAATTACATTCCAAATGGGCGGTAGAATTATAAAAAAAAAATACTATTTAAAAATGTTTAAATTTAAGTTTATTTGAATAAAAATTATTTCTTTCTTTCTTTCATGGGTAGTGTATTTGTAAAATAAGTAGGCATAAAACGGGATTTTAATCAAAATTGCTTATCAAAGTAGCGATGTCAACAGACGAAAGTCAGAAAGAGACGAAAATAGGTAAAATAAAACAATAGAAGGGTGGCGTTGGAATTGTCGGTTCTCTTGTAGGCAAACGAAATGAATTTTAAATGAAAGAGGGATCAAACAATCTGAAGTCGGTGGGTAATCGGCGCGCATTCTGTGCAATAATGGTATGCCACCATGGTTTGATCCGTCAACTGATATAACATGGTTCATAAGAAGAAATACAGTAAGGTGAGTTAGTATATTTATAAATACGTTGAGTAAATTTTAATACAAGTAGGTACATTTAATACTCGCCAAATTTAATAATTATAGATTACTAGAAAAATGACAAAATATATGCTACAAAAAGCTGTATCTTTTGATTGCATTGACTTAAAAGTTTGATTCTTTCTATAGTTTCAAGAAATTGCAAACTTGAGTATTAGATATTAATTTTAGCTTTATATTTGCACGTGTTCCTGAGAAAAAGTATCTAGATAAATGGACAGCCAAATGGGCAATAAAGTGAAGGATCACTTTAAAGGAAAATTGAGAAATTCTAGGATAAATTCTCCAATTTTCCTTAAGAGGTACAGAACCCCAAAACGTCCTATAAAATATTTGTATTCTAACAATTTTACTTCAAAATACAAATCGTAAATAAACCGGAAACAAACATGACATCAGACTGTAAAATCTTAACATTCCGCCATATAACCTTCTTCAGGGAATATTGTTTAGAGATATTTTGTTCACATAATCAAATTTCGTTTCTTTATGAAGGATGCATGAACAATTCAGAAAGAATAGGTAAGTGTTCCGAATTGTTAAGGAGATGAAATGTATGAAGACAAAGGGAAAACAGAATGGCGGCATGTTAATGAAGATCGTGCTGGGTCGCATCGAGCTCGGGGAATATTCATAGGTGGACGTGTATACTGACGTCACAGGTTTGAAAAAAAAAACAAGATGTGTAGTGATTGAAAAGCGACGCAAAAACAAGCACCGGCACCCAAATTATTCATCATATAATTTTAATCTTTATTATTACAACAAATAAAACAGTTTCCTCTGTCTGTACACTTAGATCTTTTAAACTACGCAACGAATTTTAATGTGGTTTTCTTCAATAGAGAGGCTGATTAAAAAGGAAGCTTTATATGTATATTTTAATGTTCTTTTGTTTTGTTAAAATATGACAATAATTGATCAAGATATCGGAAGGAATCAAGTCGACTGAGAATTTTTATCGAATATAATAGAATTATCTTTATTAGATCTACAAAGTCAGCGTTTCCACATTCCATATTATATAGACAGCTTTTTATAACTATTTTAATGTTTAAAAAATTTATACAAGTTATGTGAAGTTTGGAAAGCTATTAAGACGGATACAATAGTAATATTGAGGGATGAGCAGCAGCGTCCCTCTTAAAACATTACTAAAGCCTAACAGCGGTTGCCAACCCGCCTGCCAAGCGCGACAACTACTGATCCCCAAAGGGAAGGTCTATGTTCAGCAGTGAACAGTTAACGACTGATATGATGAACTTACACCACATTATTTCTACACTGCACAAGTGTGAAGCCGGAGGGAGGGGGGGGGGAGGGTCGTTAGTATATTATATATATTTTTTTTAATTTAACGTCCGTAACCCACTAACAAAAAACGATATTTTTTTCATAAAATTAATTATCATCAAGAGCGATAAAATTAGTATAGCGACACGAGAGAAAACATTATCATATTTAATGCGAAAAAGTGTAAAAAAAAAAACAAACGAGGACACAGACTTTGTTTTATACTATTTAAAGATAAAACAGATTCCACATGGTCACTCTGAACTAGGTAGGTGCCGCTATTTTTTTTTTTATTTTAGCTAGTAACTTTG